GACGGAGCATTCACGTCCCCTGCTTCCATATTAGACAGATGTTGGAACAAGGAAAACCATTGCAAAGTTGGAATGCAATTGACCAGTCAAATGCTATACACATAAGCATGGAATTACCGTATAATCGGAATTTTTGGCAAAACGGCAGAGAAATCAGACCATTTTTCATCAAAATCTTATAAACGTCATCCAAAGTTCAATCCGTTTAATAAAATTTATCGGCATAATTTATCGTTGCAATAATCTCCGCCTTGTGCGTCGAAGACTTTCAAACCACTCTTTATATTGGATTAAAAAAAATTGTCAAATAGCTTTAAATTCAATGATTGTTCTCATGTATCATCAAAAGCAAGTGGCGTCAAACGTAATGGTTCAAATACCGTGAACGGTTGCACATTTGCACATTACGTATTGCGTACCTATATTTTCTATGTTATTTCGGTCACAAATGAAACCCTATACAAAGAAGATAATGTGTATCTGCTTTTCCACGAAAGCAGTCACGACATAAGTAGCTGCACCTTTGTCCTAACACTGACAGTCTGTGCTATCAGCGCAAGAGAAAAGAGCGGTAAGAAGGAAAATTCATAATTTATATCCTTAAGAAAGAAAAAGTTCCCCTTACTTCTATAGAGGTTTATAGACGCGGACGATTTCACTGCATTCAAAGGTAATGTCATTTTTCAGTTGCTGTAATTATTTTGGCCACGTCTCTGAACGAGCCATACCATTTCCTAGTAATCCCCATCGACCAGTGATATAAGAATAGTACAATTTTCATGTATTGCTAAGTGTCATCGTTATTGAAACGTTTTCGGAAAGTCGATCGACCTTTGGGCTGCACACTTAATACTAATCGTTTTCGCCATAATTTAGGTCTCGTAGTTTAACAGCCTTTTCAGGCGCCTTTTATGTGCATTTTGTAACGATAACTGAAAAGAATCTCCGAAAATACCTGGGGAAAGAGCCAAATTTGATGCATCAAAATTACCGTAAATCGATCGTCAAGAAACCAAATTTCCAGTGATAGATGTCAAGCATTTGTCACGAACATGCGACTACCACGACGAGGATTCCAACCTCAGACTTTTCGACCAATTTCGCAGTCGGGTCATGGAACAACTAAGCTACAGACAATTTGCTCTTTTTTTACCCGAAATTAAAAGTAAATTGGCCACCGCAAAGATTTTCTAAAGCTAACGTTTCAAGCGTTAGCGCTTCGTCGGGGCGAATGTAAACACGGTTTCTAAAGCTAACTTTACGAGGGTAAACCCTCCGTCAAAGTGACAAACAACCCGCGTATTGGCAGCTAAGTCATATGCTAAGTACAAAGGTGACATATATCCTACATATACAGCTAGGATCTGTTGAATCGAAAACTAGTGTCTCATGTGGATAAAATGAGGAGGATTGTACATTTCGTGTTCTGGTGTATCGCGAGAGACCTGTTTGTACTGGGAATTTGAGTTGATCGGTGTTTCCTCGCACTCAGGCTTTCCGAGAAAGCTTATCCAATTTCTTAATAGGAGCGAAATTGTAATAGCCATTCAGCCGTCATGAAATATCTTAAAGAGAGTAAAATATATGTTCCCCATGCTTTCATAGAGGTTTATAGACGCGGACGATTTCACTGCACTCAAAGGTACTGCCATTTTTCGGTTGCTGTTCGTGATAGGTCGTATTTGTAGATGTGCCCATCCCATTTCCTAGTAATTTCCATCGACCAGTGATCTAAGATATGTACAATTTTCATGTATTGCTGAATGTCAACATTATTGAAACGTTTTCAGAAAGTCGATCGACCTTTAGGCTGCACACTTAATAAGTTCATTGTTTGTTCCATAATTTAAGTATCATGGTTTAACAGCCTTTTCAGGCGCCTTTTATTTGCATTTTGTAACGATAACCGTAAAAGAATGTCGGAAAATACGTGGGGAATAAGCAAAACTTGTTGCATCAGAAGTCCTGTAAATCGATCATTAAGAAAGCAAATTTTCAGGGATGGATGGCAAGTATTTGTCACGAACATGCGAATAGAAAATATTTTAATAGAAAATATTTTAATTCCCCATGATGAGGATTCGAACCTTTGACTTTTCGAACGATTTCGCTGGCAGATCATCAACCAACCAAGCTACACACAATTTGGTTTTATCATCTGAGATTAAAATGTAAATTGGCCACCGCAAAGAGTTTCTGAAGCTAAATTTTCGAGCGTCAGCTCTTCTTCGGGGCGAATGTACTACAGCTAACGTTACGAACGTAAACGCTTCGTCAAGTCGACAGACAACCTACGTACTGGCAGCTAAGTCATATGCAAACATCCTGCATATACTGTTAGGATCTGTTGCATCGAAAGCTAGTGTCTTATGTGGATAAAATGAGGAGGATTGTACATTTTGGGTTCTGGTGTATCGCGAGAGACCTGTTTGTATTGGGAATTTGAGTTGATCGATGTTTCCTCGCATTCAGGATTTCCGAGAAAGCTTATCAAATTTCTTAATAGGAGTGAAATTCTGATAGTCATTGAGCCGTCATGAAATATCTTAAAGAAAGAAAAATATAAGTTCATCCTACTTTCATAGAGGTTTATAGACGCGGACGATTTTACTGCACTTAATGGTACTGCCCTTTTTTGTTTACTGTTAGTGATAGGTCGTATTTGTAGATGTGCCCATCCCATTTCCTAGTAATTTCCATCGACAGTGATCTAAGATATGTATAACTTTCATGTATTGCTGAATGTCAACATTATTGAAACGTTTTCAGAAAGTCGATCGACCTTTAGGCTAGACACTTAATAAGTTCGTTGTTTTTTCCATAATTTAGGTATCATGGTTTAACAGCCTTTTCAGGCGCCTTTTATTTGCATTTTGTAACGATAACCGTAAAAGAATGTCGGAAAATACGTGGGGAAAAAGCAAAACTTGTTGCATCAGAAGTCCTGTAAATCGATCATTAAGAAAGCAAATTTTCAGGGATGGATGGCAAGTATTTGTCACGAACATGCGACTAGAAAATATTTTAATTCCCCATGATAAGAATTCGAACCTTTGACTTTTCGACCGATTTCGCTGTCGGATCATCAACCAACCAAGCTGCACACAATTTGGTTTTATCAACTGAGATTAAAATGTAAATTGGCCACCGCAAAGAGTTTCTGAAGCTAAATTTTCGAGCGTTAGCTCTTCTTCAGGGCGAATGTAGAGACAGTCACTACAGCTAACGTTACGAACGTAAACCCTTCGTCAAATCGACAGACAACCTACGTATTGGCAGCTGACTGATATGCTATATACAAACATCCTTCATACACTGCTAGGATCTGTTGCATCGGAAGCTAGTGTCTCATGTGGATAAACCACATGAGGGATTGTACATTTTGAATTCTGGTGTATCGGGAGAGACCTGTTTATATTGCAAATTTGATTTAATCTATGTTTTCCCTTGCTTTCGTGGAGGTTTATAAACGCGGACGATTTCACCGCACTCCGCAAAGGTACTGTTATTTTTCAGTTGCTGTAACTGATGACATAGGCCATATCTCTAAATAAGCGATACCGTTTCCTAGTAATTTCTCCTGATCCGTGATAAAAGTAATACACAATTTTTATGCATGCTTTTTTAAATGTTATCATATTTAATACGCTTCCGGAAAGTCAATAAACCTTTAGGCTACACACAAGTAAGTCAATTGTTTCTCCATAATTTAGATTTATGGTTTAACAGCCTTTTCAGGCGCCTTTTATTTGCAAAGTGTGATTGCTGATAAATGCAATTGGGAAATACCTGAGGAAAAACCAAAACTAGTCAACATCAAGTTGCATCAAGTCACGAGGAGAATCAAATTAATCATCAAATCATCCAACCGATTTCACTGTCTGATCATCGACAAACTGGGCTATAGACAATTTGGTTTAGTAAACTAAGACAGACCTATAACGTATCGGTTTCTTCGTCACCTTGAGTTGATCGATCGAGTGTAAACCCTTCGTCAAAGTGACAGACAACCTACGTATTGGCAGCTGTCAGAAGTCATATGCTAAGTACAAACGTAACACATATCCTACATATACTGCTAGGATCTGTTGCATCGAAAAATAGTGTCTCATGTGGATAAAATAAGGAGGATTGTACGTTTTCCATCCTGGTGAATTGCGACAGACCTATATGGTTTATATTGCGACCTTGAGTTGATCGATGTTTCCATTCAGCCGACAAGAAATATCTTAAAGAAAGAAAAATATAAGTTCCCCTTGCCTTCGTAGAGGTTTATACAGGTGGACGATTTCACTGCACTCTTCAAAGGTTCTGTTATTTTTCGGTTGCTGTAATGATCGGCCACATCTCTTAATGAGTCACACCATTTCCTAGTAAATTTTATTGATCCGTGATATTTGTAATGTACAATTTCATGAATGCTTTGCTAAATGTTATCATGGTTCATACGTTTTCAGAAAGTCAACAAACCTTTAATTAGGCGCACACACAAGTAAGTTAGTTGTTTCTCCATAATTTAGGTTTATGGCTTTAGGCACCTTTTATTTTCAAAGTGTATAATTGCTGTTAAATGCAGTTGAAAAATAACTGGGGAAAAAAGTAAAACTAGTTGCATCAAAAAAGTCCAATAAATCGATCATTAAGAAGCCAAATTTTTAGCCGGCTACGTGGCGAGCATTTGTCACGAACATACGCCCAGAAGAGGCGATGAGGATTCGAACCTCAAACCATCCAATCGATTTCGCTCTCGGATCATAGGCAAACTGGGCTATACACAATTTGGTTTAGTCAACTGAGATGATAATGTACGTTGGCCACCGTAAAGAGTTTCTAAAGCTAACTTTTAGAACGTTAGCTCTTCGTCAGAGCGAGTGTAAAGAATGGCTTTAAGCTGACACCGTTTCAATGAAAGGCCGCATCTCAAGATAAGCCACGCCATTTCCCTTTAATTTCCATCGATCAGGGATATAAGTCGTGTAAAACTTTCATTAATTACTTAATGTTTTCATAGCTGACACGTTTTCGGAGTTTACATTCACTTGATTTCCGGAAAGGCAATAAACCTTCGGGCTACACTCACAAGTAAGTTAATTCTGTGTTTCTCCATAATTTAGGTCTTGTGGCTGAACAGCCCTTCGGTTCAGGCGCCTCTAATTTACAGAGTGTACTTGCTGATAAATGCAATTGGGAAAGACCTAAGGAAGGAGCAATACTAGGTGCATCGAAAAGTCCCATAACACGGTCATTAAGAAGCCAAATTTTCAGTGATAGATGGCAAGCATTTGTCACGAACACGCTACTAGGAAATATCTTAATCGGCAGCGCGATAAAGGTGCGAACCTCACACTTTTCGACCGCTTTTGTTGTCTAATAACCGACCAACTAAGCTAAGACAATTTGGTTTTATCAACTGATGTAAATTTTATCAACTTATGTAAATTGGTCACCGTAAAGAGTATCTAAAGCTGACGTTTCGAGCGTGACCGACAACTTACCTACTGGCAGCTAATTAAGTGGTAGGCTATGTACAAATGTGACACGAATCCTATATACTGCTACAGCTATGATTTGTTGTGTCGAAAGTGTTTCATGTGAGAAAATGAGATTGATCGTACATTTTGCATCCTGGTGTATCGTGAGAGACTTGATTACATAAGGAATGTGAGGTGATGTGGTGTAATCGCCTTCAGGCTTTCCAAGAGGACCAATCCAATTTCTTGATAGGAACGAAGCTCTTACAACCGTTCAACTGTCGAGAAAAAGGTAAAAACGACCAGAAAATGTCATTTTCTTAATCCTTTCCGTCATGAAGTGGGCATTTTATGATTCTAACGTATGATTCTCGAGTAGATGGTTTAGATTAAGGTATATTTTTACGTATTAAGTGAGATAGCGTTTACAGCAAATAACTTAGTAGCGTGAGTAAACAACTTAGGCTTGAAAGCAAAGGAGCAAAATGTTGCTTCCAATTCATCTTGGAAGCAAACTAATATTCTCTAGTTGGCAAGAATATATTAGTTAATATTCTCCTGCTGTTTGTAATTTATGTGTTCGTCTTGGTTTTTGCGGTAACCACAAAACACTGAACTTCTTACATGGTTGCCAAAGACAATCAAACCTAAATCAGCCTAAGATCTAATTCAAATTCACCCTTAAAGCTGCTAATACTGAGTAGTAGAATTTTGCAATAGTTAGCACTGATCTACTCTCGGAAATTTATTTTTACATGATGATATATTAATCTTTCCATGTGTAATGATATAATGATATATAGTAATGCTAAATTGTAAGGAAAAGTGACATGTCAGTCTCGTCTTGAAGTCGAAACAAGATGCCCATATTTACAGATTTACAAAAACTTAATCTCGAAACACAACATTTTTTGTCAGGCTTAGTTCACAATGGGTGATTTGATTTAAAAGACTTGTTTCCTTTATTAGATAGAGAAACGAGAACTTGTGGAAAAATGAATCAAAGTTCTGGGAACCAGCGTTTCGCTTATCAGCAACCAGTTCGCCAAGTCCCTCCAGGTCAATCGCAGCCCATGTATTTCCAGGCCCAGGCCCCTCCTGGACAGTATGCTCAACAACCAGTTGGACAGGTTGTACAACAGGTCCAACTGGTTCAGCCTGCAGCAGCAGCTCAGGAACCGACGTTGCCAAAGACTACCGATTATTGGAACAGTGCCTTGATTGCAGAAAGAGTGGTTGAGTTTGTGAGTTGTTGTTCCTTTTTTCCACAAATTGATGCCAGAATAAGCTGCCACCTTTTTATATGAAAGATTGTTTATTGAGCTAGGCTGATACAGCTTTTTCTGATTTTTGAAGAAAATGAAAGCTTGGTGCTCTGAAGCATAACGATACAGTTTTGGGAACAATCTTTAAATTGACCACTACAGCCTAAAAAGCCACCTGGCACTGAAAAACCCACGCTGTAATTCACTCTTATAACATTTCTTATACAGTTTATTTCTTGTTTGTAGCTTTTCCTGTCAGCTGCTTGGATATCGATTGTTAGATATTCCAGCCTGAGTGGAAGCGATTCTTGGAATAAGATTGGATATTCGGCATATTTCAAATATTCCGGAGATAGTCCCGTATATGAATTTGGGAGAGTGAATTTTTTTAAGGGAATCACAGTGTTCTGCTGGATCGTGTCCATTGTATTTCAAATTGGGTTTGTTTTTGGCTTCAACTACATCAAGCGTCTCTTGTCACGACCGTCACACTTGACAATTGTGGTAAGTTTATCGTTGGTGAAAATACATTTTACATTTGAGACCAGTTAATAGAATCCCATGGGTGTGGAAGATTGTCGCGATAATCGACAGCTCAAGTGTATAGATACTCCTCTAGAATAAAATGTCATCTTACTAGTGGTTCATCACATTTTCCTCAAGTATTTATATGCAAAACCACGAATAGGAATGCAAGGTGAAGTAGAAATCCCATTTTCCAGCCTAGGTTTTGCCCAAATCAAATTTCGCAGCCTAACTTTTTATCTTTCTCCAATTGCCTTTTTTGCGCTTGTTTTCCTGGGCCTCAAGTCAAATTTATTTCCTTTAAAAAAACAAAGCAAATCCTCGCTCGTCATTCATCACTTCAAGCCTCTTTGCACGTGGGCATGAACTTAGGGAACCATATCACTAAAAGAAGCCACTTCACAGTTTGTGTGCATCTCGAAAGACTTATCTCAAATCTTTGTGTGTTCGTCAATAATTATCATTTGCAATTCATTTTAATTTTCTCCACTCTTGAAAAATCTTTTTGCCTTTTTCTGACGAGCTATCATTCAACGGTTTGAAAATAAATGCTCTAAAGACTTCCCCCCTCCCCTCTCTCTCCTCCCCTCCCTCCCCAAAAAGATATATTCTTAAATATGACTGTAATTATAGGATGATAATAGTAATGATAATGAAAATGATAACGATAATGACAATGATAGTGATAACGACGATGACGACAACAATGATGATGACGATGTCGATGAAAATAACGATGAAGATAACGATGACGATAATGAAAATGATAAAAAATAACGAAGTTTTATCGTTTGTCCGGCGATATAGTCACTTCTGAACCTATCAGATTCAGCTTTTCTTTTTTTCTCCACAGTGCTTCATTGTGCATATCATCCTTACCATCTTACTGGTGGCTTGTACACTGAGCCTCGTGTTTTATGCGCATGAGATGTCCAAGGCTTACGACTCACTACCCTTGGCTATAAGGATTAACCTTGATGAACTCTACTTGGCACTGGTAATCTACAACGGCAGTCTCTCCTTTAGGCCTTAATATGTGTCACACAGAAAAAAAGTTTACGATTATACTATGGGACCTTTTATCATTATAAGGAAAATAAGCGTATGAAGAGAGATCAGAGCCGAGCAAATTATTCGTATAGGTGGTTCGCCGAGAAGAATCCGTTTTTATTGTTTGAAGCCAAATTATCTACATACAAAACATAACCAGCCGCCTTATAAGGGGACGGAGGGTTTTCCTTCGAGGAGTGGTACTCAAAAATTTTTTTACTCACAAAACCTCAACGTGTAATAACGATTTTCTTCCTTTTCCGACAGATTTTTGGTTTCCTGGTCTGCTTTTCTTTCTTCGAAAGCGTTCGATTGTTCTACAAAATGATCGTTACACAAAGAGGAGAGGAAGAAACCGACAACACTGCACAGACGGCTCAGGAGACTGGTATTCAGTCTTCTGCTATATAACCCAAAGCTGATATTTGAGCAAGGAAAGAAAACTTTTAACTAGATTACGAGATATGCTAGCGTACTGAATGTAGTCAACCCTTTAACTCCCAAGATCTGATTGTTAATTCTCTCCTCTAGCTGAAACACATTTCCTTGAAAATTAGTTAGGAGAATTTGGTGTTAGATCAAATAACAACTTCCACCTGATACATATGAATATTTTCATTACCTGTTTGCTGGATAATGTGGGGATATTATAGGGAGCAGTTTTATGTTGATCACTTCTGGGAGTAAAAGGGTTAACGTTAAGTTAGAGATGCCTGAATACGGTTTGGTAAAATTGATGATATATGTTACCCATTTTAGCTATCTTTTTTTGCGATGTTAGGTTTCGTGTTTTAGTGCTTTACACCATGGGATCACGTTTGTTTGTACTTTTTTCAGTCGGATTGTTCATAGTTATGTAATAAAAGGCAATCAGTCGAAAAAAAAACCGACAAACTTCTCTGTGATGGGTTTTTGTTAGGCCTTTTTTTACTTGGCTGGGCCTAAACAATATCCTCTTATGCTCTTTTTTAACTTACTGACTTAGAGATGTAGTTAGTCACTTTATGTGAACGCAAAAAAATAAAGTTTGTTCATGGTCAGATTGCTCCTGACCTAAACTGCAACACCGTTGTTCTCATCTTTGATTTAGAAAAATGTTCTAACTATGGGTTTTCGATGTTTCTGGCAGATTATTTTCGCGTAGCGATGAGGCAAGTGTCGCTTTTAATGAACCCTTTACATCCTAATATCGGTATGCATATTCTCCGTATACTGTTCTCCAGACATTTCTTACGGGTCTGAAAAGGAGAATTCGTTTAACAGTCAAGAGTTCTTTAGTTATTGATCATTTCGCTCATTCGCATGACCTTAATGTTTGATTCAGGGCTGATATTGTAAGGAGAAATTAGATGCCAGTCACTCTTAGGGGTTAAACGGTTAAGTCTTAGATCGCTGTTTGGTTTGCTGATGTAATATCACAACTCGAGATGATATGCTTTTTCAGTTCATCGCTTATTTATTCCAAGTTGTACTCGAAATCATGTGATTACCTATACTAAACAGAGTATTAAATATCGATGGTAATTTAAGTTAGTTCCATCTCTCTGCATTCCGCGAAATCACCGTCAATAAATGATCGAAGCTCTGGGTTTGTTTAGAATCTTGATTTCGCGTTTGCGGCTGCTTTCAATTGAGTGTCGTTTGCAATCTAAGTTATTAAAATTGTGAAAGCGTGTTTGAATTTGAAATTGGACGCGATTATATTCATAAGTAGGGCGCGCGATTAACCACTTCTATCGGGAGATTCTGTAATAAACACTTCTTCTTTATTTCTCCGAATCAGGACAAAACGAAAACAATTCCTCTGAACAAGTTCGTGTCTGTTTTATTCTAAGTATACGTCCACAATTAGAATTTACATTCTCGGAAAAAGTAACCGAACCGCTCGAATGTCATTCATCAACGAATATTTTGGTAGCTGTGGAAACAGCCTAAAAGCTTGTCTTCATCTTTCTAGGAAACCTATCGCCTATGCAAATTCTTCGGGTATCGAGTTCCTACGCAGAAAATCGGCGAAATAATCATTGCTTATATGAAGATTGTAACTGGAGTCGTCTTTGTGGTGAGCTGAGCGTAACTCTTTTTAAATGTTTGGGTTGCTTCATAAACAAACTTATAGCTCCTTCTGTCTTTCTAGGAAACCGCTCAAGCGTCTTATTCCAGCACAGGCCGCCCAAGCTCCAGCCGTGAGATGATCATCTAGGGACAATAACAGTCATGGCGGAATTATAAGAGTTTGTATGTGAATATTTACGACCGCTCTAAGGAATAAAGAAATACGTCAAATTCTCAATAAACATACCCCACCTTACTTCCATAGCGCATCGCTTGTTATCTGACCGCTTACTTTGACGAAATGAATCCAATTTAGCGAGTTGTCCATTTCGTGGTTTCCAACTTTTCTTATGTGCGTTGGAAACCTCGAAATGTACAACTCGCTAAAATGGATTCTTATCATCAAAGTAAGCGGTCAGATAACAAGTGATACGCTGTGGAAGTAAGGTCAGATATTTTTATTAAGAATTTGACTTTTTTTTTCATTCCTCAGAGCGGTCGTAAATATTCCCATACAAACTCTTTTAATTCCGCCATGACTGTTATTGTCAAGATGACCATCTTACAGCTGGAGCTTGGGCCACCTGTGATTCAAGTGTCGAGTTTCTTCGCAAAGAGTCGATGAAATAACGATTATTGCCAATGTACAGTTTGTGTCTGAAGCAAGAGGATTTTTAAAGGGTCTCAAAACGCTCAGAAAACGAAGGTATGTTTTTAAACCAAGTGCTGGTAACATTAAAATTGTAAAACGACTTTACAATTTCGAATTTTAGATTCTCGCTAAAGAGACAATGCTCCTCAACACTGAATCACATGTTTTGCATTTTATGGATGGACACGAATGGAGTGTTACTTAAATCAATGAAGCAGAATTTCTTGTACAGAAGATGGAAATGCTGACTGATTTTTTCCGCCAAAACGAAATCTACTCCAATTCGGATACTTGCACGCTTCAAAGATCACGTGCTTGGGAGACATGCCACGTCCTCCATATAAAAGAAAGTCAACTCGTTGTTGTAAAAATCTAACTAGGGAGTACAAAAAGGAGTCATTTAGTGGCCTCATTCAATTTGATGTCCATAGCTGCAAGATTCCGCAGTTAATACGATACAAGGATAAACGGGTGCAATGAAAATTATACTATTTCGGGTCTAGTACAGTTGATCCCTTTTCAGAACATCGCTTCGTCATAGTTGGCAAGTTAGTCGGTCTAGAGCTAGAGATCAGGCTTCTGTCTCACCCTCAAGAGGCGATCTTCGCAGTAAATGAGCCCACCAATATCAAAATGAGCAATTTAATTCGAACAAGAAATGTAAAACAGCAAAAGGTATTACATTTGTGACAGCTTTAAGTATTTCTTGGAACTTAAATACATTTCCTTCGTTCCATTTAGATTTCACCCGATGGTTACTTTGATATAATTACTACTGTTATTAAGGGGGTAATCAACAAAACATAATCTCAAAAGGGCGACATTTAACTGAAATATACGTTATTCAGCAAGAAACTGAAATCTTTCCGCAAATTTTAATAACAGCGCGAAAATTGAATTCTTAACATGCACAAATGCGGCTTTATCATCAAATAAACATTTTAGGACCTTAAGTTTTGTGGCTCATAGAAAACATATCCTTTTAAATGTTTTTCCTCAATAATGGTATCATATAAAGTCGCAGTTTCCATCCAACCTAGTCATTTTTCCAACATAGAACGCAAGTTAATATGATTTAATAAACAAAACCTCAGCAGCAAAGGGTGATACCGAGGGTCTGAAGTGTCCCCATGGTAACCTGAGTATCTTAAAGATAATTAGAAATTTGACTCCTGTTTGATAGAATCTTCAAGGAAACAATTGATAATAAAATGTAAATTGCTTTTCTGGCTATTTGATTCGAAAAGCTTAAACATCTTTTTTCTACCATTGAATCAACTAATGTAATATTGATATTTAAATATCTTTTGAGAGTGTTAATAGAGTTCATAGACAAAACAGAGTCACGTGACCACGGCAAACGTCAGATTAGTTCAGGCAATAATTCGTTATTTCAATCACAGGTGAAGCCAAACGTCAAACCGGCCAAGGTCAGACCACTTAGATAGTCATGCAGCAGATATATCCTGATCAGCCACGGACAGTGTCTGGAGCACAGTTTCCAATGGGACAAGGCCATATCCCTGGACAACCTGTCCATGTCCCCACTGAACACCCTGTCCATGTTCTCACAGGACAACCTGTCCATGACCCCACTAGACAACCTGTCCAATCCGTTCCAGGCCCTGGTGTCCCTATGCAGCCTCCAGTGAATCAACCTAGGGAAGGGCGGCTCGACAGAACCTACATGAAAACTTTGCTGAGCGCCTCGAGACTTGTTGAGTTTGTAAGCAGTTAAAGGATATGGAGGGGTTTTAACGAATGATATCGGATCAGCAGGGGTTTTTTCGATTTAAAACTTTGCTCGATCCAAGTAATATCATATTTGGATTTCTATGTGTAGATGCTGTGCCTTCTTAATATTCTTGGCCAACAAATTGTTCTTTTATTTCCAAACTTTTAAATTCATCACTTCCTAACATTTTTAGAAATTAAATGTTTCGATAGTTTTTCCCTTAATGATGTATGCAATGAAATGAATTTGACCTACAAATGTAATGTTGATGAGTATCGCATGGGTCTTTATAGGTTCATGTGGCGCATCGGGATACCCTCTTTCTAAGTTCGAATTCATTAGGAAGCCTCGTTGGAACACCACTTGTGATGCTCTCTTGCCCTTCTCCAGCTTTGTACCAACAATCAAAGAGTGATGGTCATAATCATTGATCACAAGCTTACCTTGTCCTCTTACACAGATCGCCTTGTTAATCGCCTGGCCATGTGGTGTTGTTTACTCAAACCGTACTTTCGGTGTGGATGGTCGAGCAACGTTCTTTGCAGGAGTCTCCACATTTTGTTGGGTAATGGTGATAGTCCTCCAAATTGTGTTAATGTTTGGCATCCACAAAGACCGGCGATACTTCAGGACACCATCAAATTCCACATTGATAGTGAGTATTGCAACTAATTCATTCTGATAATTCATGAATGTGATACGAATACATGGCCGTTTTCAAGATGCCCAAAGACTCTCTGAAATCGGGTCGGTGTTCGTGTGAGGCTTCTGAAAGGTGCTGGGACAAAAAGCAGCCTCATTTTTGTGCTTCCGATACAAATCATTTTCACAAGAAGGGTTTTGCACTCTTGACTTTTGGAACTCAGAGTGGTATTTTATATCACTGATCGGGTAAAGGGACATTTAGCACCATCTTTACTGGGAAATGGCCATCAAAGGGGGGGGGGGGGACAAAAACATAGCAGCTTATAACTTTGAAGGAATATTTGGCCAACTAAGTTATTACCTAAAGAGGCTCTCGTATATTTAACTACAGACTATCAACACTAATTAAAGAACTGTTGAAGACTGAATTCTTGACTATCTCAGTTGCACAAAATACCGCCAGATATATTGCCTTGTACTCAAGATGTCTGACTCTTTCTCAGGCTTTTCCCTCTCAGGAACGAGGTTGTGAGGCTGTAATTTTGACGTGTGGGCGACAGACGACATGTTGTTGCTCTTCCATTGTTGTTACTGGCAATGGAATGTTTAAAACTAATCTTTTTCTGTTCTAACCAGTCAAAAACACCTGTTCTTTTCTTGCAGGTTATAGCTGTACATGTCCTTATGACCATACTTCTCATCGCTAGTACTACAAGCCTGATTATGGTCGGTGTCGAATTGTTTAAAGCTGACCAAGCTCACCGTGATAGATACGGTGAAGGCAAACCTTACGACGAAAACAATGTATTCCTTGGTTTCGCCTTGGTACGTTATTTAACTTTTTCCCTAAATTTGCTGTTCCTACCGCCTTGGCGAGCAGAAGAAACAATCAGGCATAGTGTCCTGTTTTCTGACGAATGGAGGCACTAGTGAATCCAAGGGGTGGGTCTCGGGATCTGAACTACTCCCCTCGCCTCACCCCATTCCCTATTGATTTTTTTAACTACCTGACAGACACTAGTAACAATAGGATGGTAAAAAAATCACTAAATAGGAAGCATTGAAAATTTCTGTGTTTAATGAGTTTGGTACCCCTCGCCCCTCCTTCTCTGCCCCTTTCCTACAAAAAATTCCTATATATTCCCCCAGGGATAGCCTAATAATCAGCGCTCCAGACACTGGATCGCTAGATCTCAGTTCGATTTTGGTCAGTGCCATCGTGTTGCCTACTTGGGCAAGACACTTTACTCTCACAGTTCCTCTCTCCAGGCAGGAGTGTGTTAAGCATTAGAGACTGTTTGTTATCTATCGCCGGGAGAGGGGAGGGAGGGGCGAGGATTTTGGTAGTGTCACAATACCATTTACCTTATTCACCCCCTAAGGCTCAGTGGTGCTCCTACCCCCCTGCCATCATTTATGCTCTCCTAGCGACGAATGATCCCTACCCAGCCCCCTCTTAAAACCACATGATCTTCTCCAAACTCTTCCGACCATGCTATGAAAACCGCAACATAGATTGGCCGATAATTTTGAAAGATTAAATATACAATAAACTTACAAACGTGTAGCAAGCGGTAAAATCACAGCTAGCTTAACTAACAAAAACGTATCTTTCGTGAAGATTTCTCTCTCCATTTTGCAGTTGACTGGTGGGGCGGTCTGTTTCATGTTCTTGGATGACATCCCGCCACTGACAAGGATGTACAGGTTGCAAAGAGCAAAGGAAATTGCTGCGGCTGATGATTCCCAGTAGCCTCTTAACTGACCTTCAACTGCGGCAGCCTGGATCAGCGACAACGCTACCAGTTTACTAAATTTGTAGAAGACAGCTTTGTTTGAAAGTGCTTCCTTAGCTTTGATTGATTTTTGTTGGTTAGCTGCATAAAAAACGTTATAGAGAGCTGCTGTGTTGAAACTTAGTTAGTTTTGACCTGCCCTTTAATTGCATTCCACATTTATCATGGTTACTCTTTTTCCCTTACTGGTTTTTTAAACTTAAGTATGACAAGCATGTACTTCAGTCTTTTTGAGTAAAACTGTGGCACCTATCACCCTAAAGAAACGATGATCGTAAGAGACATACGGTCGTACGTGGTGTCACATAGAATACTCTGTCTATGTATCGTTTGTTGAACTCTGGTTGAAATAAATCTTAGAGTATAAACTTTGAACTGTCAATGGTTACCTTTCTTAGCTTTGATCAGCAAAACCTCATTATGGTAAATAACGAGGTTACAACAATCGCAACAGAATGTTATCGATTTTGCGATTTCGTTTTATTTTAGTTTTCTCCCTTTTATCATTCTTTGATGGCTTAGAAATGGAAGAAAAAAACTATTATGGTTTTTATGTAGCATGAAGCGACTAGGAGTACCCCTCCCCCCCTTTCCCCCCCCCTCCCTGGGATTAGATACTGGTCCATCGCGATGTTACCTCCAAGCATTTCATCAATCTTCCCTGACAATTCGTCACTGACCCATCTATACTCCTGGGGGGTGGAGAGAGAAACTGTGAGAGTTAGTTTAGCGGCCTTGCACAAGAACACAAAGCTCCACAACTCACGTAGCTTTCCAGTTATGCTCAGACACAAACAATTCGCATAAATCCTTCTCACTGTTCTTGGGAAAGCTATCTTTTCACCAAATATTTTTTTTGAAGTCTCTGAATAGGTATGGACATTCCAAATATTTCTATAAAAATCAACACTTCAAAACCTTAAAAATGGATTTCAGCCCCCATTTTAGAAACACTTACATATTTTGTTTGTTACATCTGTATGCTATGTTTTGAAATTTGACTGAGAATTCACGTCCCCTGCTTCCATATTAGACAGATGTTGGAATTAGGAAAACCATTGCAAAGTTAGAATGCAAGTCACCAGTCAAATGCTACACATATCAGCATGAAATTATCATATAATCGGAATTTTTGACAAAACGGCTGAGAAACCAGGCAAGTTTTCATCAAAATCTCCCAAACGTCCTCCAAAGTTCAATTAGTTTGATAAAATATATCAGCTTAATTTACTAATGTAATAATCTCCGCATTGTGCGTCGAAGACTTTAGAACCACTCTTCACGGCTTAAAAAAGGGTTAGCAGTGTCTCTTTGGAATGATCAGGTAGCTTTAAATTCAATGATTGTTCTCATGAATCATCAAATGCAGTCTAGAGTAAAAGCAAGTGGCGTCAAACGTAATAGCTCCAATACCGCGAACGGTCGCACATTTGCGCATGTACGTATTGCGTACCTACATTTGCCATGTCACTTTGGTCACAAATGAAACCTTATACAAAGCAGATGTGAATCTGCTTTTCCACGAAAGCAGTCACTACATAAGAAGCTGCACCTTTGTCCTAACACTGACAGTCTGTGCTATCAGCGCGAGGGAAAAGAGCGGTAAGAAGGAAAATTCATAATTTATTTCAAGAAAGAAAAAATTCCCGTTACTTCTAGAGAGGTTTATAGACGCGGACGATTTCACTGCATTCAAAGGTAATGTCATCTTTAATTTCGGTTGCTGTAATTATTTTGGCAACATCTCTGAACGAGCCATACAATTTCCTAGTAATTCCCATCGACCAGTGATATAAGAATTATACGATTTTCATGTATCGCCAAGTGTCATCATTTTTGAAACGGTTTCGGAAAGTCGATCGACCTTTGGGTTGCACACTAAATACTAATCGTGTTCTCCATAATTTAGGTCTCGTGGTTTAACAGTCTTTTCAGGCGCCTTTTATGTGCATTTTGTAACGATAACTGAAAAATACCTGGGGAAAGAGCCAAACTTGTTGCATTAAAAGTCCTGTAAATCGATCATCAAGAAACCAAATTTTCAGTGATAGATGTTAACATCTGTCACGAACATGCGAGGAAATATTTCAATTCACCACGATGAGGATTCCAACCTCAGACTTTTCGAATCATCGCAGTCGAATCATGGACCAACTAAGCTACAAACGTGATTTATATCTTACATATACTGCGAGGATCTGTTGCATCAAAAACTAGTGTCTCATGTAGAAAAAATGATGAGGATCTTACATTTTGCACTCTGGTGAGTCGCGAGAGACCTGTTTACATCGAGAAATTAAGTTGATCGATGTTTCCTCGCATTCAGGCTTTCCGAGAAAGCTAATCCAATTTCTTAATAGGAGTGAAATTCTAATAGCCATTCAGCCGTCAGGAAATATCTTAAAGAAAGCAAAACATAAGTTCCCCTTGCTTTCATAGAGGTTTATAGACGCGGACGATTTCACTGCACTCAGGGTACAGTCATTTTTCGGTTGCTGTTAGCGAGTCATTGGTCGTATTTGTAGATGAGCCCATCCTACTTCCTAGTAATTTCCATCGACCAGTGATTACAATAATGTACAATTTCCATGTATTGTTGAATGTCAACATCACTGAAACGTTTTTGGAAAGTCAATCAATCAACCTATAGGCTACACACTTAATAAGTTCATTGTTTTTTCCATAATTTAGGTCTCATGGTTTAACAGCCTTTTCAGGCGCCTTTTATTTGCATTTTGTAACGATAACTGAAAATTTAAAAAATGTCGGAAAATACCTGGGGAAAGAGCCAAACTTGTTGCATAAAAAGTTCTTTAAATCGGTCATTTAGAAACCAAATTTTCAGTGATGGGTGGCAAGCATTTGTCACGAACATGCGAGAAGGAAATATTTTAATTCCCCACTATGAGGATTCGAACCTCAGACTTTTGGACCGATTTCGCTGTCGGATCATAGACCAATTAAGCTATAGTAGACAATTTAGTTTATCAACTTAGATTAAAATGTAAATTGGCCACCGCAAAGAGGTTCTAAAGCTAACTTTTCGCGCGTTAGCTCTTCGGTAGGGCGACTGATGTAAAGACAGTTCTAAAGCTAACATCACGAGGATAAAACCTTCGTAAAAGCAACAGACAACCTACGTATTGGCAGCTAAGTCACCTGTTAAGTAAAAACGGGACACTGTGCAGGATATCGAGCCGGTTAGCTCTTCGTATAGGGCGACTAATGTAAAGGCAGTCTTTAAAGCTAACGTTACGAGCGTAAACCCTTCGTTAAAGCGACAAACAACCTACGCATATTGGCAGCTAAGTCACATGCTAAGTACAAACGAGACACTGTGTAGGATATGTCTAATATACTGCTAGGATCTGTCTCATCTAAAGCTAGTGTCTCGTGTGGATAAAACGAGGAGGATTGTACATTTTGCACCCTTCTTATATTGCGAACTTGAGTTGATCGATGTTTGCACGTTCAGGCTTTCCAAGAAAGCTAATCCAATTTCTTGATTGGAGCGAAACTCTAATAGCCATTCAGCCGTCAAGAAATTAAGTTCCCCTTGCTTTCGTAGACGTTTATAGACGGGGACGATGTCACTGCACTCTTCAAAGATACTGTTATATTTTGGTTGCTGTAATTATTGACCACATCTCTAAATGAGCCATATCATTTCCTAGTAATTTCCACTGATCCGTGATATGAGTAATGCACAATTTTCATGCGAATACTTTGCTAAATGTTATCATAGTTAACACGTTTTCGGAAAGTCAATAAACGTTTAGGCTACATAAGTAAGTTAATTGTTTTTCCATAATTTAGGTCTTATGGTTTAACAGCCCTATCATTCGCCTCTTATTTGCAAAGTGTATAATTACTGAAAAATGCAGTTGGGAAATACCTGGGGAAAAAGCAAAACTAGTTGCATCAAAATGTCTGATAAATAGAACATTTAGAGGCCAAATTTCCAGTGATAGATGGCAAGCATTTGTCACGAACACACCACTGGAAAATATCTTAATACACTGCGATAAAGATGCTCAACAACACAAACACACAATCCGCAACACTAGCACAAAACTCTACACAAACACAAACTTAAGTCTGTGTTTGTGTAGAGTTTTGTGTTAGTGTTGTGGATTTTGTGATTCTGTTTTACTGAGTTTGTGTTTGTGTGGTAGAGTTTTGTGTTAGTGTTGCAGATTTTGTGATTCTGTTTTAATTTTGTGTTTGTGTGGTAGAGTTTTGTGTTAGTGTTGCGGATTTTGTGATTCTGTTTTAAGTTTGTGTTTGTGTGGTAGAGTTTTGTGTTAGTGTTGCGGATTTTGTGATTCTGTTTTAAGTTTGTGTTTGTGTTGTAGAGTTTTGTGTTAGTGTTGCGGATTTTGTGATTCTGTTTTAAGTTTGTGTTTGTGTTGTAGGCTTTGTGACTTACCAGCCATCGTACGAAAGTGTTTCATGAGATAAAATGAGATAAAATGAGATTGATCGTACATTTTGCATCTTGGTGTATCTTGAGAGACCTGATTACATTGCGAATGTAAGATGATATTTCGTCGCTTTCAGGCTTTCCAAGAAGCCAGTCCAATTTCCGTTTAACTGAGAAAAAGTGACTGCCAAGAAAAAGGTAAACACGACCAGAAAATGTCATTTTCTTAATCCTTTCCGTCATAAAATAGGCATTTTATGATTCTAAAGTATGATTCTCGAGTAGATGGCTTATATTAAGGTACATAAGTAAGACATCGTTTCATAAAAAATTACTTAGGAGCGTGAGTAAACAATTCAGCTTGGAAGAAAAGGAGCAAAATGTTGCTTCCAATTCAGCTTAGAAGGAAACTAATATTCTCTTGTTGGCAAGAGAATATTAGTATATATTCTCTTGCTGTTTGTAATTTATGTGTTCGTCTTGGTTTTTGCGGTAACCAGAAAACACTGAACTTCTTACATCGTTGCATAAGACCTGGAGTGGGGCATTCACAGCCTTCTCTACAGCAGTTATCAAACCTTCTAAATCGGCCTAAGATCTGATTCAAATTTTCCCTTCAAGCTGCTAATACTGAACGGTAGAATCTTTTAATAGCTAACTCACTGATCTACTCCCAGAAATTTATTCATGCTTGATGATATATTTATTTATCCATATATAATGATATAGTGATCTACAGAATGATATATTATAAGGAGAAGTGACATATCAGTCTCATCTTGAAGTCAAAGATTCCCGAAGAACCATTACGTACCCATATTCAGTTCTAAAATAAAAAGATACGGGACAGGGTTGACTCAAGGGTACAATTGGTATTGAGGCTCCGGGTAATGAGCTCCTGTATTTACTGATTTATAACAATTTAATTTCAAAATACAACCATTTTTGTTAGGCTTAGTTCACAGTGGGTGATTTGATTTAAAAAGCTTGTTTCCTTTATTAAACAGAGAAACGAGAACTCGTGGAAAAATGAATCAAAGTTCTAGGAACCAGCGTTTCGCTGATCAGCAACCTGTTGGCCAAGTCCCTGCAGGTCAATTGCAGCCCATGTTTGTCGCGGCCCAGGCCCCTCCTAGACAGTATGCTCAACAACCAGTTGGACAGGTTCAACAGGTCCAACTGGTTCAGCCCGCAGCAGCACAGGACGCGACAGTGCCAAAGACTACCGATTATTGGAATAGTGCTTTGATTGCAGAAAGAGTGGTTGAGTTTGTGAGTTGTTGTTCCTTTTTCCACAAATTGTTGTCAGAATAAGCTGCCACATTTTTAGAAGAAAGATTGCTTATTGACCTAGGCTGCGACAGCTTTTTTTGATTTTGAAGAAAATGAGCTTAGTGCTCTGAAGCATAACGATACATATTTGCGAACAATCTTTAAATTGAAAACCAAAAGCCCAGTAAGCCACCTGGCAACGGGAAAAACCCACGTTTTGATTCACTGTTATGACACCTCTAATACAGTTTATTTTTTGTTTGTAGCTTTTCCTGTCAGCTGCCTGGATATCGATTGTTAGATATTCCAGCCTGAGCGGAAGCGATGCTCTGACATCGCTTGGTTCATATTACGTATATTCCAGTGATATACATGCAGTCGGGAGAGTGAATTTTTTTAAGGGAATTACAGTGTTCTGCTGGATCGTGTCCATTGTGTTTCAAATTGGGTTTGTTTTTGGCTTCAACCATATCAAGCGTCTCTTTTCACGACCGTCACACTTGACAATTGTCGTAAGTTTATCGTTGGTGAAAATATATATTTTACATTTGAGACCAGTTAACAGACTTCCACGGCTGTGGAAGAGTGTCGCGATAATCGACAGCTCGGGAGTATTGATACTTTTCTAGAATAAAATGACACCCTACTAATGGTTCATCAGATTTTCCTTAAGTGTTTGTATGCAAAGCCACGAATAGGAATACAGGGTGAAGTAGAAATCCCATTTTCCAGCCTAGGTTTTGCCCAAATCAAATTTCGCAGCCTAATTTTTGTCAAAATCTTTCTCCAATTGCATTTTTTGTGCATACTTTCCTGGGACTCAAGTCAAATTTATTTTCATTAAAAAACCAAAGCAAATCCTCGTTCGTCATTTACCACTTCAGGCCTCTCTGCGCATGGGCATGAATTTAAGGAGCCACGTCACTAAAAGGAGCCAAATCACAGTTTGCGTGCATCTTGAAAGATTTATCCTAAATCTTTGTGTGTTCGTCATTAATTATCATTTGCAATTCACTTTAATGTTCTCAACCCTTAAAAAATCTTGTTCCATACTGGTTTATTGTCGGCTTTTGCTTGACGAGCTATTATTAAACGATTTGAAAAAAAAAGCTGTTAAGACCTCCTTTCCCCTCCCCTCTCCTCCCCTCTCTGTCTTTCCCCCCAAACTCTTCTAAAATATGACAGTAATTAGAGGATGATAATAGTAATGACAATGAAAATGATAATGACAACGATAATGACAATGATAGTGATAACGACAATGACTATGACAATGATGATGACAATGATGATGACGATGACAATGAAAATAACGATTACGATGACCATGATAATGATAATGATAGTGATAACGACGACGACTATGAGGATGAAAATAACGATAACGATGACCATTACCATGACGATGATGACGATAATGAAAGTTTTATCGTTCGTCCGGCGATATAGTTACTTCTGAACCTATCAGATTCAGCTTTTCTCTTTTTCTCCACAGTGCTTCATTGTGCATATCATCCTGACCATCTTACTGGTGGCTTGTACAGTGAACCTCGTGTTTCATGCGCATGAGATGTCCAAGGCTTACGACTCACTGCTCCCGGCTATAAGGATTAACCTTGATGAACTCTACTTGGCACTGGTAATCTACAACGGCAGTCTATCCTTTAAGCCTTAATATGTGCCACAGAGTAAAAAGTTTACGACTATACTATGGGAACTTTTATTATTACAAGGAAAATAGGCCTATGAAGAGAACTCAGATTCGTAGGTGGTTCGCCGAGTAGAATCCGTTTTCAATGTTTGAAGCCAAATTATTTCATACAAAACATAACCAGCCGCCTTATAAGGGGACGGTGGGTTTTCCTTTGAGGAGTGAAACTTAATGATTTTAGTACTCTAAAACGTTTTTCCTCAACTTGTAATAACGATTTTCTACCTTTTTCGACAGATTTTTGGTTTTCTGGTCTGCTTTTCTTTCTTCGAAAGCGTTCGATTGTTCTACAAAATGATCGTTACACAAAGAGGAGAGGAAGAAACTGAGAACACTGCACAGACGGCTCGGGGGCCTGGTATTCAGTCTTCTGCCATGTAACCCAAAGGTCACATTTGAACAAGGAAAAAAACCCTTTATCTAGCTTACGAGATATACCAGCGTGTTGAACCTAGTTAACATTAGAAATGCCTGAAACGACTTGATAAAGTTGATGAAATATGTTACTCATTGCAACTTTCTTTTTTGAGGGTGTTAGGTTTCGTATTTTTGTGCTTTACACTATCGGATCGCGTTTGCTTGCATTTTTTTAGTCGGATTGTTCAGTTATGTAATAGAGGTCATCAGCTAATGACTGGGCCTTACCAATATACTCTAACCTTATACTCTTCTTGACCTTGCTGACTTAGAGTTGTAGTTAGTCACTTTATGTGAATGCAGAAAAATAAATTTTGTACATGGTCAGATTGCTCTCGACCTAAACTGCTACACCGTTGTTTTCGTCTTTGATTTAGAAAAATGTTCTAACGATGAATTTTTCGATGTTTCTGAAGTAATTCGCATTTAGTTGCGACTTGATATGATGCAAAGGGGACTAATTTCTTCTAAAAAAAAATCGTTGTAAGATCGTTGATCCATAGGGAATGAACGAGTGAACATGGGAAACGGCGATATCTATGCCATAAGAGACGCCTGCCACTAACACACAATCAGCAAACTATTTCCTCTGAGCATTTCTTTAAATATCAAATTTATTTTTATCAACAGTATCACACTCTATTAAATACCTATAACTTACGAGACACCTGCCGCGAACACGCAATCAGCACACTATTTCCTCTTTGTCTTTCTTAGCCTTGATATCTCGTCACTTCAAACACTTTAAAACTGGCAGAGTAAATAGCATTTGAAGGAAAATCCTGAGAAACGCATGATAAAATCTGTTTTCTCTATCAATCACCCACGCTTTAGGCAAAAAAACAGACTATTTTCAGTAATCCACATTAAATTCTACTGAAATTTATGTTCAGTATGTATTTCCTAAAACCATTAAATACTTAGCTGATAGTTTACAGCATCACACCACAATACTTCATTGTAAAATATACTACATAACTCTTTTTACCAGAAAATATCAATTAGCTTTTAGTAAAAAAAAATCCCTTATCATTTAAATTAGTATTACAGCTATTCCAAAATTTGAAAACATTAAGTCTCTTTCCATGCTAGTATTCTGTTACTTGAAGATAAAATCACAAAATTAAATATTCAGCTTTAGTTTTAGCTACCAGTAGCTGGAACTGCAAAATTCTGTTCCCGATAAAACACACAACCAAAAATAAACAACTCCCACACAAAATTGATGCTACATGGTAAAAAAGAAGGGGGGTGGTGGGGAAGAATATGAAAGAGATTTACTACTGTCAACTTCCCAAAAATCAATAATGCTGGAAAACCTCAAATTGTAATCATTATTCACTAGATTTTACAAATTTTACAGGTTGATTTATTTGTTTTCTTCTTTATTTTAGTCTTGATTGATAGGCACACTTTGATGTCTAGTAACTCACACTAACCAAATAAGAATTCTTTGCATTAATCTTATTACTTGTAACTTTGGGTGGAAACTTTTCCTCCTATTAAATACTTTGATGATCAACTTTTCAAAAAATATAAATTAAAAAAGGAATGAGACAAAATAAGATAAAATAAAATAACAAAGCAAAAACAGACTGAGTCAAAACTTAGAAAAATATACTCAACAATCTTGCTTAACACATAACATTCATTTGTACATCTGGATGGATCTGTCTTGTTATGATCTGTTTGTTTGTTTGTTTGCTTGTTTCAGTTCTAAAGGGATTTCAAATTTCCCATCAAAATTCATTTCTAAACCACATAAGAATTTGTATTAAATATAGCTGCACCTATGAAGTAAGAGTTATTTTAATGACTAGCTGATAGGGTACATGGAAAAGGCCCTTAGTGATTTTGAATAACTGTACGATTCTCCTTCCAAATGAGATTGTATTACAAAATACGACACTCAAGGAGAATTTCATGTTGCATCAAAAGCAACTTAAGGCTTTACAACCAAACCCCTACAATTATGTTATTTGAAACCCATTTTGAGTCTTGGTATTTCAATATTGATCATAGACAGAATGCAAATTTGCAGATTACTTGGTAGGTTAGGTTTTGTTTTGTAAATGTAGCCCTTGAAAAGCTAAGACTACAAGTTTTTTGGGTTCCCAGATGCCAACCAAAGGGAGTAAAATCTTCCACACAATTCAAACCAGATGCCTGACTACCTTCACTTTGATGGAACTTAACCCACGCACCAATTAGTCTGCCATATTTGTATTCAGTGTTTAAAATAGAGCATTTAGTCATATTCAGACCCAATAGTTATGCTTAGTTCCTTGCCAACAATGTCCGTCTGGTGAAACCACTTGTTTGTGTCCAAAACAACTACAATCAAAAATAAATTCACCAAAATTATAATCTAAATTAATTTGACCAACAGTGTCCAAATGTGGATAAATAACAAAGTGCATTTTGTAATTAATGTAAAGAATAAAAATTAACTTTTCACTAGTAAATACTACTCCATGCTCCTAAACAAAAGTGTATCTTTTATTAACATTAATTTTATGTACCCTTGCTATTTAATGTACCCTTGCTTTAAGATTTTATCTTTTTTTGCCTTTTAGCTCTTTAATTCCCAAAAGCGATCAACATAAAACTTCTCCCCACAATATCCATACATTCTTCAGCAAACAGGTAATGAGAATATTCAAACTTATCAGGTAGAAGCTGTTATCTTAATCTAGCACCAAGTTCTCATAACTTACTTACAAGGAAATGTGTAGCAGCTACAGGGGGAAATTAACAATCAGATCTTGGGAGTTGAGGGGTTAACCCTTTCATTCTCAAGATCTTATTATGTAATTTGCCTTATTATACGCCAAACAATTCCTATGATTATGGTGCAGAAATTTAGTATTAGACCCACAAATAATCACCTCATTCATATTTTTCTTTATTCTCATCACTTTCTTCTTGATATTGCAGTGATATTGTAAGGAGAAATACTGTCTTGGTCATGCTTGGGAGTTTAAGGGTTAACAAGTGTTTCTTGTGTGATGATTGATTTTTTTTTTCAGGAGAGGAGGGGGGTAAATAACCAGTCTTACAATGGTTTCCCTTATCAAAAGTAACAAGAAACATATAAGCTGACATACTTATTTCTCCTGAGTTAACTGTCACCTCAAGCTTTGGATCACAAACATTGGCACATTCCGGTGGGGGCTCCAAAGTCCACTTTTTGGTTCCCTTAATTTGAGCTTGCCAGGAAGGGTTCCCTACATTGTCAATCTATAAGAAGCAATTGCCAAGGAATGATGAACTCTTTTCCTTAAATGTACCATGCAAATTTAAAAACATTTGATGGATCATAACTTCATGCATTCACAGACAGACAATATAAAATCATGTCACATTTGGAAATTTTGTTTTAAGGTAAGCAAATTCAAGGAGGTTTCTCACATTGTTTGTTATCTAACACTAGATCTTGAAAATCAAGAATATTTACATGTAAATGAGCACCATATCCTGGGCAGCCCATGAACAACCAATCAGTCTTGCTTGATTCTGAAGTCTCGGGCAGAAAATATGGCATTTTGTAATGTTTACGAAGTTCATTAGCAGCTGAGGAGTCACAGTTAGACCTGTATGATAATGAAACAAAACAAAATCATTAAAAAATATGAGGCAGTATGCATTAACTGGAAGGAAATCTTTTTTACAGTTAGCATTCATCTATGCTATTCTGACCAGACTGAAAAATGCATTTTTGTCTTCATGCTGAAAGGCTCTCTCACCTGACTTCAGGCTAAAAATTGTCTAGAATACTGAAGATAATATCAAAGTTGACAAAAATAAATGAAAAAGAACAAAACTATTTCAAAAATTAGCAACACCATTAAAAGAATATTGTTTTTTCATCACTGAAAATAAATCAGTCAATGTTTTTCATTGCAAGCAGTGTACCTTAGAGATGTACCTTTTAGATTTTCTATCATTTGTCCTTTTCACTTCTAAGTGTTCATTAGTGTTTTATCTTTTGAAAGAGCGCACATTAGGAAAACAGAGATTTGTATCATCAATTAATCTAAAACAAGCATTTTGTATTCTCAAATAAAAACTGATTAGAAATACATGTCATATGCTTGAATTTTTTCTTAATAACTATTTCTGATTTTTTCTTATTATAACTAAATATTGTAGAAATCATATAATTAACCCTTTAACTCCCATGAGTGACCAAGACAGAATTTCTCCTAAAAATATCAATACAATATTAATTAGATAAGTGATGAGAATAAAGAAAAATATAAATTTGGGGATAATTAGTTGATCCAATACTAAATTCTTAGAACTAACTTTATCAGAATTGTAAAGTTGACAGTAAGGAGAATTACAAATTTAATCTGGGAGATAAAGGGTTAAGAACTAATGATTAAGTGCCATATTTTCATTCCTTGTTCCTTTTGCCACAGAACAAACAGATATGCAATAACTCACAGATGAATTTCCTTGAATCCAACCTTATAAAAGCATGGCTTTAGAGCTCTGTTTAGTTACACTAAAACATTGAAAGGGAGATTTCTCACACACAGCTTATTGGGTTTTACATATAAAATGAAAATCTTTCCCCACCAACCATATTATATCCAATAATAAAACTATGCGTATATTGTGCCAGCCCAAATCCTGTACACAGTAAAAAGTTAAAATTGTGGACGGTGGCAAAGAACACTTTCAGAAAAAAATAATTTGAAAGTGCTATGGAGCTACATAAATTTTAATAAGCTTAAGCAAAAAGCAGAAACATTGCAACTAATCATGTGAATCTCATTTCATTCAAAACATCAGAGGCACAGTATAATAATACCACTTCTTATATTGATGGCTCACATTTAGCAACCAATTTCTTCAAAATTCTCCTTTGCCCTTTGAATTAAGATCCCCTGAGCAACCCCTTCTTCCTTATAAATTCAAAATATCAGTATCTCTATTGAATGGCTCATTAAAGCTTTTGTTAGGTAACCTTTTCTGATGGCACCGTTTGGAAACACATAAATTTCCTCTGTTGATCAGTTGCAATGATATAATTATAATATTGGGGAAAAAAAACTGAAACAAAAACATTCAAGTTTTTGAAAGTCCTGATCCATTCCCTATAGGAAATTTCTGTACATATCTATTTTTTTAAATTTTTTTGGAATTACTTTCTGGTTAAATAATTCTTATCACAGGATCATGGAATGACAAAAGAAATTCAAAATCAATAAATTCAGGCCACAGTTCTCTGTTATCAACTTAGGGTTGAAACGTAACTGGCTTCTGTCGAATATTTAGATTTAACTCAAATTCTGTTACAGATTATAAATATTTACACAAACTTATCTGTTAAACAAAGAGTAAAAGAACATATATTAAGTTTGAGCATATTGAGATAAAATATCTCATTAAATGGCACTACTGATCATGAGCACTAAACATTTTACAGTTTATATGCAGCATAGCAAAATCCCTGGCCTCTTTGCCGTAAATTGCATACTCAAAAACAGCAACTATAAGTTCTATTAAAGGGAATTGTCGACTCTTTCCAGGGTGGAACTTTTCACAATAATTCATAAACTAAAACATGTTCAAATTTCATGATTTTCAAACAAATAGTTAACACAATACTAAACGCTAATTTCCATTCATAAATCCCGTTTTCATTCAAACAAATTTCTCATGAGACACTCATTAAAGCTTCATGGTAATAACGAGAAAATAGAAGAAAAAAAAGCTTTCTTACCATCCGATATACCATGGATTTCCCTTCATATTTGCATCCTCTTTAGACATGTTGAAAACTTCTTGGAGGGACTTAAAGTTTGTCTTGTAGGGAAAGAATTGACACTTCTGATCTTCTGACAACAAAACTGGGCTTTCAGGACCGTAAATTGACTTAAAATAATCGAAACTAAAATGTTGAGAAGCAGTCCAATCCTTTGTTCCGTCTGTGATGACCACCGGTCTCGAGGTGTAAGCATATTTTCGAACGAATTCCTCTCTTGAGAGCAACGAAACTCTATCGACTTGGTGCACGTCTTCGCAAATGGCGCATTCTACGGGCGGACGAAACATGTCCAAAATTATCTCAGGGTACGGAATGACACAAAAGTCTTTCTCGATGTCAAAATCCAAGACATACTCGGCAACTTTCCACAGAGATTGATTCGAAAGCAAGCCTTGTTGATAAAATATCAATCCGAATCCTGTCAATATTCCCACCAAACCAAAGACAAAGCTGGTAAAAACAAGACAAGTTGATCGTCTCTTACGGAGGTTCCTCACAGATGTTAATTTCGTCAGCTGCGAATCTTTAATTCCTAGTTCTTTGGCCCTCCTTCGCAGTGCTCCAAAGGAGTCACTGACTTTTTGTAGCTCGTGTTCTTTTCCCGTCGCCATAATTCTGACACTACTAACGTCAGTTGGGAGAAGGGGAGGGGAGAGGGTAAAGATAACATGCAACCGCTGACACCTGAGGTAAATATCAGACCATAGTAACGGATGTGCGAGTGAGTTATTTAAGGAGGAGAGAGTGATATTTTCAGCTAACACTCGACAATTTACGAATTTCCGATGTTTTGTTCCGTTGATAGCTTAAGTAATAAAAGCCGAAACAGCTGGACGTGTGTGCTCTTTCATCTGAACAAAGATAAGTCTCTCTTGAATTAATGTATCTCTGAGTCCCAAGCCTGTGATGAGAAGTTTAGAGGAACTCGTCACCTATTGTTCTTTTGACAGTTAAGAGTTTGCCAAGCAACCCATGTGACCGGAAAGCTCTCGTAAACTCTCGTAAACGAGGGCATTGTATGCTATTGTGGGCTAAAAAGAGTTTGTTTTGTTTGTATTGTTGCTTGGATACCTTTTTCTGTTGTTGTTGTTACTTTTGATACAGTATGCCGGTGTTTTTTCTTGTCTCGATATAAATCTAAGACCATAAATAACTCCTTAGCATTGTGAGAAAAAACACGAGAGAAAAATGTCAGCCACTTAATGTATTTCCTTGTGTTACGTAGCGCGAACTGTACCAAGAGTGAACTTACAGCGTGCTCATCTTTCTGAGTCTTTTATACATATTTTGGGGTGTCACCACCAGTTGATTAAACAAGCTTACTTCCTTTTGTCTTCTTTTTAGAATTTTTGCAAAAAAGTTCACGAAGTGTTCAGAAGTGTTCCCCGCTACTTTTTACGTTAAGTACAGAGCACAGGTGTACAAATGGGAAAAATGGAAATAAATATACACTCCCTTTTGACAATAATAATGGCTTCTCTTTTCAAATCTATTATTTCAATTGAAATATAACTTCAGACAGAGTAGGTTCCATTTAACGGCAAGCAAAAGCTTTCTACAAGCGAGATGTTCTACACTGAGTGGAAAGCTTGATGGTGTGATCTGATCTTCCTTTACTCCTGGGTTAAAACCATTAACTACGTAAGGAGAAAGTGTATTGAGGAATTAAAATAACCCATAATTTTTCATTTGATTTTGATACTCCTGGTCAGGTGTGACCTGATTCCTGTCACCTCGCCACCATACCGGTTCTGCTCGTTTACAACCGGTAGGACCTGTAACAAGAACGAGAAAAACAAGTTAAATGATACAAAAATAGAAAGTGAAAGAGAACAGAAATTCAGGTAAAATCCATACCAGACACCGTACTAAACTGAAAAAAAAAAAAGTGTTAAGGATCTTACCTGACTCTTGCGCTTTATCTGAGCCTTATAGAATTTTCTTCTGTGTTTCACACGCGGATTACGAAGTTCCTTTTTCTTCTTAGCTGTAAGTCCCTTATTTTGAGAAATCTAAGGCGAAACGACACTTATATTACTTATATTATATTATGACACATAACCCGGCCCTTACACCCTAACATCAGTATGCATATTCTCCATACTGTTCACTTTACATTTCCTAGAGTGCTGACAAGGAGAATTTGTTTAACAATCAAGAGCTTCTTTAGTTGATGATCATTTTCTTAACTCTCGTAACCTTAATGAGTGATTCAGGGGTGATATTGTAAGGAGAAATTAGATGCTGGTCAATCATACGGGTCAACAGGTTCATAAAGCAAAACGATCGTAACGGTTGTAAGTCTTGTAGTTCTCACCTCGTAAGTAATTCCTCTTTTTCCGTCCTCGTTCTCTTCCTCTTCAGCATCATACTGTTCTGAGGTGAAACTAAAATCAAAGTAAATAAAAATGTGGGATAAATAAATTGCAAAGGACGTTCCCGTCGCATGTTAACGTGAAACTTACACGTTGGTTGTGTCAGTTGAGCATATTTGTTATCTGCAAAAAGGATTTTAAATTAACTCTTCCCACGTTCAGGTTTTTCCCATTCCCTTCCTTCCCTCTCCTCCGATTTCTTCTCTGTAAAAGAGAGGCATTGTGTCTGAAACCTACACTGTCATGGACACAGCCTAATTAGCCAAAGCCAAAATCGTGGGACCTCGCAATCAGTCAGGTGAAGGCCTCAACACAGTTCTATTTCCAAACTTAACAAACAAAAAATGTAGAAAGATACAGTCAGCTGTATGTCATTGTCGCTCGTGATAACTCTGGCGTGATGGCATTTCCCGGCCTTCGAGCACCTACACGTCCATTTTGCGTAACGAGCGGTTACGGTCGCAAGATTTGTGCCAGCGAGGAGTCTTGTAAATTTTTTACCAGACCCACCGCTGACCTCTTGCAGGCCTCGCTTCACATGCTACAACGCTGAGGAGAATATGCTCGCATGAGAGTGTTTCCCCTCCCCTCCCCTTACCTATAGGCTGCCTTTTTAGCTTCTTTTTTCATTTTCTTCTGTAGTTTGACTGCTTCATAGTATTCTAACGGGTTTGTCTCATCAACATCATCCTTCATCTTCCTTTTTCCTTTAATGCCCTTTGCAAGTTTATTCGATTTTCCTTCCTGTGGGAACCAAAACACAATTAATAATGTAGATTGACCACCGTATTTCAACTGAAAAGTGAGTATACATACGTTATCTTTCTCCGATTTTTTCTTCTTTTTGTTTTCACTTTTACTGTCCCCTGCTTCGCTGTAATTGTCATCGCTATCATCAAGAAGACTTGACAACTTCACAGACTTTTGAGATGTTTTGGATTGTTCCTGAAAGAGCATTGGCACATTTAGAACGTTAACCTTATACACCCTTACAAGGAGAAAATGTCAAACAATAAGGAGCTTATTGAATTGCGATCATTTCCTGTATTCTCCTAACCTTAATGTGTGATTCAGGAGTAATTTTTAGAGGAGAAATGAGGTGCTAGCCACTCTAACGAGTCAAAAAGTTAATGATTGGGAAAGCAGAGAGACATGTATGGGAATAAGACAATATGGGTTAAAATGTTTATATCTCGTGCGTGGAAGGGTACAATGGTAGAAGTTGCATTGCCTTTTTTCTCTTTTTGATTTTGTATTTTTAAGTGCGCGAAATGTTTCTTACCTGACTACTGTCTGCTTCGCTATCAATCTTCTCTTGAGTGTCTTAAAAGAGAAATTCAAACAAACCACAAAAATGAATGAAAAAAATATTGTAGTACTGCAAGTATTCTAAATTATACAAGACTGCAGTTGCGGAAGCACCGAAAATCAAAGTGGAACCTGGACCGAATGAAATTTAACGGAATCGTCCAAAATTAGACTCAACTGCCCGAAATCAGACGCAACTGACCGAAATTGGACGCAACTGTCCAAAGTTGGACGCAACTGTCCGAAATTGGACGCAACTGTCCGAAGTGGTACGCAACTATCTGAAATTGGACGCAACTGTCCGAAGTTGGACGCAACTATCTGAAATTGGACGCATCTAGCCAAAATTGGACGAACCCCTTCAAACTTAAAATGTAACATGTGCACTCTTTCACCGATAACGCGTCTTAACAGCTTTTGTAGCACTAACAGATCATACAGAAAGCAATTAAAAAAATCACGCACTCTCTGAAAAAAAGCAAAACGATCATTAGACAAAATCTTACCATTTTGGCATAAGATTTGGCTCTTTGTAAGTAGCTCCTCTATTTCCGGCTTCAACCTCTCATCGAGTGGTTCAAGTTCTGTTATGAGCTTTAAAAAGATGAAAGAAGCAAGTCTTAGCTCAAATAATTAGTATACATAAAAACATATCATTACTCATTCCCCAGAAAAAATTTACACGAAGGTGGTTACGAAAACACAAGCAGAAGTTAAAGATACTAAATGCTATAGCGATCCCCGAGGTGAAATCTCACTTTTCGCCACTGCACGAGTTTCAGGACATCAGTCCAAGATCATTTCTAATTTTTCGATTATTTTTTCTGTTCATATCGATTTATTCATAAGTATAATTTCAGTTCCTCTCCATCAAAGGAGTACATGAGTTTAAATGATATTTAAACACTGTCAGCGTCAGCGTTTCCATAACTCAGTTGGTTACACCATCACATCGACATCGCCAGTTTCAATTCATTCAGATTCAAATAATTCAGTCTTTTTTGGCTATTTGTCACAGCTGCTTTTCAAAAAAATCAATCATTTGACCATTTCGCTTAGCTTTTGCAGTTCAAATTGATTCAATCACATCCAGAATTTCAGCGGCAGTGAAACGACTAAATAATCTCAGAAAAATCTCGCTAAAAGCATCACAGTTTCATTAAAAGAATACTGCTCTCACAGCTGGAAGTTTTATTTACACTGAATACATAGTAAGGAAGATTTCAGTGGCGGCAATCTCACCTTTCTGTACTGGACAAGTCGTTCAATCACCGGATGATCCCTTACAGAAGTTTGTCTGGCTTTCAGCAGCAAGTAGAACCCAATGTTGACACAGTAACTGTTCAGTAAAAACGCGAATGATATTTCAAGTCAAACAACGACTTATTTCACGTTAGATCTTTCAACCTGTCGTTTTCTTCATGATAAACATAAGTCAAGTTTAAATTTTACTTTTATTGATTCCTCGATGCCTTTCAAATAACCAGCTTAGAGGTCTAACATGACTGCCATTACCTTTCTTAAAAAGGTTTACACATGTTTGATTAAGACATCTTTAAGTAATACTTACTTGAGATAAAGCTGATGTTTCAGTTCAAGATAGTCTGCACCCTAAAACAAGAAAGATGAAAAATCATTAAAAGGACATCTTCAATGACTTCAATCACTAATACTGTACCTCTTTTGGGACTTGACCTGCTCTTGCCATCTTCACAAGAGGATACACTTTTTCTATGACTTCTTTCAGCTGATGGAAAAAGTGTAAATAAAAACATCCATTTATTGCTTGTTACAGTGTGAAATTTGTTGTCACATTACCATGAGCAAGTACAGAAATATCTTTTTGCTTTTCCAATAGGTGTCAGTGGCAATACACACCCAAACAAGAAGGAAAACTTTTCATTATTCCTGTGTTAGAATCATTTACTGTTAATGGAGGGAAAAAACTGCCCTTTTGCAAACTTATGAAAGCAGTTAATAGAAAGGGCAGCTGGAAGTTTTTTTAATTCTCATTGAAAATGAAGAATTGAGAGGGTGTCTACATGGGAAACTGAATTGTGATAAGCCTTAAAACACCAAGTGATGCTCATGAGAAAGAAAAAGAATCAAACCATTGAGATGGCAATCCATATTTTGGGAGGCAAGAAACCAGCTGAGATGGAGGGAGTTTGTCTGTAGCCTGCTAAAAGCAGCCAATTAAACAGACAAGGCACTGAAATGAGCACAAAATGAAGAGTTTTTACCTTTACTTTGAATTCATCCAAGAGACCCAGAAGTTCTGGAGAATCTTTGATCAAAATCTGTTGAGGAAATTTAGGACAATGTTGAGGAGTTGAGTTTGATATAAATTTCCTTGCAGATACACATTGTACACTCCACATACCTGAATCTTTTCAGTCTTTGACAACTTTGTAAGGTCTTGGACAACCCTCTCCTGAAAATTAATCATTTGAAGATACATTATATTTTCTCTAAAGTTTTAAAATAAGAGAGCAGCATACAGTTGAAGGGGTTACTTCTTTAAGTAACTACATATACACATAAATTGTTCATCCCCATACTGTACCTCATTCAGTTCCACTTCTTTCACTTTCTGGTGAGGTGTTTGTGGAAGCTGAAAATAATGAAAAAAAAAAAGTAAGTTAATTGAAAAGGGAAACTAGTTGCCATATCTCACTGCCAGAGTATGAGATATGGCAGTCTTTACTGATTCTGCAGCTGACTAGAGAAAGTAGCATTGTAGAAACAAGTAGATTGTGCAGGTATGTAAGAAACATGTGCTGCAATTTGTAGCTATAATCTAGACATATTTCATTGTCCCTCAACCTGGTTGTATGGTATTGGATTTTGCATCAAACCCCCCACCCTCCTATACAGTGTTGAATCTTATCTTTCTGAGCTCCTTGCTGGTGCAAGATACTTGTGAAATTAAAATACTTTTTGCCACTCATAGTACAGAGATGCTGAGTCCTAGTGTACATTTAAGTTTAAAGGGGGTAAGTTTCTAAAGAAACTGTGGTGCTGCATCAGTAGGAGAGTGTTACAGGATAATGTAAATTGGCCTCTGTAACGAGTTTCAAAGCTGATGTTTCAAGCACTCTGATGAAGGGCTAATGCTCGAAATGTCAGCTTCCTATAGTTGATAATCCTAAATTATATTTAAGGTGGCTTACTACTGAAGCAAACCTCAAAGTTTTCAGCATCAAAATCTTGTTCTTGTAAAGAAGCAGCCATTTGTCTCTGTAGGGCCAGAGCCTCTTCTTCCTCTTCTTTTGCCAGCTCATCCATCTCCTCATCAGATCCTGTCAATACCAACATCAATGACAACAGATCAACACATTAAAACAACAATAGTGAAATGTTTTAAACAGTCAGCCTAATTACCTGAGGACACTAGCTGTATGAAGCTGGAATGCCAGAATCCACATTGAAAGAGACCATATTGTGAGTCGAACAATAAGGCCTCTCTACTATTGTAATTCTCCAAAGTTATGAATATCCACAACCCTTCTAATGATATTACTTGTGATCATAATACCAATAATGACAAAAACATCATAGCAACAGCATTAAAACATTAAAGAGCCACTCCTTTTCAGCAATAAAGTACAGGGCTAGTTTCAGTAGCCTGTTTTCAAAGCTGACTGCAGTTCATGAAACTCTCCACCAGTAATTTCTCAAATGACCTAAAATGACTTGAAACTAATTTTGAACCTTGATCCTAAAAAGTTTCCAAGAATGAGCTGATCAAGAATCATGGATGGAGTTTAACCCTTTCACCCCTAAGAGTGATTAGTAACAATTTTCCCCCTAGCAGTATCACCCCCTAAAACAAATATTGAGGTCATGAGAATAAAGGAAATGATCAAAAACTAAAGAAGCTCTTGATTGTTAAACAAATTCTCTTTGTCAGTACCAAAGGAAATGTATAGAGAACAGTATGGAGAAAAGGTATACTGATGTTAGGGTGTAAAGGGTTAACAGACTGTCAACTTACGATTGTCCCATAATAATCTACTGCATGTAACCTATCAATCTATTACCTAATCAGCTCTCTCATCTAAAAATTAAAGCATAATAGAGGCACAACTACAAGTAATTCAACATGAACACCCACCTGAATATTCTTCAACAATATCAGCGTCATAAAAAGCTGATTTCTTTCTACCCCAGGACTTTTGACTTGGCATGCCTATGAAAAAAATACATTTTAAGCATTTTATCTGCACTTTCTTATGGCTTACGTGAAAACAGAATAATGATATCTCTTTTTGGGTTTTTATCCATAGCAAGCATTAGCATCTTCAGGTCATTTTGCTCACCTTTTCCCCCTTCCTCTTCCTTTCCACTTTCTTCTTCATCTTCCTACAAAGAATTGCAAGATTATAATTACAGTCCAACCCATATTAAGCAGTCACCCACAGGGTGACCACTTAATAAGCTTCCACAGAATAGGTGTATTATAAAAACTGATAAAAAAAGAACTCCATTTCTTGACATAATTAACCACTAACCACTTTATGTACAAAAACTTTCTCAAAACTACTACTAATATCAACTATTGGAGATAAAAATGGATTAAATTTTTCTGGAAAGATTCTTCTTAGTTTCATTCAACTAGTTCTACTTTATGTGACCATTCAATACAGGGAGAGGACAATACAAACAGGTCATTGGGACTAAGTAAAGGTGACTCACGCAGTTATAGAGGTGAAAATTACAGTGACTGAAAGGAAAAAATTGGAGACTTTGACAAACGATTGCTTAATACAGGGTAACTGCTTAAATATGGTGCCACTTAAAATAGGTTCAATGGTATTGCTTTCACTAAAGGTTTTACACTATGCCTTTGACTTTATAATTTAATGGACACACTTAGTGCATGATTACCACTCAACTATAAGGTAACTACAACACCTCTGCACCAATCACTTAAATACAATGTAAGGAGTAAATTTACTTAAAAAGTACAATGTACCTCGTCAACTTCGTCATCCTCCAAGTCATCTGTATCAATATCACTTTCATCATCATCATCATCATCATCATTCTTGTCATTACTCTCATCATCAGAATCACCAATATCCAAGGCCATCACCTCTTCATCCTTGAAGTACATTAAAAAAAGTTCAGTAAAAGTAGCTTTTAGTCAACTTTTGAAGAATTTGTATAATATTTATCTGACAATTCTCAACAAATTGGGCAACTACCAAAAATTTCAGGATTAAACAAATTATTACACATACCTGTTGATTATCATCATCAAGATCTTCCTTGTCCTTGACAGTATCATCTAAAAGAATCTTAACAAAAACAAGATATACTATATGAGATTGAATTTAATTGTTCGATAACATTATGATAGTTTCTAATGTTCTAACTTTTAATTAAAACATCTCATTTTATGATAGTTTCTAATTTTCTACCTTTTAATTTAAACATCTTGTCTGGTGCATGAATATATGTGCATGTAATACAAGTATTTTTTTTGGCACATATCACAAAACAATTCCATAAGTAAGTTTTTCAGAGCCCAAACTACAATTAATTAGGTGTGCTGCAAGAGACTCACCTTCTCCCTCTCAGCATGAAATTTATCAATATCATCAAGAAAATAATCATCTCCTTCCTGTGAAATGTACAAGTGTTTGAGGAAGTCTCATTATTCTTTTATAATTATTGTTGACAAAGTACAGTAGAACTAAGGCTACATGTAATGCAGCATACTAGATCAATCAATACTTATCTTTTGTTCTGTGACAATTGGGGCAACAGGGAGAATTCTCCTACTGATTCATTTCTGAAAGGAGTCCCTGATTAGGCCATAGGCAGTAGACATAAATTGCAGACCTGACTGATATTCTTTTGTACTCATGTTAATTAGCCCAACTTGTCTCATCTTTGAATCAAGGTTTTGTTGTTCCTTGGACATACTGACAAGGTTAGTTGGGATAATCTACATAAATATAATAGAATACTTATTGAGTCAGCCATTTATGCAAAGGGTGAATGACATCCCATTCTATCAGATGATGAGAAAGTGTAAATTAAAAATAACGGCTTTCTACACCAAATTTTTGACCATGAAAATCAGTCTAATGCAAACATCCTGTTGTCATTCCAATTCAATTGTTGAGGAATCTGATAATCCATACAAAGAACTTTCATTATGTCAAGCAAAATAATCATTTTATCTGTAGTCTCAGCATTAAATGATACTGCACCATACAGCTGTATCTTCACTTACGGGATTCGGCTCATCATAAACTTCCTCACTTTCAACTTCACGTTTACCTCGCTTCTTTGATCTTTTTTGAAAGAAAAATAAAGGATATAAAGCTAAATTACTCATCAATCATAATATTCATTCCTTTAAACCTAACTTGTATGCTATAGAAAATCCACAATATCTGTATATCATGTATAGCAAATGATTGGAGAGTCCATTCCCAAAAGCTCAAGATTTTCTATCTTTGTTAGTTTTCAATGGTGTTTCGATAATGGATTTGAAAATTTTCCACTCTCGTTCAAACCATTATCACATCCCAACAATTCCTAGTATAGATTATTTGGCTGTAACAATTCAACGATCACAGTTATAGTTCCTTGCGTCTGCAAGACTGTAAACAGATTGAAATCGATGCACGTGCGCCGTTTCAGACCAGGAGTCATCCCTCAATTTCGTAGACATAGACAAGTCTAAAGCTCACCTTTTAGAACGAGCCATACTAAAATTTTTCCGTTGTTTCTATTTTAGACGTTCAAATGTTAGGAAAACTCCGTTAGGCGCCGTAATCTACAAGTTCACTGTTACTACACGCGCACGAATCGACGCCATTTTTATAATGACGGGAAAGAATGGCACGAGTTACTTGTATCCCGAACCTGTATTCTTGTGTGTTGACCACTGAAAGATAGGTGTGCAGGCGCTTGTTTTGAAAAATGGCGGTGTTTTCGATGGGAAAGAACAGTTGACATGTTTTGAGAAATGTTTGTAGGGAACGGAAATACTGAGATTTATTGAAGGCATCAATGGTTTTACTCAAAAATAAGCTCTCAAGACCATGGATCATTCTGCTTTATTCTTTAGAAAGCGCGCTCTTTGTAAGTTTTATTATTCTCGGTATATCGTGACTTTCCGAGAAGCATCGTTTCACAGTTGTCTACATGAGGATCACATTTTCTGACAGATATTTTGCTTCAGAGATATCTTACACCAGGAGCCCATGTAATGTGGTGCCACTCAAAGTAACTGACGCCAGCTCATGAGAAATAAAATCTTACGGAAAGAAACGAGTGGCCTTGCTGTAAAAGCATTCATTTTTAGGTTTATTTTGAATTATGTATTAAAAAAGGTTTAATTGAGATTCCATTTAGTTTCAGCTCATGCATTGTATACAGACTACAGATCCCAAAAGTCACTGCTCTAGACCCCTCTCCCGGATTGTGAGGAATCAGTTGACGGAGGTAAAAATTAGAGAGATAATGCCAATGTAATGTTAAAAATGTTACTTATTTATGGACTCATCACCACTAAGATTTTGATCACGAAACAACTTTTAGCGAAAGTGAAACTGAGTTTTCTGGCAAATTTGTTTTTTTTTTTAGCAAAAATATATGTGGATTGAGAAAATTGTAAATATTAGGCACTTCATTTAACATGTTCCAAAAAGTGTCTTAACATTGAAAGAAATCACTCATCAGCTGAAAGGAAAAACCAACAACAACAGCAACAATACAATTGAAAAATAGCCACCTGTATTCCAGAAACCCTTCAACTGTTACATGTCCTTTTCTAATTTTTTTCCTTGCAGCAATTCTATAATGTATTCCAAGCTAAGAACCAAGAACCTCATATAAAATGTCCACTGCACTCATCCAGAGATTTATACAGTGTTCAAGAGGGAAATAAAATAGAGGAATATGCCTCAAAATGGGTGTGCAACTTATGTGGCAAGGCTTTCTATGCTGAGCATTATCTTGACTTGCACTTTGATAACAGACATAGTGACAAGTTAGTAAAGGTAAGAGTATGCTATCTTTTGCTGCAAGGAGAGTTTGAAGCACTACAGCACCATCTTATTTGAGCGTGGGACTTGAAATCTGGATATTTTTTGTCAACTAATTGGCTATTCATAAAACCTATCTGTGTACAAGCATGAAACTGAATCACTTAGGGCTTAGGCTTGCCTTGTTTTCTGTTATATGAAAGGAATTGGAGTGTTGCATATACCTTCCTGAATGAGACACTATCTCATTTCAGGACTCTTCCCTTCCCCCCTGACACCTGACACACATACACATCCCAGGGGCATTTATTAATTTATCAACATTCAATCATGAATGCTGCAATCTGGTAGAGTATATATATTTATATATTGTCTGTACCTTTATTTACTTATAGGGTTCTACAGTGTGTCTAGCTGATTTTTGTGACATCTTCAGATGTGATGTGTTTGAAAACCAGAGAAAAGACAACTTTTGGAAAAAGAAACTCTGCAAAGAAAACAAACTAATTGTTCGCAAAAAGAGATGTGAGGTAATCTGGAATATTTTTTGCCTATGGAGAGCTGTTTCTCTTTAACCCTTTACACCCTAACATCAGTACAGATATTCTCCATACTGTTCTCTATACATTTCCTTAGGTTTCCAGGGAGAATTTGTCCAACAATTAAGAGCATCTCTAATTGGTGATCATTTCCTTTACTCTCCTGACCTTAATGTGTAATTCAGGGGTGATATTTAATGGAGAGTATAGATTCTCACAGGGTTGACTCTTGTGTTTGTAATTGAACAGGTTTTTAAAGATGCATGTAATTAGAAGAAACATGAAACCTTGCTGTAATTTTACTGTATGAGTCTATAATAGGCCATTTTTGATATATTAAAATTCTAGCATGGTTCCAAGGCTTGGTAGAATAAAACAAAAGAAATTATATTCATCCCTCAACCTCAATGCGAATTCCTTTGTTTTATTCCCCCAAGCCTCTGAGCCATGTTTGAATTTTAATGTACCAAAAATGGTCCATTGAGTCTTCATTTGAGTCTAATAGTCATTGAAATAAAAGCAAACATTAACAATAAAATTTTCATGAACCAGACACAATACATTCAACTGACAAAAGCTCTTCATTTGACTTTCAAGGAAGCTTGTTTTCAGGTTGTAACATTGTCATCTTTTCATTACCCATGACAGTTTTTTTAACCTTTAACTCCCAAGATATAATTGTTAATTCTCCCATTTAGCTGCTACACATTTCCTTGTAAATAAAATAAGAGAATTTGGCACAAGATCTAGATAACAACTACTATCTGATAAGTTTGAGTATTCCCATTACCTGTTTGCTGAACATTTTACAGATATCACAGGGAGAAGTTACATGTTAATCACTTTGGGGCTTAAAGGGTTAAAGACTTAACCTCTATCTGAGTGATAACACCAATTGTGCAACTACTTAACATACAGCTAATAGCTGATCCTTTTTCAATTATCATTGCAGGCTTTAATGCGAAGTTGCCTTCCTCAGGGCAATCTATCAGTTGAGGAAGAATTCAAACTATTTGGTGAGCTGCCTGCTCATTACATTCACATGAACACTGTAGTACACACTGCATTATTTTCATACAAGTTTGATTACTCCACATTTAAACTTACAAAAATTCTAAACAATTCATGTTTTTCTGCTTATAGAAGAGATCAGTTCAAACACGTGTTCGCTGTTAAACTGCAAGGACTACTGGGAGTTACCATCCAACGAAGTGAGTAAAGAAGATATTTTGATCACTGTTATTTGGATTTACCTAAACATGCTAACTTGCGAGATCATAGAAGATATAATGGTAGACACAAAAAATTAGTGGTAGCCATATTGGATGGGACGAGGTATATAGATTAAGGTATGCGACAGTGGAATGGCAGAAACACAGCGGTCTAACGTCTGCGCACGCGGGAAGGTTATATGGATTAAGTGGCGTGCTTTAAGGCTGTCGGAACCAAGTTGCCTCACACGAGTTACAAACAGCTACACAAGCCACTAAGTCACGGTGTTTCAAAATATTATAACTTTTGGTAAAACTAAATACAGAATGGTAAACTAACAGAGTACCAATGCTTGAAAAAGCTTTGGCCGGGTTTGAAAAGTCTCGAGCTCACCTTTATCCCCCATCTGTTTCTTTTACAGATTTCTTTGAATGTTCCAATCTCCTTTCGCTTATTTTGCGAGACAGCGGTCGTTTCTTATGTTTTTCTCAGAAATTTTGCGCGGGAAATAGTGTGTGGCCGGTCGGAATTGATCCCCTCGCGCATGCCTGACGTTTGAACGCTGTTTTGATGATAGTTGGGAAGGGCATCCACCTACGGGGTTGATCAGGAAAGACTATGAAAGAGACTGAAGAGCCAAACCAGATGGGAAAGTAAATGACACTAAATTAATGGATATAACGATTAATGACGATGCAAAAGAAGGATGACTATACATTTTACCCAAATTATATAAAAAGGGCTGTTCGTGCAAAACTGTAATGTCTGGGTGTGACAAGCAAAGGGAAAAAACCCCGGAGTTTCTTAGTTGCCACCTGAAACCAGTTTGTTACAGCTGTTACAGTTCCTTCAGATGGTAATTAAAGGAATGACTTTTTTTAAAAATGCAGGGATCAATGTCTGTGACTCACAGAAGTTCAGTTTCTTTATTTACTTTTTTTTCATGCTAAGAATCGACTGCAGGCGGAACAGCCGGCTTCTTTCAGCGACTCACTTATTTGTGGATAATTCTTTTTCCAGATTTCTCCATGGAAAGTTGTCTTCTATGCAGTAGTAACGCCGTTTTTCTTCATGGCTCTCATTGTTTATTACTATGCTATTTGGGATTACTATTAGTAAGTATGATTTAACTGTCTCGATTGAATCACCTTTCTTTAACCCCTCAACATCTTAGTGGGATTAGCCTCTAAATTCTCCTTACAGCATCACCCTTGAATCAAGTGTAAAGGTCATGAGAATAACGGAAATGATCACCAATTTAAGAAGCTCCCAATTGTCAAACACATTCTCCCTGTCAGTACCTTAGGAAATGTAGAGAGAGCGGTGAGGAGAATTTGGATACTAATGTAGAGGTGGAAAGAGTTCAGTTATAGGATAGGAGTGCGAAGAGCGGCAAATTTTGGGCTTGGTCGTGGAATAGGAAATCGCTGTATCACAAACGCGTAACATAATGGCCGTGGGAGAATCAGCTATTTATCGGTTTTTTAGGAGTTTTTCTCTCCTGTTTTCCCTTCATGTGCGTAGGAGGAACTCAAAAAACCAAACCTTCTCTCCCGCGGAAGATTTCCCTCCCTTTTGTTGGCATTCAGGAACACAATAACTCGTAGACATAGGATAGTATAACAGAATTACACATCGACAACGACGCCGGTGTAGCTTTTCAAGAGCTGCGTTCTCAAAACAAACCTGAGGACTGAATAGCGTCGCTTTCGTAGAACTCGCCCCGGGCTTACCGAGTAGTCTTCCATATCTGCATTCTGTTTGGGGTTTTTCACATAATTTAATTTTGTTAAATTTGTTTTCCAGCGGCGATTACCCGCTGTATAGCAATATCGGGTCACGTGAGGAAGAGGAGAATGTCTCCGGCGGTTACGGATTGACGTCAACTCATTTGAGGAAAAGATATGGAGGCCGCGCTCTAATGTACTAGAACAGCAAAAGGGATTCATAACTATTCTAGAGCTGGTCTTAATGCACTGAGGTCACGGAGAGGAGTAACATTTGATTTTTGTTTCCTGGTTGATCTGGCAAAACTGTTGCACTACTTTAGAAACTCTTTTAGGAGCAAGACTCGTGACAAGGGCGTAGCCGATGTGGGTCCTGCCAATTAACTGAAAAGAATTCGCTCCTCTTCGTCGTAAAATCGAAGCGATTTCTCTCAAAGAGCAGTGACGGAAAACGAAATGCTTGTAAAGGACGTAATCGTTGATGGAGAAAATGTGTAATGAAAGAACAACTAATGTCGTTAAAATGAAAGCGATGCCACCCAAAGTGTTAAACAATGGTCTCGCTGCTTTTAAAAATTTTGTGAAGGTGCCGAGGACGCTTGCAACCTTGGTGACATTTGTCACCTTTTCCCTGTTCCTGAAAAATTGCTTGCCCCCCTCCACTAACCCTTGAGCAGTGATGACATCGGACTTCATATCAATTTCTCTACAGATAACAACACCGAAAAGTTCATTTTCCCACTTATAGTTTCGAGTTGTTAAGTTTACGATGGTGCAGCCAAAGCCGGTGATTTGACGTTATTCATCAAGAATTCGTATTTCTTTCTTTTTGTTGCTTTTTCATTAAGTTCTTTCGTTTTCACGCACATTACTTTCATCGACATTCTGTTACTTTTTTGGCTTAATTTACCTTGGTTTGTGTCATTCGTACAAGTTCTTTACCGTAAATGTTATTCATTCGGCTTCATCGTCTATCTGGGCTGGATCGTTTTCCTCAGTCATTTTCTATGATCGTCTTTAAGCAGCCATTTGTCTCCGGCTATTGTACAACGGATATTGTAAGTATCTTTTGTTGTCTATTATTTTGTTTTCTCGGTTGTCAATTCCCTCACCAATAATTGTAATAACTTGTCAATCGTAACTTCATTTTCGCAACTTCTTCGATTGTTTAGTTCGCATCAATACTTCAGTTTGTTTCGTTTGTTGGAATAAATTCTTGCCGAAACATTAAAAGAGTTACTTTGGACATGTACGATTGATTTTGGCATAAATTTACGAGTTCTCAACTACTTTTTTGGGAAAGTAAGGTGTAGTTTTAAATGCTCTACGCAACGTTCTCTTGGTCATGAAAATGAAAACGAAACTAAGGCTTGGTCGTTTCAGCTGAGCCCGAGTTGATGATTGTTCTCAATAAGTTTTGAGCGGAGAGGAGTGGGACAGGTTTTAAGTATCATATTTTCACCTCGGGACATCTTGGGTCACCACAATACATCGTTTTTCCACCATGCGTATCAATGCGTTAAAAACTGCAACGAGTGGGTCCGTCCTCACGGTTTTCTGTCCGGGTGAAACGAAAGTCTTTATCGATGCTAGTGATACTCTCTGCACCATCGCTTTGTTCTTTGGGTCTCACGATTCATTCTTTGAAACTAAACTCCGATGATAAGCATTTTATCATAGTCCGCAAGGCTAATACATCAATAAAATATTTTCTACTTGAATAATTTGAAGCCAAATCTTCAGTGAAACACTAATTCTCATAGGTACTTTCTTTAAACAAACGATACATGTGCGAGTCGTACAGATGTAATTCAGACGTTTGTTTTGGGGAGAGACAAAGACAGCGATATGCACTTCACTGCATAAACAGTTTTATCAATAATTTCTTTAATATGATTCAACACAGGAGAACCCGGCCTATTTTAACAGCTCAGGGAGAAGAAAACAAGTTAGTCGAGATACCGGGAGTCCGAGTCACCTTGGAACAAATGACTGAAAAATTGTCTGAAAAAAGATGCCTTTCACATTGGTAAGCGGAAAGTTCAAGTCAACCGAATTAAAGCTGGCGAAGTTCTGCTTTCCCGTTGTAATTACGTAAAATTACTGGAAACGAAGTACTGTTGTTTGTCCCACGATGCACTCACTTCCAGTATGGATCGCAGCGTTTCATTGTGCTTCCCCATGCGACAAGATCGCCTGGATGACACGGCACGTCAACTCATTTGAATTATTATGCTCAACTGTGATTGACGCCGAGAATAATGCTTCATAAGACCCTTATGGTGACGGTAGACAGTCGACCCTATCGAATGCCAAGACTCTCATGGTTGAGTCGAAACGTATCAATCCTCATCAGAAGTGACATTATGATGAGAGAAACAACGACATTTCATTACGAACACTCCATTATTCCGCTATTTGATTTCCAAGCGCTCTATAACTTCTGTTGCATTTCTCTTTTAAGTCCTGTCACCTCCTTTTAGGCCCCTTTTTGGCGGACTTACATCGGCCCCCGGACCCTGGTGCTATGTTCTGCGGACTGACTCCTCTCACTGTCATACTTTCATCAGGAGTCAATCGCGTCAGAGATATTCTCCTTTGTGAGAAGTAACTTTTACCAGGGGATATACCCTTACTTAACGCCTTATCAACATCTGAGTCAATTAACTTGGCTTTTGCTTTCGCTTTAACAAAATGAGCCTTGCAAGGCGGTTCAAACGTCCTCGCTAATTCTACAATGTCGTAACATTCCGAAGCCTTGAGCGCGTACTGACTGCGAAGGGCATGGTACGAGGTTGCCACATCCCGCGGGCTGGTGCACGTCGACCTAGGAGAAACCGCTGGTTTCGGGTGGCACGCTTCGCAAGGTGGTGATTTAAATACGGGCGGTTTTTTGCTGTCAACCGTGTGCGTGTTTGCAGACGGTCTAGGGAACTTTCTAGAGTTGTAACTGTTAGTTTTCAAGCTGGATGAATGAGTTCGAGTTTTTGGCACTGGTCTTGCCTCGGGATAAAGTGAACCAGGGACAAATGTAATACCTAACTGGTATCCACTATTACGGAAAGTTTGTACGCTATCCGATCCATCATCCGAAGCGGAAATGCCATTATTGGACGAAGTATTCTTTCCCGCCGATGATGTTCGTCTCAGTCTGTTGACGGCAGATTTCGCTCGGTACAACTGCGGTGCGCTGACTTTAGCAGACTGAGTCCTTGAGTTAAACTTTCCACCGAATACAACTCGGTTCGAGAATCCTTTGGCCGAGTTTGTAGTTTCAGCTTTCTCTTCTTTGTATATTTCCCACAAAACAGTTTCCTCTCTCAGATTTTCCAGCTCTTGTAATCTGTGCATAAACAGATCATTCTTTTTTGATCCTCGAAAGCACGCGTCTTCAGCAGTCTCCTCGACCCACGTTTCCGGATAAGGATCATGGAATTTAAAGCCCAATTGCTCGGTGGACAGTTCCTCTGCCACAAACAATTCTTCGAACTGGGGATCATTTTCCTCCCATTCTTCCTTTGCTTTGGCATCAGCTTCAGCCAACTGCTGTTGGAGTTTTTTAGGATCTGGACCCTTCCCTGTGCGTTTGGTTCCAGTGCGAGAAGACGGACGTAAAGTTGGAGAAGGGGAAGAAGTACGCGAAGGAGGTACTGATGATAAAGGGCGGGGAGGGGATGGACTGCTGGTACTCCTGAAATAGAACGAAAATGAGTTCAGTTCCCGAAATGGCAAAATAAGAATTCAATTTGTTCTTAACCCTCTGACCTCTAAGAGCGAGTAGCATGTAATTTCTCCTTACTGCATCACCCCGAGCCATACATCAAGATCGTGGAAATAGAGGAAATGATCACCAAGTAGAGAAGCTTTTGATTGTCAGCACTATAGGAAATGTATAAAGGAAATTATGCAGAATGTATAAACTGATGTTAGGATGTAAATGGTTATCTATCATCGGATGTGGCGAGGTTAAAGCGTCAAGTCTAGTACACGTGCAAAGCAGCATGAAGCCACGAGAAGAGAGGTTCGTAATTTCCTCGCCCAACTTTGTATACCTGTCATGACGACTGCAGGGTCTTGTAAGGTAGCTAGCACAGGTTGGTCCTAAGTCGTTACACGGTTCATGTGGAGCTTCCGTGGCCGGGATCTCTCTCTTACTCATGGCTGCTGCCAGCTGACTACGGCGAAGAGCAGGGCTTGCTATACCTTCATTGTTCATGTGGTGCTGTGGAGGATGACGTGGACACGTTTTGTAAATCTTCGAAAATTCATTCAATTTAACTTTCAAAAATAGTCAGTAGCACCCAAGCAGCGCGCTAGGGTTAAATGTTGGGGTGTGTCGCGCATATTTTAACCAAAAGCATAAGCTACTTTCATTGAATGATTCTGGAATGCGCGTTTACCAAATTAACTAACTCCTCTCAACAGACGTCGACTACTATCGGCACCATACAAACGACTAATTATCGTAAAAATCGAACCGAACCGTTCGTGCCACTACCACCAAATTTTACCAACAGATCAAAACTGACTTATCACGACCATCTTACGCTACCCGAGTCTTAAAACTGATAACTTAACGAAAAACTGACCGATCAGTTTACACGAACCAGACTTGTAACACTCGACTGGCAAACAACTCTTCCCTTGACTCTGATGATTAGATACGCTAAGGTTGTCGAAAAATCGTTCAACACTTACGAAAACAGTCCTTCACCATACTAAGTTCACCCGGACGTTCAAACTACATGATCAAATGTTGCTCCTAAGTTCAAATCACTAACTGAAATCCATGGAGCAAAGTGATACCAACAAACTTGCCAAGACTTTCAGCGAAAACTGTAATTGCTCCTGAGATTGTCGAGAAACGCCATCCAGCCCAAGTCATTTTATGGAGCCAAAAGAAAAAGAGACGACCCGTAATGACGTTTCTTATTAAAACCTTAGGTTTCAAAGAAAGTCTTCGAGTTGAAGTACGTTCGCCGAGTAAGAGCGCAAGCATCATGTGATTCAAAGATAAACATATTATGGCTGAAAATCTAAGTAACACGAGGTACTAATGATAAATTGATAACAGTCATTGAAGGAAAAAATAGAAGAATTTAACAGGTCTTACCGGTACTAATTTGATAGTACTGAGGAACGAAATCAAAAAAAGTCATTTCATTCAAACATTTGAATTCTGCATAAGGTATGACGTTCAAAACAATTCACATTAATTGTCACTCAAGCCACACGTACATGCTAGCTACTGACTAAAGGTTTCTTAGGCAACTGAAAAGCCTCTTTGCATGCGAGAAACTCGAATTAGCTCGCTGGTTTTACAAAACAGGATGAGGAAATTTTTCGATTTTCAAAAGGCAGAGGAGACAAGCGAACAAGCATTATGAATTCCATTCTCTTAGAAGAGAAAGTGTACCTCAGTTCGTGTGTAAAACTACTAGCTGTCAACAAATAGCGGCATTGTAAAATATCGCAGATGCAAACAAAAAATTTTCTGTAAGTGCGCACCCTTAAAGTAGATTGAACAAACTGTAAACACCAAAGCGTATGCCGTCAATCAAATCTCTAGGAGAAACAAGGCTTGTATTTTTTCATCTGCTAAAAATCTTCATAACGACACCCGAAGTAAAACTGAATACGCTTTTTCCACTTTGAGTGGTATTGTGAACGAGAAAATTTTTGAAGATTACCTTATCAAAGCTTACATCCAAGGTGGCTTGAATTAAAATACCAGCAAAAATAAATGCATACTACGGAAAAGGTTTCTCGCTACTAGCAATGGAGAAATTAAAATTAATCCTGTAACTTGTAAAATCTTAAATCATTTTGCATTATTTCAAATAGGCCGATCTCACTTGTGATGTCTTGCTATGTGGCTTTCATCAGTTCTGAAATAATATTTTTCCGGTAACGAATGTCGACAACAATATTCACAACATTTATTTAACGAAAATAGTCATGCCAATAAACAGTATATTAATGCTTGGCTTTCTCAGGCTTTGAGATCTAGATTCCTAGATTAACGGTGGATAAAAAGAATGTAGATTATTTTCAAATTCAAAATAATATTCAGATAACAAATGAACCTTCCATGTAGCAGCTTTTGATAAAACGCTTGCAGGTGGTTAAATAGGAGTGAGGTTACAATGGCTTATGGTATATACGTAAAGGTTGAATACATAAATATTTCTTGTATCATTAAGGCAGATTTAATTTTTCCTTTTAATTCAAAGCAATTTTCTTTTGGATTCAGTCTACTTGAAATTTTTCCAACACCGTAGTTCCAACGAGAAAATATCATGTTATGGTATGGTTGTGTTTTACCAAACTCAAACGTCAAAACGTGATGACACGGATGATAAATTGCAAATCAGCCAGAACACTGTACGTATCTTCTGTGAGTCGTACCTCACAGCAGGACAAACCATTGACAACCTTAGCTAGTCTATTCACAGTATACCACATCGTTTAAAAAAAATATGCTGCTTGTGTTCCTCCGAGCGAATTTTCCGCAAAAACCGACAATGAAGTATAAGGTATTTATTCCATACAAAAATTATTATTGCTTATATTTGAGATTGATATATACAGTGTAGACAAGAAAAGGATCCTTAACTTTAAAGAAAACTATACCTTGAAGCTGTAGATTCTCTGCTGATTCATGCACTGGTTTACTTCTCGAACTTGCTGATTGAGCCGTTTGAAGAGTTGCTTTGGGGAAGGAAAAAAATTTTGAATATGAAAAACTTGTAAGCATCAGCTGTTCATAGCACAATGGATATCTAACGTTCATTTAAAGATGTATTGTGATAATGATTACAATGTTTTGGAAATTTGAATATTGACACCAGATTACAGAAGAAAATGTAATTTCGACTACAATGACACCTCTGCAAATAAAAAAAATATATTTAATGACAAAACAGTGAAGTAGAGGAAGTTAAAAGTGAAATCTCAATTGAAAGGTTCAGATTGTGAATAAAGAGCAGCATTCACTTTTTTGCATATTTAGGCAGAGACAGACTTGACTCACTTAGGAGGGGACAAGTACACAAAAAAAAATCCTATTCCATGAAGCATGCCCTTTTAATTTGCCCCACATTTGCATTCACTTTAAACTTAAAAATACAAAAATAACATTTTGCCCATTTCTCAAGTTAACCAAGACATTTCTTTACAGTTGAAATATGAAGCCTTTTAGTAAACTCTCACGGGTGATGTAGTACCAGAAGAGGAACCTTCAGGTTCTCATTTGTCACACCCTGCCCTTCACAGCTTTATGTCTCAGCTAGCATCTGAAAAAGGTGCCCTTGGTAACAGGATAAGCTTGCCTGAGCAGTAATCTGTTAATAAATCCCTCAAAATATCAGATCCAAACCCTTCTGAGCCTTTGTATGTGGCATTTTCACCCAGAAGCAGCCTATTCACCCTTACTAATTTCTTCATTATTTCCTTTTTTTTTCTTCTATAGTTTTAAAATGTTCACACAATTTATATGAAATAAGTTACTGCAGCTGTGAACTAAAGAGAGCCTTTTCTGTAATAGCCCTAAAATTTATGGACTTTGAAACAACTTCTGCCCTCAGAGAACTTTAAGAGAAAAAAAAGCCAAACACTTCCACAAGTTGGACTAAGAAAAGGTTTTCTTGCATTTTTCATCTTTTTTTTTTTCCAGTGGAGTTTACCAGTCAGCCCATTTTTTCTAGCATGGTCCAAACATATCAAGTATACATTACTGCAGGGTTTTCATTGGGAAAATTTAGTTGCAGGGTATTCTCCACAACTTTATAAGAAATATCCCAGGCCTCCAAAATTTAGCAGCAAAAATCTGCAGAGTAACAAGCAAACTCTCTAATGCACAATGCCAAATGAACACCCTGTTAATGAAGGGGTGTTAACTGCCAGCTTCCCCCTTAAACTCTCTGGATTGACGCTTATATTGACTGGAAATTATTTAGTTAAACCTTCATACCCTAACATCAGTATGCATATTCTCCATAATATTCTCTATAAATTTTGCTAAAGTGCTAACAAGGAGAATTTAACAATCAAGAGCTTCTTAATTTGGTGATCATTTTCTTTATTCTCATGACCTTCATCTGCAATATGGGCTGATATGGTTAAGAGAAATTAGATGCTAGTCACAAGGTTAAGGGTAATGAATGGTTTTTCAGTGATGCACCTACAATCCTAGAATATTTAAGCTTATGATCCATCAAATGTTTTTGCTTGCACCATTGGTCTCGAGGCATCACATGACTGTATATTCCCCAGCAAAAAACATCTGAGGATATCACCCAAATGATATTCCCCAATTTTTAAATTCAAGTCCACTACATTAAGTCTTCACTTAAAATTTATGTTCAAGATAAGAGAAATTGTTTAGCAGTTGTTACAGAAGAAGGGAAACATTTTTTGTTTGTAAAGTGGAACCAGAGAACACTGAAAAGAAAACATCCCACGCAATGAACAGTAAGCTGTTTGAAAACATTTTTCATGTGCAATGAAAAATATTTGGAGAAGAATAAACACAAAAGCCTCCATTTTGTGTGAAAATGTGCTCACAAATTTGTACTTGGACATTATCTATCTCTTGAAAAATATTTGGAGAAGAATAAACACAAAAGCCTCCATTTTGTGTGAAAATGTGCTCACAAATTTGTACTTGGACATTATCTATCTCTTGAAGCTCATAGTTTTCCTCAAGCCTTGCTCTCATAAAGCTGTTTGCATCTTGGAACAGATAGATTTTTGTGGACAAATATCTGGGCATATTTTTGTGCCAAATAGAGGACATTGTTTATATATCTTCCTAAAGAAAAGATTTTAATTGTGAATCAACTGATATGTTAAGTTTTGGTGCCACAGTAAAGTGTTCTCCCTTTCAGGCAGTACATTTACCACCTGTAGTACCTCTTATTACTGTTTAAAATTGCTTGGAATTCTTGAAAATTCAACGGTAAAAGGATTGCTTTACCGGTTTGAAAATTTATTTTACCTGTCATGCTTAAAATAAGGGAGAACACTGACAGTAGCATAAAGGTTCCAATCTTAAGTGAGAGCCTATTTCTTTGGCTACACTCTGTCTTGACTGACACATTATTACCACTATTAAAATGAAACTGTTAATTGCACTTAGTTCAATTTCTTACCAAAGTTAGTTTGAATTCCTTGACAGTATCTGAAAATTCCACAAAACATCTTACATTAAATGCACAGAAAAAACATAGATTACAAATGCATTTAGGGTCACATGTGTCTTTCCCAAGAATTCTGGCTCCTAATTCACACATGTACAAGTAATGCCAAAACATTTCTTTGTTGTCTACAAACAACTGTATATATCATACTCAAAAGCATTGAGAATGAAATTTTTTATGAAACAAAGATTCTAGCCCTGAGAAAGCAAGAGGTACTAACCCTTGAATTGAGGTGAGCTTTAAGTTATTTTTTCGAAAAACTACCACAAGGTGGGATAATAATTTCTTTAGAAAAGAAGGGAGATGCTGGGAATTCTAATTTGTGGAAAGAGTGTAGACCTCTACCAAAGTTTGACACCTTTCCAATGTTTTAATTACCCTTATCTTTCTAATATACCTTCAAAATCACCTCAAGAGTGCTTTTTGCCACATCAAAGAAAATACCATGCCTGTATTCCAGAATCATTGCCAATCAGAAACATCATTTAGAAATTAAATTAATATTATGCTAAGTAAATTAAACTAATTCTTCCTTTGAAATATAGCTTAAAAATAGTTTTAGACTCTGCAATACGTATAAATTATAACACCCACGAGTTTTCTTTGTTTGAGAAATATCAATAAATAACTTGAACTTGTCAAAATATAAGAATTACAGCTTTGTTGTTTGTTGAAGACTGGGATCTATAATTTACACGTCCACCTTCTCATTGTTGCATGCCTTTGGATCACTTTCAAATCAGGTAAACAAACTGGGAGATTACATCTAATGCTCCTCTCAGCTTTGATTTAAGCCTACTCTATTCAATAAAAGGCATGAATACCGTCAAAATACCGGCATTTTGTCAAAGCTGGCATGAACTACAGTAACAAGAAATTTTCTTACCATTTATTTCATCATCGCTAGACTCAAACAGCATGTTCGCCGAGGCACTTCGTAATGGTGTTGCACTTCTTGCTCGACCATTCTGCGAGAGAACAAAATGACAAAATTGTTGAGGAAAAGGGGTAAAGTGGATTACCAGCAGCAGCTGGATTACAAAAGTATAATACGTCATCTTGTAGAGGCAACGAGATTAAAACTGAACAAATATACAATCGTTAGTCAGCGCTAATTTTGCTAACCTGCTTTGAGTTATTTGCTTGTCCTCCAGAATGTCGGCGTGGAATATGTTTTATTCTACCTCGTATCCAATCTTTGTTGAGACTACGACCGCTGTGAAGATTAAAAGATCACGAACAGTCATTTGAGGTTTAAACAACACAAACAACAACTGCACAACTAAATATAAACAGGCCAGACCTGTGGAAGAAATTCCTATGAGTTATGGACGTTGCTGGGTTAGGAATTTGCCAATTTTGTGAATATACAGCACACAGAGAGGGTTTAATAGCCATATAATGAACTGGAACGGCCATATTTCCATTTACCATACTTACAGACTGTATTGTTCATGGCTCATTTGGTTGAATTCTTTCGGTTGCTACTCAACCGCCATTAGTGAATGGCTACCTCACTTGTCTCAAGGGAACGGAGGGTGCTAATTTGTTAAATTCTCGACAAGAGATTGACAGCTTTAAAAATAGCCGACAGCCAATCGGAAAGGCTAACCTTATCCGATCCGCTGTCCAACTGAATGAGAGTAAAGTTTAAACCAGGTTCAAACTTACTTACTTAACAATATTTTCTCCTCAAGTCAAGAAGGAGACTCACAAGATTTCCGATCGTCAATCTGTAAATGACTTGAGACAACACCGCGTCCTCTAGAGAGGAAACAAGGGCATGCGCATAAGGCAAGCAATTTTTGGGGGTTTTTTGAGTACTAGTTAGGGTAGCATAAGAAATGCACGGTGGCCCACAACTGTCACGGCAAAAGAAAAAACCTCACAACAAAAATAAAAAGACTTTTCTCTTTGCCGTGAGGTTTTTTCTTTCTGCCGTGAGGTTTTTTCTTTTGCCGTGAGGTTTTTTCTTTTGCCGTGACAGTTGTGGGCCATCGTGCATTTCTTATTCTCCCCTAACTTGTACTCAAAAAGCGAATGCATGCATGCGAATCAAGAGTCAATTCGTCTTCCTCGTGTGAAGAAAACCGCGAAATATGGCTCCCTTCTGCACCACATGATTGATATTGGTATGCTTCTTTCCCTGTTACTCCTGACACAGGAAAAGGTTCCTTCCCAACAGAAATCTTAACTATCTTCGAAAACATTGTTCGCGATCGAAAAGCACGAGAAAAACTTTTTTTTTTTAAGAATAAAACTCCTGACATTGAAAAGCTTTCAACTCTGGTTAAAAAATAGCAAATATTTAAGGGAAGTTTGGGCAACGTGTCAAAACAGGAAGATGGATGACTTCTTGACCTCCAGACTTGTCAAGATTGCACACTGAATGAGGTTTGCTATAATTCACATCATGCCACTCTGGAACCGACCCGGAAACAAACCGACCGTTTCCTCTCTTTCGTCCCGGATGTTTTATTTGTTATTGTTGCAAGAACGCCGAAAGTAATGGTAATGTCCAAATATTGCGAAAAAGGGACTTTCCCTTGCTCCTTAGACTCTCTATTTTTTAACGCCCTGTTGGTGCAAATGAACAACATCTTATCAAAAATGCGCAATATAAATACCATAGAGACAACACGTACAAAGTTCCTAAAATAACACACAAGTAGGAATGACATCACTCAGTTACATTTTTCAAATCGATAGTCTAAACATTTTCATTTACTTAGCTCTTAGCACTGCGTGATTGTCAGTATTTCAATTCCATTATATAAACGCTTTCTTATCTTTGAGAAAAGGTCATTAGGGTGAAGGATTACTTCCATCGTTTGCTGGAGACCAGATAAAGGATTTCTGCCTCCTGCAGCAACCGTCGATACTTTTGCACACCCGTACGGAGGTACGGAATCTCTAAGACAGTTAACTGAGCAACAGGTTGGCTTTTGATATCCTTGTGTTCAGTTTGGATTTCAATATTTTCCTCTCTCGTCAGGCTTCGGCGTGAATCCCTTTGACTTTGTGACGGCTGTGTGAATTAAGGAATGATGTTTTCTCAGACGATATCCACACAGTGTGTTGGAATAACGATCCTGATCTTTGCCGTGTTAGGTGAGAACGCTACAAACTACACGATATTAAGTAGATATTTTAGTTTGTACTTTCTAGCTCGGGCATGTCTACTGCGGCATTCTAACTCAAATTCTCGTCACAAAAATGGCACAACTTCTACACCTCAATACTTCCCTTGTGTAAACTGAATTGATTTTTCATAAACTCATCTAACGCAGATATTTATGGTGATGTTAAGTTTTAAGAGCACAGCACAAATCTAAATCAAAATAGCAATACCGTGGATCGTTTGTTCAAAGATCGCAGATAGCACGCATATTTGCCGGAGTTTCAATAACACGAGAGCCAGCTCGCTGACCAAACAGTCGGCGTTAAGAGGCCTTGTAGGTAGCGGTAGACCGTTGTTAACCGGCCGGAATATTTTTATTGAAACCCAGTACTTGGAACACACACAGGTTTCCAAATAATAGTGGGTGTGACAAGTTATTTTCGATGAGTTTTCAGAGTAGACATTTATCGAATCAAAAGGAGATTATTTTGTGTTGTGAGTGGATATCACTTTATTCACCCGAGACAAGTTTTTATCTACTCTCACCCCCGTGAGGGTCAGTTTGGGTTTAGCCGTAAAAATAATATGGAATAATATGGCTTATATCTGGTAATATAATTAAACTGAAAGTTTGAAATAAAGAGAGCGGCTGTTCATTCAAACAGAGCAGAAAATTAGTTTAAACATTTTAGCATTGTCTGTTGCATTAGGCGGAAGCTGGGTTTCAATTGGTAAACAGGGGGCAAGGTCAGTCAAGCTCATAGCTTCGTTGTTATGTTTGTGTGTTTAGGTCCAAACGAAAAAAAAATTAGAGCCGTCCTTACGAGAAAGTTCCAACGAGGACGTCAATGACTGTAAAAACTTTGCGCCTCTAGGCTAAATCAACAAAAAACTAGATGAGTCCTTGAATGTGAACTGGCTCCTACTGAGTTTTTTGTGTGATATACTTACGAAACATACGTTGCCCTAAGGAACTTCGAACCATGACGTCAATAAATAAGAGTAAAAGTAACATTCTTTTGATCTAAAGTAATGGAAAATTAAATATCCTTCCGGATGGAAACCAGGTATTGTAGAGTCAGCCGTTGCACCACTTCAATTTACTACGGTTCAATGATGGAAATCCGACTCGTTGTGTTTACCAGCATGCGCATTCTTCAGGAAAAACTCCAATGATTTCCTTTTTTTATTAAAATTCTTCGCTAAGGGGTTTGACTTTTATCAACGAGAGCTAACACTCAAGTTTTACGATTTCATGCCTCGTTAACTAAGTGAGTTGCATATTATTCAAATCGACGGCGTCGTCAGAGGCCTTCCGTGTATGAGCCTTTAAATTCATGATGATTTCCGCTTAAACTGTCAATTAAAACGTCGGACTTTTTTTTACTAACAACAGCCCTTCAACAAACAGGCCTAAGCAGAACGATTTAGTTTGAGCCAGGCTATCGGTTATGGAAACTATCAAATTGCCGTTTATCGCTTGACTCGCCTGATTTTCGATCGTCTCTGCTAGATGACAGAATACTTCTGAAGTGACTTGAAAGTCAGATAGCTTCCCTGAATATTTATGAGACTCTGAACTAATCGAGCGAAACGGGTGAAAAGTGGTATGACATAGTATGTGTGTGGGATTGGAGAACAGAACTTAACAGTGATATTATGGTGCTGAATACACGACATACAATGTAAGCTACAATTAAGTTACTCCGTTCTTTTTTAAGTGTGTTTGGAAGATCTTAGAGCTTATACAATCACCAGATATTGGAGGAATCAATTTTTAACTATTTAACAACACTCAATCTGAACTAGTGTTATCATTGGTCACAGATGAACTCACCCCAAACCCCTTCCCAGGTGCTAGTGTAAAAACCCAAAAACAATCTTTTGAATTTGCTTTCAGAAGGAGCAAGCTCTGCAGATGCAAACACCACCAGAGCAAATGAGTGAGTCGTATTTAAGTTATGAAGGATTATATTTTGTCTCACGATGTACATTTACTCCCATCTGCATACCCCTGATCTCAAACGTACTATGAGGTCGACCGTGGTTACGTGTCGCGCGTTATGAAGCGTCATACTCTGCTGCGATGTACTAGTTTTCAAAAGCTATTAATAGAGCATTTCGAAGGTGTGTTCTCTGGTTACAGCTGTAGAAAATCAAACAGTCAAAGTGCAGTATAATGCTTCTTAACGTACCCCAGACGAAGATGAGCATTGTGTAATCGAAGAGAAATGTGCAAATCGTTGCTGCAGCCAAAATGAAGACAGGAATAAAGCGATCAATATATTTGGTTGCGATTGCACATCAAGGCCTCATCCATCGTGCTAGACGAGAGACATCCACTCTCAGGCAGAGATATTACCTATCAAAAATGGTACCGTTTCAAAGACGTTCTTTTTTAAAATTCTGTTCCTTTTTTTTTTTCTGCTGAGCGGAGGAAAGCGTAAGGCGAGCGCTAAGAGCAAGACAAGCGCGAGGTTGGATGCTCAAAAAGATACCTCCCACCCTCATTCCTATGCCGCCGCCGCTCGCCCGCGGCGCGCTTGCCTTCGCCCGCCAGAGAAACGAAGAAAACAAAACCACGCCAGTTCTGCAGACCAAAAAGCGAATGAATTCAGAAATAAATTTTTTTTTAAATTGCCATGCATCCTAATCTGACACAAAGACAGTGCTTTAGTGTACAAAACGCTTTGCTCTTCATATTTTTCATGCGCATGCCCAGGGATGTATCGAGCATTCCTGCCGCTAGTTTTAAGATTTATCCAGCCCCAGAATTTTGAGGATAAAGACTGCGTCCCAAATTTATACAGCGTAGCGTGATCAGAGCCTAAATCACAAGTTTTTGGTTTTCCTTAAGGGTTCATAACGCTTAACACCCTCTTTTCAGATGCCTTCCAGCGGCGGCGGGTAACAGGACCAAGCGGTCAGCAGTCTCAAATGGGCCTCTTTGTGAACCATACCAACTTCGCTTTCCAAACGGCTACTGCAAACACATTCTTGGTTATCAACCAGTCTACGGAAGAGATGAAGCCGAGCTATTTGAGAATGAAATAAAAATGGATCGATTTCAGATAGCGAAGAACTTTGTTTTGCGGACTCGAAATTCGACTAGCAATATCAAGTATCAAAAATCCATCGACAACTCTTTCAATGTGCGTCAGAGCTGTCTGGATATGGTGGATGATGTGTACTGCCACCACTACTTTAAACGTTGCTACATCGATACTAATCCTCAATTTGTGTGCAGAGAAGCGTGCACAAAAATGTTTTATCACGATTGTGATCGAGAATATAAGATTGTGCTGAAGTTCATGGAGGAGAGACAGAATACTTTTTACCCGTTCTACTTTGATATCATAAACTGTACGCGGCTGCCATCTAGGAACGAGTCTTCGCAGTGCTATACTCCTGACAAGATACGAGGTAAGTGATGGATCGTTCAAATAAATGTAATTACAGTCGACAAGAGATTGTAATCTCTTGCAGTCGAACCTATATTTAGCGGCACCGTCGGTTTTCAAAGTCCCGAATTTGTTCCATTTAATTAATGTAATTTTCACCAGTATTTAGCGGTCGTGGTTACCTTTGAGAGAGTCCCAACGGCCTGCTCATACTATCTTTAACCTGTAGTGAAGGGTCCCTGATAGTGGAGCCACTCAAATAAAACTAATAATCTTTCAGGCCAAATTTAATCCATGTTTATCTCCCAAAATCAATGTTAGTAGTATTTTTGAGCGAGTTTTTGTACATTAAGTGGTCAATTTTGACATAAAATGGCGTCTTTTCAATTAATTGGCTGCTGGGTGCTGCAAGTTTCAGAACTGGAAAGATCGCAATGTTTAATCAAGCAACATATTAATCAAACCCGGATTACTTTCAACGCCCAATTGAAAACTGTAGTACCGAGCAAAAATATATCACTACCCTTTGCATGACGCTAGAAATGGTAAAAGTACCCTCTCCCTCATTTCAATCAGCACTGTTCTTTTGTGTCAAAGATGCTATCATGATTTGGTCACTTCTAGTCGACCGTGGTAAAACAAGACAGCGTCGTGTGAGCAGTATAAGGGGGGTGAAACAGGTTTTGGAATCATGTAGGTGTGGTACACGCCGTACACCCTGTAATCACGAGAAAGTTTCGTTGCAAAGGATGAATGTAAATCTTACCGACCAATTCTTTTTTTTCCTCTCCTTGTGGTTAGACAAATTGGACGTGCTAGAGAGTGAAGGTAAGTCTCGAACTAATTAACAATTGGATTATAAGGATGAGATTTAAATCGTTATCTCATGCACAGAAATCGAGAGCAAATAATCTATTTTTTTAATTATCCATCTACTCATTGCTCAAAAAAGCACATAGAGGCTCGTTTTTACATATTTCTGTTTGTTTACAACTGCACACCGTTATGCTCCTCACCTAACTCACTGTCCATATCGCGAAAAAGATAACGAGTAGCTTATATATTAGCTGATCAGATTGCATCATTTGCTATTGAATGCTAGGAGATCTACTTACCATGATGAAACCCAAACATCTGAGAATTAAGGGAATATCTGTTATGATTCACTTTACGATAAGCCAATGGGCTCAAACACCTCGCTGCATCCAGTGTTACTTTACAGTGATCTAGATTCATTCTGCTCTGTTTACACAATTTCGAAAGTCACAAAAAAAAAACCCCGGGAGTCATTTGCATGGCGTGTTTCAGCCATGAAGAAAAATCGGTACTCGTAATACGCGAATTAATGTGGCTTAAGGAGCAGAGTAGAGCAGAACACTGATGGATAACCTGAACTTCTTCAAGTCTACCTTTCTTGAAATTTAACTCTCCATAATCTTGCCCGCTTCGCAGATTGTTTCTATGGTGATGGACGTGGCTACCGTGGTAACAAAAGCGTCACAACATCTGGGTTTTCATGTCAGTCGTGGGATTCTCAATGTCCACACAAACACAACATCAGTGGACATCTTTATCAAGCGATAAATAACAGCGGCAATTTCTGTCGCAATCCGGGAGGACTTGCCAAAGGTGGGCCGTGGTGTTTTACAACCAACAAGACCGTGCGATGGGAGTACTGTGATGTGCCTAAGTGTCCCAAACGACGTAAGTATAACGAGACGACATGAGTGTATCGAAACGGCAAAATTTACAGAAACTGCGAAATGCTCTAGGGCGCTGCTAGAGCACTAAGACTAGATCAAAGTGATGAAACGACGTTTTTGCACTTAAACGACGAGGTGTGCTGTGACGATGAAATGTATGTACTGAGAAAAGGTAGCGTATTTCCAGGAGACGACCAGATGTACGTAGAGGCGGCGTAAGTGTTCGAGCACGACGAAATGTGCTGAGATGACGCGAGTATGTTTGAGTTGTCTCACAGATGTCCCCTTCCTTAACCCAAGCGAGTGAAAAATGTTTTTTAAGCATTTTTAATTCAATGATCAAGTTAGTTATGAACTGTGTTGGTAGTCGATCTATCCCGGCCTTCTCAGAAAGTTTGAGTGGACATTGCTTATCGTAGCAGTATCCATACACTTGTCAATCGGTATTGAACCTAGTAATTGGACTTGCACAGCATTTAATTCTCTGTGGTTTAGCTTAAAATCGGCGCCGACAACCTTTTTTAAAAATCTCTTTTTGCATAATCTAATTGTTTTGTAGCACCTTCAAGCCCACCAGTCAACTTTCATGGTCATAACGTGAGCGCAACAAGCATTTTCGTCAGCTGGGGGGATGTTCCAAAGCCCTCTGCAAATGGAGTACTTCTTGGGTACCACGCCTCTTGTAAGGCAGTTAAATCCTCGGACAGTTATTTCGCGGAGTTCTTGCCTGAAGAACATCATTGGGAATTAAAAGGTCTCAAAACTTTTGCTAATTATAGTTGCTGGCTAAGAGCGTACAACAATTACGGAAATGGCAGCTGGAGTGAGGAATTGGTTATTTCAACCGATGATGCTGGTATGTTGCCCACAGGAAGTTGTGGTCATTTATTGATGAGTTGTAAGCTTACAACTATACAAAAAGAATTTCGAGTTTGCATGAGCCTCGTTACTTTGTGATTGGTCCAGACAAATCGTGCCATCCGTGCAACAAATCAGATTCAAAAGTATTACTAGTTGCGACTTGATCCCTCGGGCATGTCCCCGCTTAAGACAGTTTACATCAGTGTTCTTGTGCTTGCTTTGAGTTCTTTGTTATTTGCCCTCTGTGATGCGTTTCTTATCATTGGTTACTGAGCCGTGATTATTGGTTCTGGATTCATCATCAATAATCATCTCAATTAGGTCGGTAAAAGCCGGTTAGGCAGCACACCAACTACTTACCATGCAAAAGTAAAAATTAAAAGTTACAATAAGTACAATACAGAATAAAAAGTTAACTTTACAAATTGACACGTTCTTATTAAGCTAATGAAGTAAGGAAATTCTCAAATTCGGATTTACAACCCTCAGTGAAAACGTGCTCCAGCGAAAAACTGACCCAAGCATAAATTGCCACGATCAACTAGCATTCCGTACAGGAAGGGAAGCAGTGCTCCCTAGTTGCTAAGGGAGATTCCCCTCAGTGAGGCACTGCGCATCCTGTATTGTGTATAAGATATCATTACCCATAAATCCTAGCGAATAAGCGTCCATCGAGGACTTTCTTTCTCGATCAAGGGACGAGCTTGACACTAGTGTGATGTTCTTTCGCTCTTAAACAAGTGGTGACCAACATATTTTCATAATATTTTTGGAAGCAGTGATGAGGAACAATCAAGGAAAGTTAAATACTAGCCATTACGTAATAAAGAATCAATCGTTTCAACTCATAACCATGGTACCTTTTCTTGCTATCATTATACAGCGCCTGCAGCTCCCCCAGACTATCTGAGCGCTAGGAACCTTAGCTCTACCAGTCTTCAGGTCCAGTGGGACCCAATCCCTTTTGGGTTCCGGAATGGAAAAATACTTCAATACCAAGTGAAATATAGCCAATATTCACTGACAAGACGGCGAGTCTTTACCACAAATTACGTAAAGAAAAGGTCACTCACGCTTGTCAACCTTAAGAAATACAAGAAGTATCTGATTGAAGTGTCCGGGATGACAAGAAAAGGCGTTGGACCCCCAGTTTCAACTGTGGTGCAAACTGATGAAGATGGTAAGGATAACACAAAAAGTTACACACACAAACTAGCTAGAAAATCATATTTACCACTATTGATAAAGATGAATAAGGCCCCCTCTACATGGACGTGTTTCGTTACACCACACCGAAGTGTCCAAATGACAAAAAAACAGTTTCAGAGGTGGACTCTTTCGAACATGCATCATTTTGAAAATGCTATACGATTCCCCCTAATGTAGAAAAGAGAAAATGAAAACTTTTGAAAATGGTACTGTACCCTGAAGCGTTATTCAGTGTCGCTTCCATTGGCGTTTCCGGAAAGTTTTAGTATGGGTGATAGGCGAAAAGCTGTTAAAAATAGGTGCTCTACAGGGGAAAATACATTAATGTGGGTAATAGATAAGTGTTGGCTAGTTTGGGAAAAATATTTTACATGGTTTTGGTTGACACGAAAACGGAACCTTTTAAAAACACAATAGTGTGGCCGGGGCCACACTATTGCGTTTATGGCACAGGGAAGGGAAGTGGATAGAATTTTCCATCAGCATGGTCCTGAAGTGTCCTTTGGAGGCATTTGGGGTCTTACAAGGCTGTTATAATGACCATTCCTTCTTGAAAAAGAAGGAAGGAGGTGTGGCTGTGGATCTTCCGATTAATTCTCTAGGACTGGGCTACAGACGAATGTTTAAGAACAAGGCCATCGACTAGATTCTCATGAGAGAAGCCTCCTACAAGCTGCTAGAATCAGCAGTGGATGACTCACTTCTGACGTCTTTTCTAGTACCAGATCGCCCTCCGTCAGACATAACCGTGTCAAGCCTGAGCTCTAAAGTGATTAAAATCATTTGGGGGCCAGTTCCTGAGGACTTCACAAATGGTGAAATACTTGGATACAGAGTGCTCTACAACGATACGTCAGTTGCTAAAAATACATCAGTTTCTTCCAATCAAACATCTGTAGAGATCCATGGACTGAAACCTAACACCAGCTACAATTTTCATGTCCTTGCATTTACAACCAAGGGTGATGGGGTAAAAAGCGCGGCCTACCTCGCAAAAACTTTATCAGGTATGTAATACATGAAATTTCAACTTGCTAACAGTTAATTGAATGACTTTCTTCCTAACTGAATGATGGAATTACTGACTGATTGATTGTATACTGACTGACCGACTGACCAGCTGACCATATACGAACGGACAGACGGTCGCACGAAAGTACGGGTTGATGGATGGATGAAGGTCTTAATGAATTAATGTCTCTGATCGACGGTTGACAGTTAAAAAATTCCTTTTCCCGGTATACAGGTTAATTTGTTGTCATCAGGGCTTTTGTTTTTCATTAAAAGATACAGTTTTGCTAATGTTTGAATGAATCAATTAAGCAAAATTTTTCAAATCAGATTGAAATTTCAGGGCCAAACCTTTTGAAAACGTCTACTAATAAGTGGACCCTTTCAACTCGCTTATACAGGAACTGTGGGGAGGAGGGGATGAAATGTTTGTACGGGCGCAGAACGTAATCGTCCTGATCACAATCGTCCCTTACCGCTTTGTACGCCAACCACGCAAGTAATTCTCCCAGTTAATTTGAATGAAATCGCATTCATATACTCACAGTTAATCAAATTCCATCTCTTAACTAACCAGTTAATTTACTCTTTCCGGCAGAGAAATCCAACAGTGGCCCAAGTTCGAGATCATCACAGGGTTCAAACGGTAACAGAGAAACTACTGCATGGAGATGTTTACTACTGCTTACTGTTATGATGTCAAAAGTTTGACAATTAGGCGTCCGTAACAATGTCCTCTTTCTAACTCAAATTTTGCTTTTAGTCCTTTGAATTTTGATCCATTTAACGATCTCGTTGCACCGCTCAAGGACAGTTCAACTGATTCTTTAACGCACAGAGCTTTGACGGGAAAATGTTTGAATAACAATATCATATGAAAAGGCGAAAGATGAAATTATTCGCACCTACTAGAAACTGACGATAATAACAGCGGCTCGGCCGGCAAATGAGTTCACATCTTATTAATTTTTCAATTGGTATGATACAATATGACACCATTTAAGTTTAAGGTAAGGTGAGGTCATTGTTTAAAGTTCACTAAATGTTGATTAAGAAAGAGTGAGGTCATTCGCTCGATAGGCAGGCACTGCACGGGAAAGGAGCCCGTGATCGAGACTGAGTAGTGGATAATCGAAAAAACGAGCCTCAAGAAGTCACTGATGAATGAAAACCTCGTTCAGCCAATCAGATTCAAGAATAAGCGTTTGTTTGAAAGTTTGTTTTTAATTACATAAAAAGCGGTTTTCGCTTGAGTGTCTACAATTGCACAATTGCTTTGGTACTTAACTATGCTTTGTGACTGAGTCAAAAAAAGCTTCAATCGATGACTTAATTATATGCAAAACTTAAACCAATCGCGACATAGGCTCGTTTTCACTTGCCTGGTGCCGCTCTCGTTCGCCCTTTTAAACTTTTCTTCGTTTTTCTGACAGGCGTGAGCTTCTGAACCAATCAAAAGGCGTAGTTAAGAAAAAAATCAATTTAAAGTTGCTTTGAGAAGAGTAACCGATTAGATGGAGTCTTAAAATAACTGCCTTGTCTTCTCTACGGTTTTTTACAGTGGGCATCATTGCGAGTTCTGTGTTTGCTGGATCCATTGCTTTTGGAGCAGTTTTTTTAATGGTCTACTTTTTCCGTAAAAAAAGGATAGCAGCAGTAAATAACGATGGTGAAAACGGTAGGATGATTATTGATTCTCCACGCATGAATAACTCCCTGCCCCTAGGGACCAATAGAGGGGGAGGGGTGGATATTTATTTGGAGGATCATTTGGTTTTCAGGGGAACAGAGGGGGGTCAGTCGTCGCCGACAGAATATAAAGAAGGGGCTATAGAAATAATCAACTGACTGCCTATGAACTGCCAATGAGGGGGGGAGATCCAAAGAATATTTCAGAGCCCTATGGGAGGATCAGGTAAATTTAATCCCCACACAGGTCCTCCAACCCGGGATAAATATTATTTAAACATCAATAAAAAGCAAAGCGAGAGTGAATGGTACATCATTTCTCACAGCTGAGAATTCGATTTGGCACTTTAAGCCGAGGGTTCGAAGTTGTGGAAAAAGGGGAATTATGAAAGTATTGGATCAATATCAGTATCTGGGCAACTGCCCACCTACCCCTCCCCTAACCCAATATTAACCCTAACTTGTTATCAATTAACTCTTGTTGAGTTAAGGGAGGGTTAGGTGGGCAGTTGCCCAGATACTGATACTGATCCAAAGTATTCAACTGCACCCAAATAGAGAGCGCCATCTCTCAAAACATACGCCCTAACACTGTATGGTTAGTTGCGATGTTTTTAAGTCATCCCTAGTGTCATAGAAGACTGTTTCTCACCCCTTAATACCAGAAGTGACCGCTACGTGACTAAATTCTTCTTCCAATTCGAATACATTGTTCATCCCGGGTGATACAAGTGATGTGAAGAAACGCGAGAAAACGCGAGTGACCAAGTCGTGGTTTTAGATTTTAATCTGATTGGTCGAGAGGATGGCGTGAATTTTCTGAACCAATTACAGAACGGAGCGGGGAATAAAACCAATGCAATCGTTCAAACTCGATTAAAACTTGTGGTATGGAAAGATATTGAAAACGGACCGAGAATGATTTGGGACGGAGGAGATCAACACAGATTTTAATGACAAACTCGAGATGTAAAAGCCGTTACAAGGCTCGTTCAAATGCCCTCACTTTGTAAGTGACACCATTACTTTGCAGGACTGTTATTTAACATGTTCGCCTTTGCCCTCGCTTCCTTTTCAGGTATTGGTTGCCCAGTGACACCATATGCCGTCTCCTCCGTTAATTGGTTAGAAAACGTCATCAACACCCAAGTACACGGATATGAGACGATAGATGATGATAACGTCCCTTGCAGTAATGGCCGACCACGTTACATCAACGTCAACCCTGACGGTTCGCTCAACCTTCCACCACACTTACGGGATATGGTTATCCACTTCGAGCAACTCTACGAGAACACAAGTTACAAGCAGCTACGACGGTTTGGAAGGCGAAGATCACTTGGAGGGGCAGAGGATCGGCTTGGACACCCCATCTACGACAAGCTGCAACGGGCGATTTCTTCAAATACCCCAAGCCAGGGTGGAGGATGCAGACAACAGGTGCAGGCGACAATAACTCCAACAAAGCAACACAGGGAAAATCACTCGGTAGATTTGGGTGAGTTACGTCGCTTTGCTAAGGATCTTCAGAGCGACATGGAAATGACAGAAGTGGTTTCTACCAAAACCCAAAAGCGACGGCGCCATTTCTCCGTAGATCTGGGTCAAGTGCGAGAGTTTATTGCTCTCACAGAGATCAACAGCTCCGCTGAAGAAGAGAATAACGCTTTAACCTACAAGCCGGAAATGAAACAAACAAATGACAACGAAGCGCTGTGTTAGCTGTTTGAAACTGGACAGAAAAACTCACTAAATCACAAAGATCAACTTCTCCAAAGTGGTGACTGAAAAAAACCAAAGTCAAAGTAAAGTCAAAATAAAAAAAAATCTATGTTATCAAACTGGGGCGGAAACACAGTTCCCAGTCTAAGAGTGTTTAAGACCCTTTTTGTCTCATAAACTGTTCAAATTTTTTCGTGATAAAGTCGCCTAGAAGCTGCTAAGTTTATACACTTGCTAAAAACAACTTTTTTCTCTTCTTCATTAGAACACAGCTGTCGCTTCATGTTGCCTGCCCACGCAGTCAGCTAAACACTGTCATTTTGCATCAACGTAAAGTTTTTCAATAGCCTGTATTTAATACTATTCTTCATGACAAGTCTTTTTTTTCAGAGAAATGTCGTGCAGTTCAAGTAGTTTGTATATCGGATTGTAAGTGATTAGAAACGTAATGTAAGAGAGTAATGCATCGCAAGTGAGTTTGAGCCCTTTTTAATTGTCAGTTTGTAGTTACATTCATACCTACCTAAAAAGCCATGGTGCGGGAATCATCCCGCGGTTGCAGGAAGTCACAACCGCATTCGGTGGCTTTCGGTGTTTTAGTGTTTAGTGATGGTTTTGGTGGTGGTTAGATGCCACGGTAAAAAAAAGTGTATATATGTTCTCTTTTGAGGAGAACGTGAAGATGGAGAACAGTTAAAGAAAATTTCACTTTAACAAGTGGAAATGACTTCTTAGAAAGAAGTCTATTCATAAGCTTTCTTCTAGAGAAACTTTTTAATTTTCTCACAATTAGTAATTGATTCCATTTTACACATGTTATCCAACAAAAAGCAAACGCTTCAGAAAGCTAGCTTGGCAATTTTAGCTAACGGCCGACTCCTAAAAAAGCCCTGAGTAATCACCAACAAAAAATGAAATTGACTTCGTTCCTATGTGCAATTGATTGAATACAAAATTAACGACTGTCCATCATCCTTTCATGGTCAATGCTTGTATTAAATTTTCCTGATTAGTAGGAGTATTGAGTTTGTGAAAAAGTTTTGATTCCACGAAATATTTTACAAGAATATTTTCTATTCCATGAAAACTAACGTTCAACCTCTTCTCATGGGTCACGTGATTGTTGTTAGACAGACTTGTTTGTTTGTTACCACCAATGTAATTCTCATTGAAAGATAGGCATGCTCCTAAATCCCTAGAAATGTTATCTTTACCATTTAAGAGTGCATATTAAACTTTTCCTTTCACTGTGTTTTGAGACTCCACAGAGTAACTCAGTAACCCTTTGCAAATCATCTAAACTTGATAAAGATATGACTGCATCAGTAGCCTGGATTCACTCATCAACTTAAAAAAATGCTCCCTCCCCCCACCCTGTTGTGCATTTTGTCAGGTTTTTATAGGTTTCATGCATACACATCCATACAACTGGATGGGACTGGAGACATTGTGAGAGTAAACTACTTTGCCCAAGAATAAAAATCAGTGATCCTGTTCAGACTCAAACTGGCACCTCCTGATCCAGAATCCAACAAGTTAATCATAGTAAAGGTATCATAAAAGGTAGGATTGGTACATGAGCCAAAGTGTTGTATCTATTCTGGAAGCCACTAGGAGTGCCCCCCCTACCCAGCCCCTGGATGTGATGCTAATCCATTGCAGGTTACCCCCAGCATTTTAATGCATATTCATCACTCATTTACACTCCTGGGCAGAGAGAGGCACTGTGAGAATAAAGTGTATTGCCAAACAACACAATGCAATAAACCAGCCATGATGCAAACCCAAACGTCATCACCTACAGTCCAGTGGACTGAATGTAAAGGGGGGAAAAAGGTCCTGAAAGGCCATTCTATCTCCCACATTGGCTACTGTGTCTACCTGAAAAGTGTACTATCTGTACTTTTGAAATTAAACATTTCTACCAACTCAAATTATTCTGATCTGGTTTCCAACCTTACATGCTAAGGTGTTTGGTGGAGGCAGAGAGCATCTTTTCAAGATAAACACTTCATGATTTAATTCTTTTACATTATAATTGATTTCTCAAAGTGATTGGTATGCCTCAGGATAACACTCACATCTGAATTTATCCATGATGCTTTTATTTCAGCTGTTTTACAAAGAATCCACATTTAACAAGTTGTTCATGATGACTTCTGCAATTACTGAAAATGTACTTCTCCAGTTTGCTGGGAATGTCTGATCTGCATTCTATGCCTAAAATCAATCAAAATAATACTTTTATGTTTTCATTCCATTTTTCCCTTAATATTTCATTATGGATAGTGTTAGGATTGTGGATGAAATATGTCTCTGAAAAGAAGCAGCTTATTTCAAAACCCACATTATTTGATAAATCAATACTTACAACTAACACCCATTTTTGTGTCTTCCCTTAAAAATGGTACAAAAAAAATTCCCATTTATTTTTTAACACTTTTTTTATTTTGATTTTGTTGCCCAGTTTAAGGAAATCACCAACCCTTTCACTCCCAGATCTCATAATTTATTCTCCTGACTGTCCCCAATACATTGCTTATAGAATTAGTTCCAAGAATTTAGTATTGGATCAACTAATGATTCCCTGAATGAAATTTTTTTAATTGTTGGCTTGGCTTGTTGGCTTGAAATTGTTTTAGTAATGTAAGGAGAAATTCAGTTTTGGTCACTCCTAGGAGTTAAAGGAAGTAAGTAAAGGAGAGACAAGGTAGGGGTTTATTGCACTTCATAGAAATAATATCAATTAAAAAATAAAAGGCAGGAACTTGGAGATGGATTAAAAAAATCCTCTTTGCACACAAATGACATACACCTTCCATCAACAACTTTGGATTGGAGCTACTTGTAAAATTTGCTCATGGCAACCTGTGTAAGACGAATTTGTTGATTCAGGTTTCAAAGAGGTATTCCAAGAATTCAGTGAACTAACGCCACTGAAGCTTTAATTTAGCATACCAAGAAGTTCTGCAGTTCTTTGAATAGTTTCTTTTGCGGCATCAACGTTTTTCTCATTTGACACTACAACCTCCAATTCACCAACTTGATACCCAAAGCTTGCCTGATCTAAATCAACTACAACTCTGTTTGGCATCTCATACACAGCTCTATTCGTTGTAATACATGCAATCTGTTTACAGGATGTTCTTTGCACTATCTCCTCGACAGACGTGTAATCTCTGTCAATATTTGGGTAGAAAGAGCGCAGCCTCGTCACAATTTCATTTATAATTTCATTTTCGTCTTCTATCTCGCGGTTACTTTCGATCCACCGTTCAATTTTCAGTTTCTGAATTTTAAGTTCCCATTTATTATTTCGCTTCCGCAGCCAGTAACCATTAAGCGACAGTTCGTGGTTTGGTGCGTCGAAGTAAACATCGGTGAAAGTGGTTTGTCGCATAAGTTTTGCTCCTTTCAATTCCAGAACTTTCTCAAAGTCTGGTGGTACACGAAATTTGCTTTCTACTTCGATCATTTGAGAAGAAGATAAGGGACTTCCGCTCATCCATTCTGCCGCCATGTTTGAAACCGACTTCGCAAAGGTTGATGGGAGTGCCATTATCACCCACTCCTCCACTCCCCTACTCAGCAGGAATTATCCTTTAAATAACGTTGGAAAATGTCTAGTGTTACTGAAATACTGATGATATATTTCTAAAATTGGTAATTTTTTTTCTCAAATTTACGTACGATCTAGATCTCTGAGGACTAAAAAGGCATCTGCGTACAGCAGCTTAGAAGGATGTGGTATCAAAATGATCTAAGCAGGGGAGGGTTAGTAAGGTTTTGTTCGTATGGGAGTGTGGAGCTCTATCGGAAGTAACAGTTAAGTGTTCGTCCAAATAAGTGATATTTCCTCGTGGTCTAACTCTGTCTTTCTACGTTTTCTGCTTCGATAATAATTTCAGAGATGGTTTACTGGATAATCGTCGTTACTGGGCGGTGAAACGCTGAAGAAATTGATCTATACGAGCGATCCGAGGCAAATTTTCATGCTGTTGTTAGAGGGTTGTGTCTGCAGCGGGTTCTGAACTGATCGAGAACCCCGGAAAGCGGTTCAAAAAGCCTTTTCTGGATAAAGGGGACAGCTTGCGATAATGTCTGTTCGTAGTGGTCCAGCGCAGGTGAAGTTGGCCATCGAAAGAAAAGGACAACTTCCCTTGCTTACAACTTTTGATCAGGTTTGTAAGAAACAAGCTTATTAATTAGGTCTTAAGTTGTCCTGATAATTTTTTGATTGAATTTCTCTTTTGAGATATCATTCATTGGTAGAATATGAGTTAAGGAATGCTAATTGTTTTAAACACAAGACCAGTAATGATATCTCTTTTTCTTTCACTAGAGTCGACCATTAGACGAAATTATAAGGGAAATCTGCACAAAGTGAGTAACCGGTATCAACACAAGTTATAGGTTGTACCCAAACAGTGATCATTACCTGTCCAATAGTTTGCTTTTAAGGTTTCATAGAACCTTTCTATTTAAAGCTTATATGATCGCATCTATATCTGTGTTGATTTCCTCACTCTTTAAATGGTCTAGTGAACAATAATTAGTTATAAGTGCTTCATTAATCAGAGGTATTTATTTGGTGAAACCTTAGATCTTTGGACAGAAAACGTGTTACAATAGGTAAATTTCGATATCCATAGTGAAAAAGAATATAAATAAACACCACTTTGAGGCTCTAAGGAATGTGTGATCTCCATTAACTATTGGTTAATGTTGAATTTAGAATAATCTTCTGTAATGTAAACAGCAAAATAGGCAAGGAGATAGACTGGGATAAAGGAAGAAATTTTTCCACATCCCCTAGGGTGTTTGCCCCTAAGGTCTCTATCTCTTGAAACCCTTTTGGAAAGAATTTGTAGTATACAAGAATGAGTGTTAAAGAACTCCTACAGAAAACTAAAAAAATGCTGGGTGGTAGCCTTGGATGGAATTGTATTTCACCTATATGGAGAACCAATGCTCATACTCACTTGTGCCAGGAATAATGGATAAGCACTTGCAGTTATGAGCCTCTAAACCTGTAAGACTGAAACCCAGCCCACAGCATTTTATGGGGCAAATTGTCCTTAAATTGCTCCTATAGCATGTGGATAATTCAAAGGTTTTGTTTGATTTAAATATTACACCCAAACCAGGAAACATCTCTACAGTGGATAAACCCACTCTCATGTACTTGGGCAAGAATTATTTACCTTTTTTGGGGAAGTTCCTCCCTGGCCTTCATCCTAAGAATCCTGGATAAGGTTGTTTTGTTTGCATACTCACAACTGACCTTTCACTCATGTTTTCAGTTGGTCCATAAAAACCCCAGAGGAGTATGCTTTTCAGTATTCTGACTATAACTGTTACATAACTGAGGAGGTAAGCCATACTTCTTTCCTATAAGCCACAATTTAGAAGAACAGGATTTTTTTATATACAAGTGTCCCTGGTTAAAAAAATGGCTACTATTGAACATTTGAGATGATAAAAAACTTTGAAAAGTTTTAATAGATTAAACAAAATTCAGCTAACCCTCTACACTGTAACTCTCAGAGGTGATTCCCATAAGACATAGCTGGGCAGATCCAGGAACAGAGACTTTACTTATATTAGAGCCCTTGATAAGCCAACTTGAAGAAATATTTAAAAGAAGGAATTCTCAATGCTTCAAGTTGAGTGGTAGTATTGGTTTCATACAAGTAGTGAACAAACCCACAGGTCTGATGGAGGGGGGGGGGAGGCTACAGATCCATCTGCACCCTCCCACAGGATGCTCCTACCCCTTAATGGATCTCCTTTAGTTAGCTTTCAAAATATAGAGATAATTAACCATTGAAAAAGTGACAAAAATACACATATATATCAGCAAGAGGTTGTTCTTTTGATGTAACACCAAATTGTCTTGGTTAATTTTCCAGAAAATATAATTATTAACCCTTTGACCCATAAGAGTGACTAGAATCTAATTTCTCCCTACAATATTGTCCCCAAACCATACATTAAGGTTACGAGAAGAAAAGAAATGATCAACAACTAAAGTAAGCTGTCTGTTGTTATGCCAGTTCTTCTTGTCATTACCTCAGGAAATGTACTGAGAACAGTAGGGAGAATATGCATGCTGATATTAGGGTGTGAAGGGTTAAATATCGAAGGGACAATTACTAATCACTGATAATTAGATCTTGGGTAATTGATGTTGTTGATGCGGTTAAATGTTACCTTCCTTTAGAACCGCAATGGAATAAAGAATGGTGCTGTACTGAAACTCACACTCTCACCGGTAAGTTATCCTGAGTCACAATTGCAGATTGAGATGAAGTCTGTCTCAGAATATTTGAATGAGTGATATCTGCAGGCCACTCAATTGATTACTGGTTTTAAAAAACTAGGCTAAGCTTGCACAAGATGTTGTTGAGCGTCTGGAGTCAACTGTTCACGAGGAAAGAAGAAATGCTTTAGCAACACTATCCAGTATCTCAGAGGTATGTGATTATCCATGTTGTCTTATTGCAAATTTGGCTTGAAACTCTTTCAGTTTCACACTGGATCTTTATTTCTTTTCCTTACTAGCCAACCAACCATCTTTTCTCTCAAATGTAATATTATTTATTTACTTTTTTTTTTCTTACACACACTGTCAGGATCCAACCTTTGCCAGTGAGTTTATAAAACGAAATGGTCTGGGGCTCCTTATCAACATGGTGGAGGGAAAACCAGAGTAAGCCAATTCCAGATTTTTTTCAACTTCATTTAACACATTTGCAGGGTTGTAGCTAAGAAATAAGGTTGCTAAGTGAAATTCAAGTGAGGAGGTTATAGAGTATTTGATATCAAAGGATAAAATTGTTGGTGCATAACTTCAAAATGCCAGTTGTTCTTTTCTGAGCCAGCCAAAACTCCAGCTTGTGATTCACTCTTTTTCATATGGCAAATTTTGCTAGCAGCTGGTACTTAGCGACAACCTTGCATTTGTGCCATTTATTTCCAGTCTTTTACAGTGGACTTCTTTGACTAGGCTTATTGAACAAAGTTAACCAATCAACTGATGGCTAAATGAACCATGATTTAGCTAACTTTATGTGTGCCAATCAGTGCTATGAAAGGACCCACAGGTGATTCATGAGTATTTTCACCTTGTGTCCTCAGGAGTGATGAGTCCTTGGCTCACTGCCTGACCTCTTTTCAAGAGCTGATGGATCATGGTGAAGTTTCATGGGATTTCCTTACGAAAGGATTCATTAAAAATGTAAGTGAGACATGTCATGATTATTTTGCTAGATATGATTATGGTGGGTCATATCTTACACTCTGTTGGTTTGCAATGAGGGTCGGCCATGTCATACTTCAAATTTTGCTAAAAAAGTGAGCCAACTTTCATAATATTTCCTCTCTTTCCATGAGCTTGAGAAATATTTATTGGAAAAAACAAAATATTTTGTCATCACTCAAAGGGGATTGTGGGATGTGCATGGTTTACTGGTTAGTGCAGAGAGCTTTAGATTTAACCTTTTTTTAACTCCTGAGATCTGATTGTTTACTTTCCTCTCTAGCTGCTACACATTTCCTTGTAGATTAGTTAATATGAGAATTAAGTGTTCAATCAAAATAACTTCTGCCTGATAAGTTGGAGTTTTCTCAATACCTGTTTGCAGGGTAATGTAAGGATATTATAGGGAGAAGTTCCATGTCAATCCTCATAGGGAGTTAAAGGGTTAAGCTCTGGCCAATTGGCTTGAGCAAGGGTCATACATTTCTGTTTCACAGTGCTTCTCTTCATTGCAATGTAGAAATGGACAATAGGCTTTCCATAAAACATGATCAGGTTAGATGTGATCAACCAGCCTCCCTCTCAATTACCTGTTGCATGAAAGTGCTGTTAGAAAGAAACATTTTTTCAAATTTTCTTACCTATAGAATCATGACACAGAGAGCTACATTTACATAGGGGAATAATGATAAATGTGTTGGCATTGAAGTGTAGCATAATGAATTCCTCCTTGAAAAAAAAAAGTATATAACAAAACTGGAGGTGCTAGAATCGCTCTTGGTCACGGTGCACTCAAATTTAAAGCATATTTCTTGCCTCCAAACTTCTTGCTTTCTTCATATGCATGCTGATACATTAACTGATTTTCCACTAAATTCTCGAAATCTTACTTTGTAGTTGACAGTCTTTGTAAACAAGAAGAATCCACCTGTAGACCCTACTGTGCTCAAAAGATGTCTATCTATCTTAGAAGCAGTGTGTACAAACAGGTTAGTAGCTCTATTACTTAAAATTTCAGTCCTACTCAAAAAAATGTGACATAGGTGCTAGAATTATTTCTTAAGAATTATTTTTAAAACAACTGACATGCAGCATCTACTTGTAGGAACTTAATGTTTAATTTTGCACTCCTTCTCAAGATGAAAAGTGTTCTTTTATTGCCCTTGGAAATGGTTTGCAGGATAATTTTTGTTTCAAGCTAAATTTTGATTGATGTGTGTTTTCTTTTTTCAATTTTTTTGTCCACCAGCCCAACATTTTATCCACTTGTAGAAAAAGAAGTGGTATTTGAGCATCTTATTCTTCATCTGCAAAAGTAAGTAACAATACAAAGAGCGGTATTTTACTTGCAATACGTTTTTGCTGTAGAGATAAGTTTCTAATTTTCATTTGTGGAGTCCTGTCAGTTGCATGGAACTATCACTGAGTATTAAACCTTTATGTTCATTGTTGGGTAAAGAAATACAATACTATTGTTTGGGTTGGTTCATGTGGAATAAAAATCATTATTAATTTTTAGGCCAAATTGAAATTGCTTTTAAATCTTAATCTCAATTTTTGTAAAAATTATCATGTATGTTGTCCCTTCATTTTATGAATCACTTGCTACCATCTCTAAACATAAATGTCCAATCCTTAGACAAGAGATATGTGTTGTCAATCTTTATTTGTAATTATTACAATTATTTTAATTAATAATTATTGTTTGCATAACTTTGTAGCTCAAATCAAGATATTCAGCTGAATGCTATAGCACTCCTAAACAGCTTGTTCATGCGTACAACAAATAAAAGAGTGAGTTGATGTTCATATGTAGAGATAAATGTCTAATGGTGGTAAGTTTCTAAAGAAGTTGTGGTGTTGTGTGGGTGGGGAAGTAAAACAAGATAATTTGGTTTTATCAACTGAGTTGATAATGAAGAAATGTAAATTGGTTTCCGTGTTTACATAGCCTGATGTAAACACGCGGGAGGTTGGGAGAACACGAGATAAGCGTAGGAAACCACGACGCGAAGCGGAGTGGTTTTTAGCTTATCGAGAAAAAACACGGAAACCATTTTACATTTCTTTTATAAAATAACTAATGAAAGAGGAACGAAAACCGTGTTTACATACGCTCATGTAAATGGTTTTATGGCCAATCAGAGCGCGCGTACTATTTGAATTATTTTATAATGAAAACTGGCCACCGTTAAGAGTTTCTGAGCTGACGTTAGCCCTTCGTCATTCGCTCTGACGTGTCAATGACAATATGCAGTTGATATTTACCCATTGAAAGTTGTGTTCCCCTACTCTTGGGAAATCTTTTGGTTGCAGCGTCTTTCATTTTGTGTAGCAACATTTCTCTAATCATATATTTATTCTGGATGACTGGATAAGATAATTTTTCATTTGTTAAAAAAGGTGTCACGCACAGCTTTTAACAGCAAATGTTGAAAGCTTCACAATAATTTCATGTATATGTGCGAAAGCAATTTCAAACTAGTTTGATTGGCACAGCCATTATCTCCATTTCTCGAAAATAGAGGAAACGCAAATCGATCTGTGTAAATCAGTTGGACCTGAAACGGCTTCCTCTGAGGAACAACACGGCGACTAGAAGTTTGCCCTTCTCATGCTAAAATGCTCCTTACCATGATATTTTTTTTCAGCAATTTGTAGATACACTATCAAAGAAAGGAGTAAGAACATATATTATGAACGTAAGCCAAATGTTTTTCCTTGCTTCTAAAAGATACTTTCTTAACAAATGGTAGATATGAGTTCGTATTTGATCAGCAGGTTATAATTGAGGAATTTATCCTAAACGGGTGAACTGCAAGTAGAGAACCGTTAACAGTACAGGGAACGCTCTAATAAGCCCTTCGCTGCCTACAAAGGCCTATCCTTCTCTCCCTAAACACAAACCCTAAAGTGGTGGGTTTGGTTGGCCACTAATAGGCTCTCCTTGTTTGGGCTTCTGCTTACGCGTTTCTTTGCCCGGGGGAAGACACTGGCATAAGGCCTTGAGCGATCCTAGCTGGCGAGAAGTCTGCAAGGGGTGCAGCAATAGCAGCCATTTGTGCTTCTAGGAGGATGGACGATAAAGGAATAAAGTTCTCCTCTCCCCCCTCCCCCTTGCCGCAAACAACGCGTCCTTTCCAACAAGCCGCAGATCTTGAAGCCCTGGTAATTAGTATGTCCTCCGGAAGTATAATTGAGCGTTAAGTGTAAAGTATGAAAAACAAATACAAGCTGTATCGAAGCTTGTACCTACGCCATGAGTATTGTTGCTAACTAAACTTTGAAGCCGCATGTTTGGAGCTAGGAGAATAGCAGTCTGTAGCTTGTTCCCTTTGGGGATCTTGATCACAAAGATATATTCGATGTGCTTTGACTAAATTTTTATGAAAGCAACATTCCGGGAAGAATCTTAACCCGTGACATTAACCACTGATGGCACTCAGTCCTAAAGGCGTTTTACAGCCGTTCACCACTAAGGGAAAACTGCATTTTCGTGTTGTTTTGTTTTTTCTTTTAAGGATATTATTCGCGGCGGAAAGACCATGAGAAGTGAAATGGAACATCAGCTGTACGTGTACCAGTCCCTCATATTCCGATCTCTTTTGGTAGACATGTCTCTTATAAAAGGAAATGCCCAGAACCAGGTTGGTGAATAACCTCTGTTGGTAATGCTTGTGAACGAACAGGTCGAACCAGCGAACGAACGAGCGAATGGATCGAAGGAACAAACGAGCGTGAGAACGGAAGACTTTATAAATGAACAAAGGAACGAGTGAGTGAATGAAAGACTGGATTAACTAACGAACGCACGAACAAACGAACGAATGAACGAACAAAGGAACGAACGAAAGAACGAACAAACGCACGAACAAACGAACGCATGAACAAACGAAGGAACGCACGAACGCAAGAACAAATGAACGAACGAACGAACGAACGAACGAACGAACGAGCAGATGAGCGAGCGAATCAAAGACCGAACTTGGATGAAAAATCTTGTGATTGAAGGGAGGAAGGACTGAGGCAGTGAAAAAATAAATACATGAACGGAGAAGTGGAGGAATATTAATTGAGCGAACAAATGAAAGAACACCAAAAACTGACTAACGAATCAAGGAATAAACGGAAAAAAACCAACAAGAACGAATGCATGTGTAGACGGACAGATAGACGGGTAGACAAAAGTAGACGAGAGAGTCAACAAAGGAACGAACACACGAATGAATAAACAGGCGAAAAAAGAAAAGACGGGCATACGTACGTGGAAGTGAACAGAAGAAGGAACGAATTGGAAAGCGAACGTCAGGTTCACTGAGGACGAGCGGACGAGAGCTCTAAAATGATAATCGAACCAACGAAAAGAGATAACGATAAGTGAACTAATATACTGGCCAGCGATTGAAAAGACGAAGAAAGACTGACGATTTTTGACTTGTTTTCCAAATCTGTCAAATTCCTGTTTTTCTTTTCAGAGTCTTTTCGAAAGTCTTAACACCTTGCGGCAAGTAGTGTTTGAATCAGATATTGTGGCCGCGAGCTCAGGAAGACCTCTTTCACAAGCGGGAGAACTTTCCAAAGACTTCAAGAGACTTGGGTTTGTGGTGAGTTCACTTAGTGTAGTTCAAATCAGGGTAGGCAGGCTTTTATCACAAATTATGATCATCATTATCGTTGATCTCGTCGTCATTATCGCCAATATCGTTATCATTATTATTTATTATAATCATTGCTCAGCGGTTTTTATGAATTTTCTCCTAGGACATTGACACACCAGCAAATGACTTCAGCGAAGCACCCCCTGGCCTTCTTCCTCTTCATACAATGGTTTACTTTGCACGGAAACACGAGGAACAATATGTCAAGGTATTTATCGTTTTAAGGTTGCAGCTCTATCTCTGTTTCTTAACCGGCTCCTCTCAGGAGCTTAGCAAATAGCGGGTGCGTTACCGGCCCAAACAAACCCCATCCATTATTTTGTATTCATGGTTTTAGCAATGGCTGTTGACAAAATTTATTTCTTTTGTGTGTTTGTCATGTTTGTTTGATCTTGGTTTCCATTAGCCTTATTAACAATTCTTATCAAATCTTGGCAAAGCATCAACACTTCAAGCAATGTTTGAGAACAGCTATCATAAAAATGTTTTGGCGAGATAAACCTGTACTTGAAGTACTAAAATTTTTTGTTTACTCGTCATGGAGGCCAAAGTAGTCGCAGCTGAGAGCGTTGTAGATGCTTTAACCTTGATGTCGGTCCTTAAAGGATACAGTTTAAATGTTATAAAAGAGTTCAAAACACCCTCTTTACGCTCTTGATGTCTCGGTGTTGACAACAATTTGCATGAGATAAATTCTAACTGTATTTTTTCACGTCCAGGTCATTTTAGAAAACCATGCTCGAGGTGACGACTATGAGTGCCCGTTTGCTCGCACCAGTATTGCTCTTACCAAAATGTTGTGTGATGTACTGGAAATCAATGCAGAACCACGTAAGTTAAAGTGTCAAACTTCATATTCTCTGATGCTTGTGAACGCTGTTTTTGTTTTCGGCTGTACACAGGCTACTCTCGAAGGGGAGGGGGACAGGGGGAGAGGGGAGAGGGGAGAGGGGAGGGGGGAGAGGGGAGGGGGGGAGAGGGGAGGGGAGAGGGAAGGGGGAGAGAGGAGGGGGGAGGGGAGAGAGGGGAGGAAGTGAGGGGGGAGGGGAGAGAGGGGAGGAAGGGAGGAAGGGAGGAGGAGGATGGGAAGGGCATCTAAGGGAAGTGTAATTATTATTATTATTATTATTAGTAGTAGGTATTTGTTACCGAATCCTGCAAACCTCAGTCCGTTTCAAGAAATAAAAATCCGTAATTTTTTTCGTTTACCTGTTAAAGCCGACAAAATTGTTTAAATTGTGGCAACTTGAACTTAGGAAGCCTGGTTTAGTATGTTTAGTGCCATAAGATTGTGGGATACCACAAAATGGTAACAAATGACCAAAAGACCGTGCACTAGTTCTCACCCTGTCCAGGGCATCTGGGCCGAGTTGTTCAAAGCTGGGTTGGTGTGAAAGCTGATTCCAGATCAGAGAGCCGTAAAAGAAAATTCAGTGTAATAATTTTTGTCTACAATTTGAGTATTGAGTGCTCTAAAGATTAAAGAATAGGTTATTATACCAAAAAGGCTTTTAAGTAAAGGAATAAAAATTGCGTATTAAGTTTGGGTTAGTACTAATCGGCCTTCAAACAGCTGGGTCGTAGTTAAAAAGTTCATTGTGGTTTGTAATGAAATTACATGCCCAGTCTAAGATTTAATATCCCGGAAACCCCACCCTATTTGGCAGGATATACCCGTTTAGAAAATTGAAGGCATCCCTCTCTCTCGAAATCAACGCTTCGTTCTTAGGATTGGCAGATCGTTCTCAATCGTCTTAAAGAGTACTTATTTTTATGTTTTTTTCCTCACTTAAGCGTCAGATTCCGGTAAGGAGTACTACCCGATATTTTTCACTATGGACTTTGCATTTGAGGAATTCTTTTGCATCTGTATTCAACTTCTGAATAAGACGTGGAAAGAGATGAGAGCCACTTCAGGAGATTTCAACCGTGTTATGCAAGTGGTTAAGGACCAGATTTGTAGAGCGCTCAAAGAGAGACATCTCTCCATGGAATTGTTTAGGGTATGTAAAAAATCTAGTACTTGTACATGCGCTTTAAAAATCGATTGCTACTCGATACTGATGGTGTTCGATTAGTATTGACTGTTGCTTTTTTGTTGTCCTGTTTGTTCGTATGTTTTGGTTTGTTTTTGTAATCAGTCTTCTCCTTAGTGAAAGATATTTTTCGTCCTGTCACGAGCGTGGGACAAAGAAAAAATTCTTAGACCCCATGAGGAATCGAACCTCAGACCTTCGGATTCCGCGCTCCGATGCTCTACCACTGAGCCACGGAAACTCTACGGTGAGCGAGGTCTATTACGAGGTTCATATGACACGCGTCCTGCGTACTGCTAGGATCAGCAATGTCGATAGCGTGTTTGTAAATAGACTAAGAAAGATGGTAAGTTTTGAGCTCGGTAAAGAAATAGGGAAAAATATTTTTCGTATGTGGGACAAAGAAAAAATCCAGAGACCCCATGAGAAATCGAACCTCAGATCTTCGGATTCCGCGCTCCGTTGCTCTACCACTGAGCCACGGAGACTGTACGGTGAGCGAGGAATCCGAAGGTCTGAGGATATCTTTCACTTTTTCTTTACCGAGCTCAAAACCTACCATCATTCCGAAGGTCTGAGGTTCGATTCCTCATGGGGACTTTCTTCGTCCCACGCTCGTGACGAGACGAAAAATATATTTCACTATTTCTCCACCGAGCTCAAAACTTACCTCCTTTCTCATTCTAGTTATTGTTCTCCTTGATTTAAGGCCTGATCAAGGGGCAAAGTAACCCGTATTAATGTCTTTTAATTTCGAGAAAAAAAATTCTCCGGAAGTTGTGGAGAACCCAGGAGAAGAATTAACAACCTGGCTTTAGTTACCGATCAATAATAGGAGCAGTCAATCGAGAAGTCTGACCGTCTGAGTAATAGTAGTTCTGCGTGAGAGTAGTTCTGAAATGGACTGGTGTCGATCAAAGTGATTGACGTTTCTACAACTTAAGAGGAAGTAAACATCAGCGTTTTCAGTTTTCATCGAGAGTATTACCTGCGAAGGTAATTCTGCACTAACCTCACTTGCGCTTGTTACAAGAAATTACTCTTAAGTAGCCATTTATTTCAAGTGATTCGACTCTGACGCTCAATACAACTCCTTTTCTTGCAGACAAACGTGTTCAACGTAGGATATTCGCAAATTGTTAAAATTCTACAAGACGAAATTCAAGCAAGGAACATCATGGAGCTCAAGGCTAAACCTGTCGTGTGAGTATTGATAGAAGTCGACAGTGTACTTTCCCAGTGATCTCTCTAAGGACCAAGGTAGTTTTCACTGAACTTTTGACTTCTAGAAGTGATCAACATCCGACTGCTTTCCACAGCTTCAGTTCAGTATGCAATGAACTAGGTTCCCAATATCCGCCTTTCCTTCGAGTATTGTGCACTCGTTCTCACCAGGGAGAAGAGGGCAAGAGCGTGGGCTTACATCCCGTTTAGCAGCCGGTCATTGAATAAAAAACACAGCAGGACTATTTAAGGAATGCACAAATGGATCAATTTTGGTCAGTTGCACCCAAATTTCTCGCGCAAAGTTAAGAAAAAAATTGAGAAATAACCGTTCTGGCGCAAATTTACCATTAAAAATGTAAATGCTCAAAGAAATATTTTAAAAAATGACGGAAAAGGAAAACTTAAGACTTTAATATCATAACTGAGTTTAGTTCAGTTAATTACAGGTATTCTCTTGACTTTCCATTGTGTTTTGAGCTTAATCAAAATTTTACTCGATGTGTCAACACTCTGACCGTCTGGTTTATGGGGTTGTTTGCTAATAACTCCTGTAACATTTGATTGTAAAATTGAAACGTTGTCAATTGTTCATCTACAGAGAACTTAGAGAACAAGTTCTGCCCGAACTAAAAGAATTAGTCAAACAACAGGTAGCCCCAAATCTCTATCATCAACAGCTATTCACCGACGTGGAGGTGGCTAGTGGTGAATATTTACCGAACCGCGAAGCAGAGACGTACATATCCACCGCTAGCCACCGACTCTCAGGTGACTAGTTGTCGTAGAATATACTAAAACAGCGATATAATATAGCACAAAAAGATGATTTTTAACTCATGTATTCCTGCAACGATCACAATAATTTCGGGCGTAAATACTCAAAGATGAATAGGAAAGGATTTTTGGAGTTTAAGTAGCTAATCCAGGCGTGCCTGAAACACTATCCACTGTTTCAGTGTGTACGTAAAATAGATATTGCTCGAACTTATTTTATTAGCCATTTCTTAAATGTGAGCGCTGGGTTTTTAATAACTTTTTTCATAAGCGGCTGCCGATGTTTTCATGGGCGGCGATTCCCGTAAAAGGAACCGAAGATGAAACTCGAAGATGAGTCTTCTGCAAACTAGACAGACGGCTTTTATTGAAATCCGTGTGAGCGGGTCTGAGCTTTTTTTAAACTTGTCTAATTATTTATTCTTCCAACTTTACATCTCACGTTGATTCTCTTCAGAGATTGGATCAACTCATCCAGGGAGCCCTGTTTGACAAAAACCCAGGGAGAGGACGAGGACGAGGTAAGAATCACCGACCAACCACGGTCGTAAAAACGTGACGCCTTGTTTTTTTACTTCAACAGACGAGGTGTTTTACTTCGAAAGTTGTGGTCTTCATAATATTGTTTTTGTTGTTTCTATCCGAGAGTTGAACCCAATGAGATGCTAATTGTTGTGGCTCTTTTCCTGTTTTACTTTAGATAGATACTGGTATTGTCGGCTGTCACCCAATTTAAAATTTCTGCATTATGGCGACTGTCAAGAAGGACAAACGCCTTCGTTGGAGAATCTTCCAAACAAATGTAAGTGTTATGTTTCTTCTTTGCTTTAGGATAAAAGACCAAGTCTACTTGAGGTAAATGTCAACGCCCAGCCATAGTAGCGATTTAGTTGGTAGAGAAATTTAGATGGCTGTATTACAGAAATGCTTTTACTTTGTCTATCCCAACTGTGGAATCAAAATAACAATTAAGCTGGTTATCTGTGTCAGAATGGTCTGTGGGGATCACTTCCTTTTTCTACTCAGGAAATGATTAAATGCCCGCTGGCACATAGTCGAGGTTACTTGAAAAAACTGATAGGGGTAGCCTGTTATGGTTACAGTAACAGGAATGATCTTCGACAATCTCAACTGGGCCCTATATACTTTTTATGTCTGATGCCAACCTCAACCTGGGGGACTATTACTGTTTAGAACTTTCTTTGTGTACTAAACTTTGTATTTGTTGATTTTAGTTTCGATTGCTAAAGTTAAAAATCTACTGGTTGGAAAGGATTGTCCTCATAGCAAAGATCGCAAAATCGGCAAAGTAAGATAAATAAGATTTAGTCTCGTTTTACTGACTTTTTTTTTAAGTGGTGGCCGTTAATTAGATACGATAGAGAAATACTGTTAGGAATTGGGATGAGAGCTAGATTGAAAAAGGTGACCAAAGAGAGAAAACTATCAACGACAGGACATTATTTTATTTAACACGAAATTCCAACAGCTACAATTATAAGAAATGTTCTGAAGACAGAGAGCCGAGGCGAGTAGATCTTTGGAAGAAAAGGGTTTGTTCTCTACGTCGCGGCTTGTCCGTCTTCATAAATTTCAGCCTAGATGTTCTTAGTTTTTAGTTTGCAGTCTGTGTTAATAACCTTCAAACGATCTTAACCGTCCATGAATATTCTCGTCCCTCTTTATCTTCTTCATAATTTGAGGTTTGTGTTTAAGTCTCCTTCTACTGAAATGAAAACACCTCTAGTTTCCTCGTTTGCATAACGACGAAAGAAGCGCTATGAATTTCTGTCTTGGCTAAATGTAATGCGAAGTTTCGCTTTGATTGTATTCCTTCTCACTGTGTTTGATTTATATTTATCCACAGACGTTTGTCCCATTTTGTTTTTCTCTAATGTACGAGTCTGAAGCAGAAGAAAAACATCTTGATTTCATCGCAGCGACCCAAATAATCGTCAGTATTTGAATTGTGATACTTCTTTCGTAAGATATTTTACATTTTTAGCGTTCCTTCCCTCGATGGAAATGTAGATCTTCTATAGGAAATTGGAAATATTCCCGATTAATGAGAGCCTCTGCAAAAAATTTATTGTTGCTAAATCCCATGAAAGGTGAAAGATCGGATCCTTAATGATCAAATTATTTCTTAAACTGTTCTATTTCGCTTTAGTTCGCCAATTGGACAGACGGCTTGGCAACGCTTCTTAACAAAGAGGTTAGTTACGCAGTTCTTCGATTGTAGTAAGCTTTCATTAGCTTGAACATCAATCCGTTGGGAGAGGCCTAGCGTTTTTTCCTTAGGGAGGCTTTTAGCCATATATGGTCGAAAGACAATACTTTTAGCAAAAGTGTGAAAAAAAATTGCGTGCGTTGCGAGTAGGTGAACTTTACAGTTCAGTCCTACCTAGGGTTCCACGAGAAGAAAAGGGAGCAGCGGTCATATGATAAAATGCATAATTAATGAGTTAGGTCAGGCTGGACAGGAAAATCCTTTTCTTGAGATCATGACGTGCCAAATATGTCCCGTCCGGCCTTCCTAGTGAGTCAATAAGTAAATATGATTGTAGTTATTGGAGAGTTGCCTGAAAGAAATTGAGAATACTTTTTAAGCTTCGACTGTTGTTTTGTTACTTGTGTATAGATGCCGTCAAAAGAGTCACATGAAGAGTTGGAGACCCTCCTAAATATGGAAATGAAATTGAGACTATTGGATTTGGAGAATATAACTATCCCCGAAACTCCGCCTCCCATACCCGCCGACCCCCCGAATTTTAACTTTGTTTACGACTTTAGTTAGCTTTGAAGCGATTTAAGGCGTTCTTCCTATTCAAGTCCGAAAATGAATTTCTGATCATTTCAAGTGGAACACTATACTGTTAGCTCAATGAGGACGAAAAAAAAAAGGGAACATTTAAGTGCCACTTCCCGTGTCTTCAGTAACTTCTGCTCCAAAGCTGATTGGTTTAGTATGCTTAAAACTATATGCCTGTCGGGCCAGTCAGCCGTGGAAACGTTGTAGTAATGATTCATCCATTCATAGAGCGTTCTGAAGTAAAGCGACGGGGTGGAAATAGCGAAATGAAACACAAAACAATTCCGAGAAACAATTTCTGTTTGTTGTTAGTTAGCTGGTGAGCTATGTGGCTTATTTATTCAGCAAGCGCATATTTCTCGAAATCTGCTTTGTTCTGTTTGTTCCACGTTTTGTTGTTTTCTTTGTTCATCAAACCTCTTCTATAGGACGTGTCGTTAAAATCCAATACGTTATTCATTCTAATCCACTACGGTTAGTTTTTCTAACGATCTACATTTTCGGAATTGATTAGAGAAACGCCCCCTCTTGACATTAAGTTTTAGTAATTATCAATGTGTAACGAGAGAAAGAAGTATAAGTCTGAGATGTGTTTTAATACGTAGGTATTTTGATAAATAGTTTGCTTGATATAATTTTCTTTTGGATCATGTATGGGCTATTTTCACAGGAGAAAATCGTCGCAAATGATTAGTATAGTAGTCTAGTTTTAATAGGTAGTTAGCGGGCTTAATAGATTTCGAAAATTAACTTCCTCGAGGAACACAGCCGATCTGTGATAAGAGAGAAACTTTACATCATTATTGTCAATTTTGTGCAACAATGTTGTCCTTTCAACCTTAATTATGTTACATTTTGTCGATAAAATAATCTAGTTTTTCACAAAAGTTTAAGGACTCTATTCACACAAGCTGCTTGAAAAAACTTGTTACGATAATGTCATGAGAAATTCAGACACACGAAATCCCATATATTGTTAAGTAGAGGAATTGTGGGAATTTGAAAACCAACGAACGTGTTTGCATAACGAAGGAGAGCAAGGAGGATTTACTCACGGGAAACTGGGTCTGAATCCGCCAATCTTTTTCATCCTTTATCATCTTTGTTCCATTTTAGTTCATTCTTTCCATCTTGTCTTTTTGCTCTAACATCAAAACACTATTTTAACGTGTCTTTGTTTGGCGTTGAAGGTAATGATACTTGTCGTGACAGACGAAGAAACTGTAGGGACCTGTATTTTAACAGCCCTGGCGATGTGAAAGTTTTCCTTACATTTTTTCCTGTAGAATCCGGATAATGTCACGGAGCTCTTAACTTAAACCCGCGATTGAACCCGAGTTATTTAAGTTGCGTGGCGAACATTAGTCGTGTAAACACGGGTTACTGGTTTTGTTCCTTTTTTTGGAACAAAAGAAAACAAAATTAGAACTAGATAGAACAACGGAACATAACATAAGACTCGTCAAGTTATTTTTATGGCATGTTTATAAGCTTTTTTTAATCATATCAATCTCTCAGTGCTGGTATTTGTTGCAGGGATTGAAATGTTTTTGAACAACCGCGTTTTCAAGAGACGATCATAAGCAAGAAATTTTAATCTTGCTGGTTGTTTTTGCTGTTTTATAATTTCTTTGTAACATATGAATCTGATTCCGAGGACCAAAAAAACCGAGCTATGGAAAACAAACGAAACCACGCATAATTACTCAGCTCGTTTGCGAATTCCAAGTATTTCGAGCCCACTATATCTAGGTTTAAATGCTAGAATTATCTTACAAGTTCTCTCAGTTCCCTAAAGAATATCATACTCATGAAATAAATTTGTGGCCATATTCTACTACAATACTTTTATTTTGTTATAACTGTAAGTAACCATATTTTTAAATATATAAAGAAAATTCTTTATAGTTATCTTAACTATTGTTAATTTGTATTATTCTTAATAAAACTCATGATAGCACTCACAGATGTACAGATTGCCCTCTTGATCTCGTTTGTAAAACTAAATGAAATTTATAAAGATGTTCTGAAAACTGACCCATGCACACAGCAAGTTTTATTGATCTAAAACAATTTTCGTTAATCCCCAAAATAAGAAAACGTTTTTCGAGAGAGAGAGAAAAGGGCAGGTACCTCTTACAACAAATTGAAGTCATTTAAGAGGTTACAATCATTAAACACATTAATGGTCACAGTTCTGGTTTATTAGTACCTTTCTAACAGATTCTTTTTACCAAGTTGATAAGTATGTAATTTCCTGTTTTCCCAGTTGGACCTGTGAATAACTTAATTCCTACTCTCAGCCATAATCAGCAATATTATTTGACAGGTATCCTAGGAAATCCTTCATTCTTGAGTAAATGTCAACTTTCTTGATACCAATTCAAGTACGCATGCAATGGAGGCGCATTCCTATGGCACCTCAGTTTAGTATTTTAACCCTCTTTGGTTGACCGATTGAGAGTACATCTGAAACCCACACCTCTTCATAAAATATTTTTTAACAGAAGCTAAACCACTAAGCCTCTCTGTTATGTAGTAGCAAACAGATAAAGGAGTCCCTTGGCAAAAGAGACCACTTCACTACCACCAAGTTTAGATTCACCATAAACACGATCCACAAATGTGATAGGGACCTAAAAGAAACAGGAAGACAAACTGCAACTAAGAAAGAATTGCCTTTGTATGATGATAAAGTTTGCATCTAAAAATACATGTATGAACATGTAACCAATTTTCCTAATCAGAGAGCACTGAGGCTCTGTTTGCTTTGCTGTGCCAACTGGCAATGAGAGCAATCAAGGAGTCTGGCACAAAATTTCTCATTGCTCTCATTTCTCGCAGTGTATGACAACATTTCTGAGAAGGGCTAACACTCGAAATGTCAGCTTTGAAACTCTTTACAGTGACCAATTTACATTATTAACTCAGTTTATATTTCCAACAACTCAGTTTATACCTTATTATCAACTCAGTTTAAATTTTTGTTAAATTTCTGAGAAACACACTGACATCCTTCTCACAAACTCAACTTTAAATGGGTGCTGTTTGTCTCACATGCAGCAACAGCTGAACCTATTCCTGTCAATTGCATAAATATTCTTAAAAGAAAGGGGATGGTGAGTCTGTCACACCAAGGTCATTGTAACATGGCTACACAGCAATCAAAGACACAGTAACCCAGCAGATACAGGAAATGACCATGCCATAACAATTTAAAGCTTGCCAAAAAGGAAAAAATAGAAAAAAAAAAAGGAAAGCATTTCTCCCATTCACTGAGTTCCCCTATTTCAAACAAAGCCTCATCATAGACAGACCAGATGAAAAGTTGGCAATTCAAGAGCTTTGCTCCTCTTTGACATTAATTAGAAAATGTACTGACACTGTAACTAACCTCTCCTATGGTGTAACCAAACTGCCTTGCACGCACAATCATTTCCATCTGAAAGATAAATCCTTTGGAAACACAGGCATCCACCAAGTTCTCAAGCACTTTCTTTTTGTATAATCTGTCAGAGAAGGGAAGAAATAGCATTCTTTCAAAAGATAACACTCTATGTTTTTGTCCAGATTATAAAAGAATCAGAATCATTGTGAGGTAGAAAAACTGTTACTGATCAATTTGATGACCCTAATAAAAAAATTTTAGCCAAACCCATCTCCAATCCAATTGTAAGACAATCCAGACAAAGACTCAGTCATTTAACAAAGAGCTGCAAAGGTTCGGTTCTCACTTAAGAAGAAGGGGGATGGGGGAGGGGAGGGAGGGAACAGAGCCTCTCACTAGACTTTTAAGGAGTCTCAGATGGCAAAGGAAGACAAGTTCAAAAATTGTTGATGTGAGGTGAAATATTTTTTACCTAAAACTTCCTGTCAGATCAGATGCACCAGGCCTGAGAAGCACCTGTGTCAGATAATTTGCCCCACGGCTGTAAAAGAACATACAGATAAACAAAACATGCTGAGTTATAGGGTCAGCATTCTTAGTTATGACTCAGAACCCAAAAGTTGCAACTGTATGCACAAGTACAACAAATTTGGCTTTGCTACTATGTATGATGTATGAAGTAACTACTCAACATTCTGCACCCACTTTAGAAAGGAGGAACAGTGATCACATGCAGAATATGTGTCAAAATGTGGAGGCATTCAAAGTCAACAGACTTGTTTATGCAACATTCCTCTCTTTTTTTTTTCTCAACACAGAATTAGAACTAGACAATATGAGCTACTGTTGAACTTGACTCATTACACTTTTGTATCAAAGACTTCTGTTCTCAGCTATAGTAAACCAGATATCCATAGGTAGTTGTTGAAAGTATTAAGAAAAAATTCAATTCACCTTATCAGTTTTCTTCTTAAATCCCAGCCAAACACTCCTCCATCTCCAATATACCTTGTTCCAGATACAATGTCATAGTCTCCTTCCTTCTGCTTTCTGTATCAAAAATTATTGAGAAAAAAACAGACATAAAAAAATATAGTTACAGATGGTTATTTGCATTGTATTCAGTGACTTAAAAAAAAACATAGATATGAGCTTTGAAACAAAAAACTTTGATCTAGGGATACAGTTAGTTATTGACATACCTGATGAATTCTGGAATAAATTTTGGCTGTTGACATAAGAAATTGATAAAATTGATAATTGAAAACAGGACTTCTAAATATGATGGTGGTTCATCGCAGATACAGATATGGATTCTTGTTCCTTTCCCAACTAAAACCATTTTCAGGATCAACTTGGCAGAAACCAAAATCAAGAAATTCCCCAACGGCATCTGCTTCAACCAAACTCAGGCAAAAAGCATTGTATCAATGACTACCCCTCTTTCTCTCTCTTCCTTTCTCCTTCCAGTTCTCATCTTGTAAAGCCAGACAATGTATTCCCGACCCACTTGCACCTACTGTATGCCCCTTCTAATAATTTTTTTTTTTTCAAGTAAGAGCCTGTTTAGGGCCATACAAGTCATGTGGTAAAATCACATATTTAGCTCTGAGTAATTTCCTCACAGTAATACAACTCTTGTTGAAAAACCAGTACGAAAAGATCCTCAAACTATAGTATCACTTCAACTTGTCTTGAGTTATGCAACTTAAAAGTGTAATGCCTATCATGGTACTTCTCATACAAACAATGTGATATTTTGCAAACAAATATAAGTAAATGTGGTATAAAAGAAAAAACACAATATTTCTCACATGATGAGATAAATCGGCATCCATGATAATTACAAAGTTCCCAGTTGCATGTTTCATTCCATGAATGTATGCAGTACCTGAAAGATCAGAAATCACTTCAAGAAAAAAAGAAAATTTGGATTTACAGTTAGGTTTCTGAATCCATGGAAACCTTCAGAGGGGAAGTAGGCAGATAACTTTGTTGGAAAATACAATTGGATGTTGTACCTCCAAGATGCACATCGGTATATATTATGCACTTAATGTATAGTCCATAAGGAAACAGTTAGTTTTGTTTTCCCAAGAGTTCTGATGTCTCCCAAGACAAAGTTGAGGGAAACATCAGAACTTGAGGGAAAACAAAACTAACTAGGTTCCTGAGGGACCATACATTAGGTGCTATGTTCTATATTTAGACTTTCCCTTCAACAATTAAATGGCAAAAACCTGCTGTTGTCAGTATTTGGCACATAGGCACCAACTGCACAATTGTATCCCATTTGAATTTGATCAGGGGTACATGACTAAGAATCAAACTCACAAGTTAAAGTCTAGGTATATAACAATATTAATTGTAGCTGCAAGGATACAGTATCAGAATTAATAATATTGCATTGGTCACAAGGATCACATGCATTAGAAAAATAATAGTAACCATAATAATTATAATAATAATGATAATAACAAGAACTTTTAGTTGTAAGTTACTTACCTAGGCCAAGCTTGCTCGGTCTTGGTTTTAACCGCTACAATAATTAGAAACATAGATCAAAGCTTATATTATTTCTTCCAAAACCTCGCACAACAAGTGTTTGAACATTTTCGACCAAAAAGGAAAACCACGCGAGCTTTCTAGCAAGACTTACAATTATATCAGTTCCATAAATATTTTCCAGTTGTTTGGCTGCCTCTTGGGTACCGTCTGGACTTCCATCGTCGATAATTATTATTTCATAATCATACCCACTTAAAAAACAATAAAAGAATTTTTGAAATCCGACGTGGATGAAGATGTTCATGAACGACAGTAACCAAAATTGTTTAAAAAAAACCAGGATTTACTCTTACCACTCTGAAAAAGCCTTCACAATCAACCACACGATCAAGGGTAGGTTTTCTCGCTCGTTATATGTGGGTAGCAAAATAGAGTATTTCTCTACGTTGTCCGCCATCTTGAATTTTACGTGGCAAGACGGACCGCTGTACTACATGGAACGCGTTACTAATATAGGCACGCATTGCCTGCAAACTCTCTTATCCAGCAAAACACAAGTGTAATTTTTCAAATATTTCGGTATGCCATAAAAAAGACTACATCCGTTTCAATGAAGAGAACTGAGGACCAAGTTCTTAAGGAGTAACCAGAAGCCTTAAGAATTCTCAAAACAAGAACTGTCAATAAATAGGCTGTGTCAACACTGTGTGGTTAGTGTCAGCATTTTGAGAGGGGGCGTTTTCAAGATGGCAATCATTTTTTCCTTTTCACAAGGGTGTGGTCTACAGCTTTTTCTAGCTCTGAGATCCTCTGAGATCAAGACTATCGCTACGTCAAAGTGCTAAAAAAGAACACAATATCAAGATCAGGAGCCGGAGGTGGAATATTTTCACTTTACGAGGGTTGCTGTTGAAAGAAAAATATGGATGATAAATAAAATCAGATTGAAAAGCTTTCAATTAAGGTCTTTGTCAGCCTCGTTATCAGAGGCTTGAGGGAGGAGCCTGGTAATGAGTTCATGTTGACGTGACAGACCGTTAAGGTCGTGCCCGTTCCATCGATCAAACGTCAACACCTGCTGCATTCTCGAGCGTAATAGGGACCTTAAGCAAATCACGACGGCGACGGCATCGAGGACATGGAAAAATAAAAGATCTAATTGGCAGAATAGCTCAGCACGTGCGTTTAAAACTTTGTACATTTCTTAGCCGTCCTATGCAAAGCAACAACGTGAAATCACCACAATTTGCGTCGTCTGCGAACCGAAACCGCGACTGCAAATTATTTGAATTTCCATTTGGAACTCAACGCTTATACGTTATGCTGAAGTTGAGGTGTGGCGCCGAATGAGACAGTAAACAAATGCAGCCATTTTTGAAATTCTAATTCAAGGCAGAAATTCATTTTTTAATCGAAGTCTTCCTTGGCGTTGCCGTCCTGGCTGCTTAAGGTCCCTAATATTAGCCACGACGACATACTAACTTTTAGATTGTGGTCTCATCAGACATTTCGGAAAAATAATTTTGAGAGTGTGGCCAAACTAGACGTTTCGATCGTACCAATCCAAATATCAAGAATTCAAGGGAGGCAATTTCTCTTGGTGGACTTTGAACTCAAATTGACGCAGAATTTACCTCATTCTCAAACATGATATCTCGCAGGACGACGTGATAATTTTTGAATCGCGGTCTGACTAAAGCCTTTTGATCGGATAAGCGAACTATAGCTAATGTAGCGTTTTCTTTTTTTCCGACAAAAATTTGAGCCGGTTTAACTAAGTCGTCATTTCATTCTCAAGCATAATAGTTAGCAGGACGAAATGTTTAGTTTTAGATTGCGTTCTCAATGACCTTTTTGATCGAAGAAATCAAATTAGCAAGATATCAGGAAAAGGCTTTTTTTTCCTTGGCCATACGCACGTGATCGAGTGGACTCAAGACTCTCACTTAATTAGCCGCAAAATAAGAGGAAGAAAGCGGTAGACATTACAAACTGCGTCAAAAATTAAGGCTTATTCTAGTAATGGCGCTAAACTAATACAGCATGCAGATAAGGCGTAGAATTTTTCGAAATTCTTTTTATGTCTGACAGACTTAAAAAATGTAAATCATTTACGCCTACACTGCAGCTGAAAGTAATCAGGATGTTTCACGATTACCGAGTCACTGAAAAAAAGACCTTAAAAATTATTGCTTTTTAACCTATCCAAAAACTAAGAATCAGAAATTAATGCTTCAGAGTTAAGAAGCCAATTGTAAAAGCTAAAGAGTTTCAAGATGCTTAAGAAATTGTCAAGCGAATGGTAGCTTATGTTGACTGTAGTAAATGAGCTAGTGCAAAGTTCAGCTTGAATAATATTAGTGATTAGAGGAATCTACTAAGTATTCAATACGGCACTCAGTCTATACTAATTAGAGAAAAAAAATAAACATTGTAAACGAAACTTTAAGGTTCTATATAATAAATTAGATGTTTGAATTCCTCGCAGCATGCGTTGCTAACGATTTTGTTGTCGCTCGATGAGAATCATGAAAACAGGCCATCTTCCTAAATCCATGTTTAATTCGTGCTACAGTCGGCTAAATGCCATTTTTAACCATCAACAAATTCCTCAATTCAAATCATATTTAATATCTAAGGTTAACGCAACATTTCTTCACCATCTAGGGTCTATGTCAGTCTATTTTGTAAACAAAAAGTTTAAGAATTCTATGCTGTGACATCCATATTCTTAACAATCTTGCCGGCATAAAATCAAGAAACAATATCTCCGCGGATATATTGAACTCCAAGAAAGTGTATAGTTTAACCAAACCAGACCTCTTTAGCAGAATGACGCCTGGTACAACTTTTAAGGAAATTAGGAAACTTTTTCCTCTGCAAATGTCAGAATTTCTTCTTGTGTGTCAAAAACTTCGCTGGTTTCCCCCTCTGTATGTAAAAATGCGTCATGTGTCTCCTCGAATGAACCAAATTCATCTTTTGTACTGCGCTGAAGAAATCCGCACAATGAAGCTTTTCTTGCAGAATTTTTCCGGTAGGGTTGGTTTAGTTGTTGCGGAGAAGCTTGCAACACGAGTTCAAAATATTTCCCTTCAACGGCTCCGTCTGTTAAAATTCCTTTAATGATAGTTCGTCCTTCTCTCGTCGTGACATGTCCATGAAAGGGCTCCGTAACTCTGTTGCCCATATGTTGCACAATTTTGCACCTGTTAGACCCAAAGAAGGGAATTTTGCCCTGTTTTCTTGTATCCACAATCCAGTACCTTGTTGCAGAAGACGGTTGAGATTCGCATGGAACCAGCAGAATTTTTAGAGGGGCAGAGCTCTGCAAGTCCAGACATGCTCCCATTGTTTCATTCAAATGGTTAGAGTGCTTTGTTTTTCTTTGCTTTCTTTTCCGGCGCTTTTGACAACTGGTATCTGTGAGCGCGCGGAATAAACGTTTCATAATGTCACTTGAATCCCGACAAGTTGTTCACACGGTAAGTGTGTATTACCAGAATCTGTTCCGGTACATTGTGGCGCTAGCGTGGGTTCTCTGTTTATCAGATCAGATGAAGAACTCAATTAGAAATTTTTAGTTTAAAGATGTTTTCGAACCTCGATATTGAATAATCGTAGCTTAATTATAGTCAGTTCTGCAGGCAGAATATTAGCTTTTGCCAAGAGGTACGAAACCAAAGAGCGCCAGATTAAATTGGCCGTTTAATCCTCTTGACAGGAATCGATTTTTGCAGGTCCGAAGTGATATTGGTTTTAATGCACCGAAAACAGTTAATGTTTAAGAATAAAAACATTTGCATTTTGACAAAAAAAAATGTCAGCATGGAGCGACGCAAACATATGCGTGGCTCGTGGGGCTCGCTTAGTTTCTAAAGATATTTTAAACGCGTCTCCCTGAGGCGGAAAACAGAGAACAAATCAATGAATCGCTGATTTGAACCTTCTGTGAAACCCTGCGATGTCCTCAGTGAATTTTTCATAACCGATGTGAAACAGGCGGGCTGTGGCATTAGAAGTGTTTACATCCAATCCGTTCGTATCACGTCAATATCAATTCTGGCGGCTCCATTTCGGTGGAAAAATCTAAGAAGCTTACGGTTCGATGTCGCTGACAAAGCTTCCTTCTGACAGATTCATATTGAATCTCAAGTGAATAAACAGCGGCGATAAATATATCGAGATTTTATTCCGAAAAACACCTCACCTGGGCTCTTCTGTATCAGTCTCCCTTCACGAAATTTGCCACTGGGATGAAAAATTAAATTGATTTCTCCCCTATGTTTCCTCTCGACGTGAAAAATTTGGCAGACGCGAAGACAAAGCTTCGTGAATTGAAACTTCTTCACACCACAAACTAAGCTGAAACATCTGTCATCCTATTTTGCCACTCGCTGCACACTTCTGATGCAAATGAAGTTTTAAAAGACTGTGGACCGGAACTTTAGTGATGTTCTGAAAACAATTGTCCAGTCATTTTTCAAGTATAATCAGCCATACAAGTGGCACGTGTCAGCGAAATTTCATGATCGCTGTTATCCACATGGAGTAAATGACAACGATCTGGCAGCAATTAAAAGGGAAACTTTATCCTTTCCGGCAACCATACAATTTGGTGTTTTAAAATATACTTCAAACAGCTTTCGCTTTGACAGTTTTATCAAAGAAAAGCGATAAATGAAAGTAAATAGTTTCTGCGGCAAGTGCAAAACTATTAGTGCTTCAAATTTGTGCTCAAAAATAAAGGAAAACGAAGATTAAAGTTTAATTTTTGGCAGATGAAGGTTTTTTTTTTCTTTTTCGGAGATCACAGTCGAATTCTTAGAGTGAAATAAAATTCTGCAAGGTTTCTTGCTGCCATTTTTCTTTTTTTCATACTGGGCAATAATCTTTTTTTAACAAGGAACGAAACATTTGCAAAATAACCGCAAAAATTGAGATCCAGCTTTTATGACGTAATTAACACATGAACTGACTAAGTTGTTTTCTTGTAACGAGGATGGAAAAGTAAGTATTGCACTTGGAAAGGAATATCTCGGAGAAAAATTGGAGTGGAAAATTTACCTTTAATAATACTGAAATCCTAGTTTTAGTTTGCGCCGGCATTCATTAAGAAATTTCTACTTATTCTATTTAGCTTTTGAAGTAATAAAAATTGTTTTTTTTAGGTGAAATATTAGTCTCATCTCTTTCAGTTAAGTGGAAGTCACGCAAAGGTGTTAAAGCTACTAAAGAAAAGTTTTTTCTCTCTAATTCTCGTATCATTCGTTCGAATTACGCCTAATTATTCACAGTTTTACCATTTGGCAAACAGGAGAGGGAGCAGACTGCTACGGAGAATGTTTCTTGGATTAGCAAATAACATTTTAAATAGGTGCGGTGTGGTTGGGGCTTTACTACTGCCCTTTAGCAACACTTGTCGTAGACAGAACGCGCGAGCTATAAAGTCGAAGAAGAAACACAATAATTTAGATGCTTACAATTTCAAAATGCCTCAAGGGGATCAGCTGTAAATGACGCAAAACGAAGCTAAGTCACTTACAATCCGACCCTTTTTTTTCCAAAAAATCTTTCCTTAATTAGTACCACACAGAGCATCCCATATGATTTATTTTCATGGTCCTTTTCCCGTGAAAATATTTCATGAAAATTCATGGAAAATGAGGTTTCAACGTGTCAAGTGAGCGTGTAACCGCGATAAATTAGTCTTCTCTATCGTCGGTTGCTTAATCTTATCAGGACCAGGAAGGAAAAAAAAAAGACTTATCTCTAAAATAAATGTCAGAATCTTCAAATAGACGAACGGATATAGAAAATTATTTATGTTCATACATCGAAGGCAGTCTTCCCAAAAGGAACTTTCATGTTTCATATTTAAGTATAAGTAGAATGATTTTATATATGAGCAAGATAACTGAAACCTTCGTAAGATTTAACGAAAAGGGGAAACACAAAGCTTCGTACGTGCGTTGCTATTAACTTTCAACAGCACACATGATTGGAACGTGCAACACACTCTTCCGGCCTGGTAAACATTACATCGCTTCGGAAACCTCAAACACGGGGACCCATATTTTATATAAAAAGTTAAAAAGCTTCTGATCTACCAAAACAAGTCTTCCTCTTTTGAAGCATATGAGCTCTGTAAGCTTATCGTCCGCCAAACCAGTCAAATCCGGCTGAGGCAGCCGGTTGAAACATTATTGAGATTTAATTTGTAACCATTTGTCGAGAAAAACGAAACTGTGAGAATTAGGAGGCTGTGATTAGGAGTTCGGATCTGAACGTATACTCTTCAAAACAAAATCTCATCCCCTTTGTTTTGTTGTCTAATGTTACAGATCGATTTTCCTGAGTGAAACCAAAATCCTCCTCTACATTATCGGTTTATCTCGATAGGTTTCTTTGGTGCTCTTGCATGAAATCTCTATTGTAACTCAGAAGTTGATAAGTGTTAATAACAGCTAGATACGGAAATGCTGAACGATCCGAGACATAGCAAAAGGTTTTATACAAATTATCGAGTCTTACCGGACGCATTGTCTCCTGTTGGATAAATATTCACCATGTTACTTCAAGAAAGTGGCTGTTTCTTGCGTGTGAGCTTATTTCAAAAGCATACAAAAAAACCTGTCAGTTTTTCTTAAATTTGATTGGCCCCCTCGTAATTTGTCAAGGCCTCGTCTTAATTCCGCAGAAATCCTCTTCATTTAGTTCATGTGATGCGTTGAACCTTCCTTTCATAGAAATTTAAATATAGAGAATGAGTCATTATGCAGATCACGGTAGATGTAAATACGACAGAAAAGAAACTTAATTCTTTTCGGAACAGGTGTGTGCGGAATGATTTCCCAAGCTGTCTTATGGGGAAATCAGGAAGACATCACAGAACCAAGCATTTAAGGAAAAAGTTACTCTTTAAAGGCCAATTTTTTCGCGGTTTAATTTCACCCAAAAAGTTTTTGATCGTTCAAAGCCTATTATAGATCTCAAGAACTATGAATGTTTAGGTACCGGAAAGTTGTTGAATATCACCGCTCTTGTCATTTCTGCCAGCTTTGCGGTTTACTATTACTATTGACTGAGTCCAGAGCCGATCATCCGAAAGTTTCAGATGACATAATTGCACTCGGTTATCAACTATTGTCTGTGATCTTAAGCCGGAAAAAAATAAAAACTTATATATTATGTAACACGGATGTGGTGTCACTTTACGAAAGCTCAGCTCTGCATTTTGTTTCAACTTATTCGTAGCGTCCGTCACCAACACTCTCGATCCAGCGCAACATCTAAACATCAATTCTCCTGTCCCTGTCACTCGTTTAGCGCCACGTTAGTTCTGAGTCAAGTAACATTCACCTGTTGATATCTTTCTTCATTTTCACCTCTTGACAATGTATTAATATTGTAAGGAGAATTTACATATTGGTAGCTCTTAGGCAGTGACCAGTGAAAGGATTAAAGGAACAACATCACTGTTCGAGCACCTCGAAAAAGTCAGCCTAAATTTTTATAGCCAATTGTCATTTGATTTCTACTCTTGTTAATCTACTTCTTTCTTAGCTACTATCTTTTTTTTTGGTTTATTCTTCAAATTTCTGTGTTCTCTCATCTTATCAAACCGATATTTTGTGCTTTCCCTCTCGTGTAAAGCAAATTTTCACGTTACAGAAAAGAACTCAATAAATCGCTAAGAAGAGTTCTTTGACCTCTTCACTATTATGTGTTAGACAAATAAAATATCTTTCTTCGTCCTCTAAGTCCTGGAAAAGCCCGTTGATTAAGGAATACGTCAGGGTGATTGATGTATTTTTCTCGCGGAGACAAATTATTAATGCCATAGAAAGGTTACTGCAGTGGTCGTGTGAAAAACGAACTGTTAGTGAAAGGTGAAATGTGCAGAGCGAAGGTTGTTGTTTTTGATGCGAACTGACTATAAATATACATTGTCCTTGATCTATAAGAAAGAATAAACTCACTTCGTAGAGATCCATTACTTTCAAGCAGTTAATTTCGTTGGAGAAAGTTCCTAACTCTCCATGCTCTGCGATATGTCTGATTTTTCTTTATGTTCCTTCTTAATTTCAATCAACCCTTCCAAACACTTCACTCACTCTTATATCCGCGTGCAAACCTCGATCGACCTTATTGTTGATATTAATCTCGGCTTAAACAAACAAAGAGGATTGTAAGACGTTCTGTTGTAATCTAAAACCATATCGCGCTTGGTAACGTTTTTAACGCGCTTTAGCTTGTCGTAAATTGAGTTGTTATTGTGTATACATTGATTTCAACCGTTAGTGCTAGCACGCAAACTGCTCTCTGAAAGGAGGGGGGCAGTGAATATTACGAGCTACATCTGAATACCCTGCATGACGAGGCACAATTTTCTGGGTAGATGTCATTGAAATCTGTGAGGGTTTTGCGGGTGGAGGTGTAGTGAAGGAAAACTGTAATTGACTCTGGAGTGTTCGTATTGTTTGGAAACAAGCGGCTACCTTGGTGATTTTTACATACCTTAAGACGACGAAGAATAGTTAATCTGAAAAATAGCGTGACCTCAACGGGCAATATATTTTTTTAAGCTTATAAACACATATTTAACGCCTTTTGTTCCATTTCTACCGACGGTTGGTCTTGAGCAAAAGATCAGGGTTCTGTTACACTTAACTCATTTGTTGCTCCGATACAAATCTCTCTACCGTCTATTTACTAATAACAGCAATTAATACGGTGACCTCAGTTAAGTAATATATTTTTAAGCTCGTAAACGTGATCAACTCGTATTTGACGCCCTTTGTTCGAAGTCCTCAAACAGAGGGTTGCACTACAACTGAGGTCTTCGTCGCTGTGATACAAATCCGTCTCCGTTGTCTGTTTATTAACATCTAAGATATCGTGTTCGAAGAAAGGAAAGAAAAAAAAAGATCGTTCAAAGCATGATCGCATTAAATTTGTATTAATCCGCTCATAGGAGGAAATATTCTATTCTATGTTTGTTTTATTTTGAGCCCAGACGTAAATGCTCGTACGATAAACTTCATTCTTTTGTTTGAGTCCCACGCAAACGAGACCGGTTAGGTAACAAACACTTTGCATACCTTTGCCTTTAAAACGAAAGGATCTGATATGATACCAAATCGAAGTTTTCATGGACCACCATGACAGACCTCCAAAGACACTGTCTAACGGTCGTTACCCACGCAGGAATCATGCGATGAAAGAGAACTGAAGGTTGTAATTTTAGACTCGATAAACGAAAATAGATATATTTCTTGTGCCGATAGCGAAGTGAACACTCATAAAGTTCTCGTAAATGAAGCCTCAGAATAATTCCGTGGTAGGGTTTTTGACAACGTTGACCGCCAGACTTTGTAGACGACCCGAAACTTTTTCCAAAAATCAGCTCTTTCAACATTACTATTGCTTTTTGTAGTTATTTTTTCACGACATTTAAGAAGCCAGGATTTTAATGAAATCTACTCTTTCTTAGACACAAAAACTCTGATTCTTCAGCGTTATTGATAAAATGTTTCTCCGCATTCCTTTCGTGTAAACCAGCTATGATATACTCCCACTTTGCACTCCTAAACTGAATTTCTGGCCCACACATCGTGTCGTCTTCATGCGAGCCGTCGGAACTTAAGCGAGAACTATGCAGTTAATATTTAAGACTAGTAGACTATTTATACCCTACTCTCTCAAGAGGAATTTTCATATACCAACCTTTCAATCTAAGCAAAGGAACTGTCTTCTTAGAAACTGGAAAATAGATAAGAAAAATAGAAAAATTTTGCAAACCATCCACACTAGCTTCCGGCCGCCTCGCCTTTACTCGGTCAGAATAAAGTACCTAAAAATTGTCTTCACCTCAGCCTTGAGCCATAAATCTGATAAATTTGATCCCAACATGTCAATCTAATTTGAGCTTATTCATGGGATAGTCACACTATGTACGGCGACCTTTGCTGTGCATATTTATAGACCGGAAATTCCGGTTAGAAAATTTAATTCTTCAGTCACTTATAATTTGGATCGTTTCGTGGATTGATGGGCTTTTCGACGTATTAGAGTGGAAAGTGTGATTCTCTCTTAAGTATGGATGATAATTTTTTGCAATTCTTTTAGTCCTCTGTGTTAATTTAGGTTGAATTGAATGTTTTCCTCTTTCCTTACCAGTTATCAGTCATCTCTAAAATTTTATACCCAATGGTTCGTTTGACTACCCTTCGACTTCGGACTTTTTTGTTTTACTACCAGCTCATAATATAGTAAAAGAGAAAGTTAATAAGCTTAATATTGATTAATGTGAAAAAAAAGGCCATTTTAATTCTTAAATAACTCTTAAATGTCTATTTTGACCGTCAATAGTAGTATGACCCAGCTCATCCATTCCTCTACATTTGCGCCGCCAATTATACCATTCAGCGGTTAACTGAGAGTATACCCTTAACGCTTTGCGCGCCTCATTACATACGGGACCTTGACAAAGATTTGTTCTTTCTCGCGGATATTCCAAGATGGTAAGTCCACGTGTGATACACTTAGAAGTATTCGTCAAAATAAGTAAACTTTGGAGTGTCGCATTGTGCTCATTTTTTGTGAAAAAATCCTTCAGGTGTACAAGCGTTTGGTGGAGATTGGCCGTGTAGCCCTTATTAACTCTGGGCCCGATGAAGGAAAACTTTGTGTCATAGTTGATGTGGTGGATCAGAATCGAGTAAGTGTTGTTACAGATTATATCTCCATTTTATATGAACGATCTGAAGTTAATATCATGTCAATAATTCGTTAGAAATGCTTTTATCAATATTATAGACTAATCAAACATCATTTAGGAAGTTGCAAGTGGGGTTTGATTCCGTTTGTGTATTTGAAGAAGTCGATTTCAAAATTGATCATGAGTTTCGCTCATTCCTAAAGAAATCAGCATGTTTTTTTCTTTTATATGTACTTTGCTTGACTAATGGTTCGATTCAGTTGATTTCTGTGTCTTGAATCTAAACGAGTACCCTTCGTCTGGGTAGGATGGTTTATAACAAGCTTATTTTTATACAATAACAATGATCTCAATGTTGTATGCAGTCAGCTGTACCTTCTTCGTGCTCCTGGCATTCTTTTCTTGGAGCACTGAAGTGAAATTTATTTTGTTAATTTTGTTTTTCTTTCCTTGAAAGCCTGGTATTATGTTTTGAATTAGTTTCCATCAAGGCAGCCGTCTTGGTGTACTATGTACCTGGTTGCCAAGCAATTGTACAAAGTCATCTGATTTGTCAAATTGTCTCCTTGTAACTTATTACCTTAATTATTTTGTCACTCCTTTTATTTCAGTGTCAGTTGTTTCTTTTTTGTGTTTTTCAGCAAAATCTTTAGAAAAACTCCGTTATTATTTTAAATCTTATAATGTGTTACACCAACATAACAGCCCCTAGTTGTTTTCATTCTATTTTCTCTCCTCATCTGTGTCCTCTTCACTGATTGATAGTATAAGACAAGTTACAAACAGATCTCCCACTGAATATCACTTGTTAGGAGGGAACTCAACTCATTAAGTTAAAAAGGAAAAACTCACCTGCAGTGACAGATGTTCATGTACACACAAATGGGGACTTAACACTTTAACTTCCAGAAGTGATTAACATGTTACTTTTACCTATAATATCCATACATTATTCAGCAAACAGGTAACAAGAATACTTAAACTCATCAGCTACAAGATATTACCTTGATTGAAAAGCAAATTCTCATAACTGATTTACAAGGAAATGTATAGCAGCTAGAGGGAAGAACTGACAATCAGATCTTGGGAGTTAAGGGTGATAGTGCTCTTGAACTCCCATGATTGACCAAGACAGAACTTCTCCTTACAATATCAATGTGATATTAATTAGACAAGTAATGTGAATGATGAAAATTAGGGGATTATTAGTTGACCCAATACCAAATTCTCCAAACTAACATATTAGGAATTGTATGGAAGTCAGTAAAGGGAATTAGATCTTTGGAGCGGAAGGCAATTTATATGTAAGCTATCCACTTCTAATGTATCATAATACAAATTTTTACTAATATCTGTAATTGACTTGCAAAAAATTACTGCAAGACTTGAGAAAGCAAGAGAGGTTTTTTCCTTATAAATACTACATTAAGTAAAATTGCCTTGGCCTTGGAAAATAAAATTTAATCAGCAGAATTTTTACTTAAATCTTTTTCAACAGGCTCTGATTGATGGGCCCTGTACCAATGTGTGCCGCCAAGCCCTTAACTTCAAGCACCTCTCCCTCACTGACTTCAAGGTCAAAGTTGGACCCTCTGCTAAGAGTGGACCAGTGAAGAACGCCTTTGAGAAGGGAGAGATCCTTGAAAAGTGGGAAAAGACAGCCTGGGCCAAGAAACTGGCCACAAAGAAGAAGCGAGCAACTCTCACTGACTTCGATCGCTTTAAGCTCAAATTGGCCAAGCAGAGGGTAAGCCACTATCAAAGTATTAAATTATATTCCTTGCTTTCTTTTCTTTAAAATAAAATCCCACCTTAAATTGAAGAAAGAAGCAAAGGTACAATTAAGCACCACACCCAATCAGAAGAGTGCAGTGTCTGTTTGCGGATTAACAAAGAGATTCAATGTTGCCATGCATCTGTTCAGTAATAGATCACAGATGATGTCAAATTGTGGTAAGAACAAAAAAAGTGGCACACAAGGGGAAGCCATGGGGTCTTCTGTGATCTGTTACTGAGTGGCACCACCACGACATAAAATCTTTATCTCTTAAGTAAAAACAAAGCAAAATGTTGTTAATGGTGACATCATGAAAATGTCTGTCTGCTAATAGGTCTTAGATAATAGCAAAACCTAAATGCAAGTATAATGCAACTCATTTTATTATTTAAATATATGATAAGTACATCTTGGATACAATGCACATCTGTTTGTTTCATGCAATATTTGCAATGATATAGTGTAACTGTTGGTGGAGACTTCTGGAAATATGGTTTTGAATTAAATGCTATTCTCAATACACACCATATTCTCCTTGGAATTTTACCACTGAACCTGTCTCTGATATACCACAGAATCCTGGGTCCTAGGTCATGTCAAAATGTATCAAATTTTGGCCTTTGTGAAAATTACCTTTAAAACTGTTACATGTTGATGGTCATAGCATCATTTTATGTTTTATTTATTTTGTGTCAGAGCTAAAATTTACTGTAATTTAACAACCAAATTATGCAACACCTTCAACTAATTTTTCTTTCTCAGAGGGTTGATTTGATGATATTTTTTGGTTTGAGGTTAACTCCTCATCAGTGGCATGGGTTTTTCTTTGCACCACAGTTGTGACAAATTTCCTTATGAACATTTGTTTATCCATAAGAGAGAACCATTTTTTCTAGATTGTTTGGTTATTGTTAATTTTGATTCATAAGTGGCCAAATTTATGGCTGATTTTATATGCTATGTGAAACTTTTCAACCTTAGATTTGGACACAGCTGTTAAGATAACTGAAAATAGCCAAGTTATATGTTACCATCAGTGGTATAAAAATTTCCAACCTCAGAAATATTTTTGCATAATTCAATGTAATTGGGATAGTTTTGTGAGGCTTGTTAGTGTGAAGTATTTTGGTTTTATCAACTGAGTTGATATAGTAAGTTGGCTACTATAAAGAGTTTCAAAGCTTATGTTATGAGTGTTAGTCCTTTGTCATTCGCCTGGACAGCTTACATGATCAACTCATCTTGTTAAACTCCCCTGCTGATGCAGTACCACAGTTTCTTTAGAAACTTACCCCCTTTATCCATTTATCAGTGCAAGGGCTCAGAACTATTTTGAATTGACATTGCTAACCTTTCTCAGAATAAGACATAAATAAAGTGTGACCGATCGTGTTGGGCTTTTTGAGTGTGTTGTACCTGCACACAGTGTACCTGTACAAAATGTATTCCTCAGTGCTCAAGTGCGTAGTTAAAATTTCCACTAAAAGGAGGGGTGCTTATGAAGAAATAATCCACCTGTACTGCTTCCACTGTAGTTGAAGCTTATGTTTAAAACGAAGTAGCAATAGTAACAGGTTTTCGTTGTGTCCCTACTATCTTAGATAGTCAGAGAGTGGAGGGGGGGGGGGGAGGGTGGGTGGGCACTTATTGAAAAGGGGTGCTTGTTTAATATTATGTCCAATTTGGTGGGAAGTTTATTCAGGGAGGGGTGCATATTAGAGCGTGGATGCTCATTCAAGGAAACGCTGTGATGGTAATGCGGATGTAGTGTCTAATGAAAGCTTTTGTTTTGCTTCACAGAAAAACAGAGTTCTTAAAGCTGAACTGAAGAAGTTGCGCAAAGAGGCCAAAGTGTAATCTTGCTTTTAAGATGAAATAAAAATATTTGTTTGAGAGGATTGGTGCTTTCAAAGTTATTTCTTTAATGAATGCGAAGTACATGTCACTGATGTTCTTACCATATTTTTACAACTTCTGTGATCTATTACTGACCTGACCAACAGCAACATGGAATCTATATGTTTCATATAATGTAAAAGAAGTAAAAACTTGTTGATGGTGATATCATCTGTCTTCCAACAGATCATAAGAAAGAACAAAACCTGAATGCTCGTATTATTCAGCTTACTGTAGAATTTTGTTTTTAACATATTTTGCTGTCATCTGTGAACAAGACAAATCTAAAGAAATTACAATCTACTTATTGAACTGACTTCCATTTACACCGATTCATTGTCTGCCCTACTCTTGGACAGGTGGTGGTGTCAGAGTTGACAGCGGTTTACATTCACCTTTGGGAAATTCTAGATCTTTTTCTCCATCTCTAAAAAGTAGAGAGACATACAAGAATATTAACAACAAAGAACTAACATCTACAACTCGCCCTCGGTGTTGGAGAAACCGGTTTTCCTTGGTCGTAAATGACTGTGTTAAAATTTTCCCTAAACAATTTTGTACTTAGCTCGTGACAGCTCGGGGTTACTTTAGAAAAGCTCTTGTTTAAAAATCCTTGTAATAACGAGAGACATTTAGGTCGAATACCGCTACTCTCTCAAGTCGTACCTAGGAGATAATACACGGCTCATTTCCATAACAACGGCTAATCGTCGAGCCAGGTACGAAGGACTAACTATTCCAAAACAAATAACTGACCCATCCCTTTTTTAATGTGCTAAGTGGTGTATTACCTGGCTACAAGCCTGATTACCAGTTCCACCCTCCGTGAATGATCCACTCTTATTGGTTCAGCCTTGGTAAACTGTTGTGTACTGTGGCCTTGTAATGTTGTTCCACCTGATCTCCATGCTGGATCCGGTTCAACGACATTGGCACAACTGTGAACTTTACATGTAATAGGAAAAGGGCATTGACGGCAGATATACAAATATTCCAGGACATATTTACGGTTTTATTATTATTGCATTTATGTGGCAAGGTAGTCCTGGGGTAGATCTAAGCGTTCTGACTAGTGTTCTTATTTGATTTGGATTTTGCCCTGCGGTCCGTTCCCACCAAAGAAACGGTCATAAGCTGTGCGTTTTTATGACTGAAAGCTAGTAAAAATAAAATAAACAAGCTCGGTCTGAGTGCCATAAGATAAACTGCCTACTAACTTCGCTTGCTCTTGTCGTAAGGGAAATATTGGCCTTCGGTTGTTAAAATACAGACCTCCCTGCGCTCAGTCCATACTGCCAACCCACACCGAAGACTCCGGGCCAATAATCCCAAGTACGACCTTACACTTGGTTATGTGCCGACCAACTCTAAATTTCAATATCTTTACCCGGAAAACCACGGGCATTTGACTGTTTTCTTTGCCCAGAGGTTGGGGTATTTGAACCTTTCCCAGCTAGGGTGGAGAAGGAAGTGTCAAGTCTTTCCAAAGGAATACAAGCGTTTTATCTTTTAATAGGTAAAGTTCACTTTCACTAGCGAACAGCTCAGAAGAAAAGGTCTACAAGGTCTACAAGTTTTAAAGCTTGGTCAATGAGTAGAAAGTCACGACCCTGATTTTGTCTTTTGCATAAAAATTGACCATTAAATCTGGTCCGTGGGTGGGCCAATTGGGTTCCCTGAGAGGAGGTTTTGAAGCTTAGAATTGATCGACGCATTATTGGATGATATAATTCAGAATCATAGCCGGGAAATATCGCGCACAGTGATCATCGAGGTGGGAAATTCGAATGCAAAATAATCGAGACAAACAGTCTACTTAAATTCAGTAAACTGAAGAATGACTTATTCACGCATATTTTAAACTGGAAAGTTTCCAACATGGGATGGTACGCGTAGTAATCGCGTTCGACTCTCTCATTCCTCCTCATCCTCTGAGGCCTTATTTCTCAGTCATAAATGAATTCTTTCTGTAGACATAGCAGTGAAATAGAAAAGGGGAGATCTATTTATTTTGATTTATCTGCTTCTATAAGGGATACATTTCGGTGACAGGAAATAATGTTCTTGCTTTTTACACAGGGAAGTTCAGTAAGTAAAGAGGTTTTGGTTATTTGTACCGTATGACGTTAGAGAATGAGAGGGGAAATTGAAAAGTTGAAATACTTGATGGAAGTCATCGATTATCTGATTATCAAGCGATTATCTGGCATTCGAAAGCTATAGTATCCCATATATATTAGAGAAAGAAATATCGAGAACCTAAACGTATCTTTGAGATACGAATCACATGCACCTAGAATCTCGCATCCCTGCCTAAATTCTTCAAGTCAAACAGAAAGCAAATTCATATACTGTATGTATCTGACCGAGAATGGCTGATCCAAAACTCCTCCACATGATCCTCATCACAATGACAAATACGAAAAAAAAAGGTTCTGAGGAACACCCTTCATTTTAGCTTTTTCAGCCCCTGCTTTTTGGGAGGAGCCTGACGAGTCTCTCAAACTAGACAAATTGCTTCGCCATGCAAGCAAGAAAATTACTCACAAATTCCAGAGAAACCACAGGATTGATCCTCTTCTGTAAATTACAAGAGCAATAGAGAGGTACTTAAAATTTAGTAGAAATTACTTATTTGGAACTCAACTGCGTGTCTCTTTAGCTGGACAGTTGACAAGTAGGCAAGCTATTTTTTAAGATTATCCTACTTAAACATGTAAGAGGCTGTGGTGCGGTGTAAAAGTGAAGTGAGCACTCGGGGAACAAGTGTAATTTTCTATTAATAACCGTCTACGCAACAAAGGCGAGAGCTCTCATTGTTAAAAAAAAATGAGAAGAAGAAAAGCTGATCGAGTAGATTAATGAATTTCACTACTAGTTCAGTACTATATTCATATCGGCGAGGATCGCTTCTATTTTCGTTTCTTCAACCCCAGTGCACATATATGATTTTCACATATTTACAGTCAAAATCTTCCTTGTAACTAGAATTTGATGCATGGAAAACTTTAGCATTCCTCTAATTTAATTCATTCGTTGCAAAAATGTACATATACATAAATCAAAGTGCTCTGTGGGCAAACTCGTGAATTGACAGATGACTTACATGATTTTTTGGATCATGTTTAATGTTATCTGGTTTAGGGAATTTTGTGGTTGATTGTCATATTTAGAGTACGAGTAGTAGTTCAGTGTTCGCTAATGTAGCAAAGAAACAAAGTAACGTTGGGATAAGAAGGCATTACAACTGAAATGATCATGCTGTTACATTTGACAAGGGTGGATGATGTCATGTGTTTTAAACATACATCATTTTTGTTTATGGTTCAAAAGAAAATGTTGGAAGTAAATGTGGGTGAAAAGTGAAATTTACTGTCTATCATTGTAAATATTGGAAAATCAAGGCCTTATTGTCTTACTGAAAACATTAATGAAAATGAAATGAAAACATTAATCATTTGTCGCAAGGTTTCCTCCTGAGCCATATACTTCCTGAGACCAAGATCACGAGGTATAATTTGAGAAATAAATCCCCTGTCATGCCCGCCATTCGCACAAACCGTTTTTAATACGGACAAACGGTTTCCAAATATACTTATCTTATTTAGATACACCTAAGCTTATTTACATCCTTTTTTTAACGAGTTTTTATGAACAATGATTTATTTATTTTATTAATCTTCCCGACTTTATCATATGGGACAAACGGGAACAGTTTTGAGTGATTGCCTGCCACCGTCATTTTGGATTTCCGCCTGGGTAGATTTTGGTCTCGTGCTAGGCAACGCATAATCAAGAACAAGATAGAATTTCATTTCAGGCCTATTTATCAGTTTTGTGGTGTATAGTTTTCGCATTTTAGTACGTAATATTTATTTTGAATCTTCAAATTGTCTTGAAACTTAAAAAAAAAATTGTTCTTTAAAAATTCACTGAAAATCGGTAGCCAAAATTATTTGTTTATGTGTTATTTGACTTTCGTGTTAACCTGTAATTTCGTTAGTCGCCGACACCTTCTGTTGCTTCACACAGAAAACCACACGATACAAAATGTAATGATCGATTTTGCCCCAATCTCACGCCATAACAGAAAAAGCTTTTGAACACCTGTAAACTCCGAGCGCTACGAAGTAAGTGATATTTTTAATGAATCTTCGGATTGTTTTCAATTTCAAGAATTGTAAATTGCAATTTTATGAAAAACGAAGGTTGTTCTCTTAATTCTGTGTGAATCCTCGCACGCCTGCCAGTCGCTAGCGCCGCTTGTTGAAACTAAAACGAAAAAAAATAAACTCTTTTAAGATTATCACTGGCTTCTTTTCTGCCGCACCACTATTCTTAGCAACAAAGGTTGCCATTTCGTTTGTTTATTACTCGCCAAAAACTATCAAATGCCTCAAAAGCTTAAAATCGAAAAAAAAGTTTACAGGAATCAACCAATCGAGCGAGCGAGCGAGCGAGCGAGCGAGCGAGTGCCATTCTCCACATCATAGCTACAACTCGCTCTTGCGCATGCGCGCGCGCAATTCACGACTTAAAAAGAAGTACGTGACGGGGGGCAGTAACAGGACGAAGTCCCAATTGACAGCAAGCAAGCTAGTTTTTTAGATTATGCCACTTAAGCAAGTAAGAGGCTGTGGTGCGGCGTAAAAGTGAAGTGAGCACTCAGGAAACTAGTGTAATTCTCTTTCAATAAACCGTTTACGTAACAGATGATCGAGTAATTTCATGAATAAAATTTTCCTTAAAATCAAAATTTGACGTATGGAAAACTTTGGCACTCCACTTGAATTTAATTTATTCGTTAAAAAAATGTACAGCTACGAAATATTTAACATTTTTAGCGAAAAACTTAAACTAGAAAAAAGGAAAATTACTCACCGCTTGCAGAGGAACCAAAGGATTGATTTTCTGGGCGCCCTGATTGAATTTAATTTATACGTTACAGAATGTTCAGATACATAAAAAAGAAGTTCGTGACAGAGGGCAGCAACAGGACAAAGTCACAACTGACAGCTACCCCCTGCCCCCCCCCCCCATCTTAAACTCCCTTACATCATGATCTTCCTCATTGTGGCAAATCAAAGCAAAAAGTGTCTGAGAAAAACTCCTGATTTTAGCTTTCTTTAGGAGGAGTTTGACGGGTCTCTTAAATTAGACAAAACACCGAGTAATGCAAGCTACCAAATATTTATAGCATAAAACTTGTAACAGAAAAAGGGAAAATTACTCACCAGTTGCACGGAAACTAAGGCGTATAACACTTTGGTACCCTAATTCAATTTATTCGTTACAAAAATGTACAGATACATAAAAAAATAAGTTCGTGACGGGGGGCAGTAACAGGACAAGGTCCCAATTGACAGTTACCCCCTTCCCCCCCAGCCCCCCAAATCTTTTAAGATAACAGATTATTATTATCCTCCCGATAATGGCAAATCAAAACAAAAAGTGCCCGAGAAACCTTTAATTTTAGCTGTTTTTGACTGAATAGGATAGCAATTGAATAGGGATTGCAGTATAAGTGTTCATTTCCTGATTTGTTACACCTTCTCCACCCATTCCCATTGGTGCTTAACTTACCTACAGCTCCTAACGCCTGAGGCCTATTTGAAAGAGAAATAGAAAGTGCAAATATCACTACGTTGTATCCAAGCTTATTAAAGTTAACTCAGACAGAAATTCACGCTCGCGCTCTAAAACAAATCAAGGTTTATAGTTTAACAAATTGCCTGTTTTAGCTTTACAACGCTGAGATTTTAGTAGGAAACCCTAAGAAACCCTTTTGTAGTCTAAATCGTCATTTGTCCTCTTTCTCACCACCTCAACAAATTGATTAGGGATTAAAGAAGCCAGTTCGACCAAGTCGAGGTCAATGAACGCCAATTATAAATTGGATGCTAAAAGGAATCTGAGTCCTCGCAAAAAAAGCCACCTCGCGTTCTTAAATGCACGTCTTTGTTCTTGTCTATGGCGGCTAAAACGTTTACGAAGTATCAGGATATTTGCATTTCTATGCACACAGCCATATTTTAAACACTTACCAGATGCGTTCTCTATCGCTAGTACTGACCGAGGTGGGATGTCTCGTTACCCGAAGCGTACAGCCGTGCGCAACTCCGTAATCTATATCAGAGAAAGTTAACGGAATATATTATCTCGCTTGTTAAACTATCATATAGGATGAAGATGCCGAAATAGTATCTTTCTTTCACCCTACGCCGCAGCCATTTTGTAACACTGTTATTATTAGTGATAGATTATATTTGAGGAATAAAATATACCTTGTAACGGACCTTTGTCTTGATCCGCATCATACTCTCTTCCATCTATTGCAAATGTAAGCCTGCAATTACTGCTGTTGTGCCCTATAAAGATCTTTTCAACCAAATCCTGGAATGTTTCTTGGGGATCACACTTCACACGGACTGATGAAGAGTTATTGGAGAAGAAAACTTTGACTTCGATGTAAAGAATTCTCACTGTCAACTCAAGCTTCGATCCCGAGCAAATACCAAGGCTTGATAAGGTTCCTTTGTCTTTAGAAGGGCAGAGGTGCTTTCCATTGAAAGTAAACGTAGCCTCTTCGTTTTCCTGCAGGTTACAGCACAAGGTAATTTCTTCTATGACCGCCTTTAAGTTCTTTTCTTTGTCCAATTTCACGGAGTGTGATTGGCCACTCTGATCTTCTACAGTTATGTGAATGTACTCGGGGATAATGACATTCACAGCCGGATGTGGACTGCAGATAAGTTTATCAGGGAGATAGCTACTTGGTGCGGCTGACAAGAGGTTTCCCTCATGGTAAAGCTTTTGGTCCCTGATTGGGACTTGAATCTTCCCTTCTATCTGTTCCATGAGATAATGGACCTTTACCTTGCCGGGATGCACCCTTATTGGAAAAGGAAAACTGGAAGACGCCTCGGCTGTTACTGTAATTGATATTTCTGCATCTATTAGTCTCAAATCCGTAGGTTTCTCAAGTATACCTCTAATGAAAAAAAAGGGAAAATTGACAAGATTTTATCCTTTACTAGTCCGCAATCCAAAGGACCATCCTGCAGGCTTGTAGGCTTTATATTTCTTACCGTAGTCGTGTACCATTTGATAGGACCTTGTCGCTTCTAGCCAGAACTTGATCGGGGTCATCCATAACTCCCATCTGGTGCTGCAATTTACGTTTCAAATCACCAACTGTCGCCGATGGAGGCATGCTCACATTCAAAGGCTGAGACGAGTCAGAGGTGATCACTGGAATGTTAAGAAAAGCTTCAGGTGTGAACACGCACTTAACAACTCCATTTTCGGGCCGGTCAGATTCAATTCCTGCCTCTTTCGGTGCAGTTTTCACTCGGTAGAAGGTGAACTTCTTGGCCTCATAAGCTGGTCTTTCTATTGACATCTCTTCTCCACCGCGGAGAGCCCATCCCCCTACGTCATAACCATCAATAGATATGTCGACATGGCAACCTGGAAAAAAGGCGCAAGTGGTCAATGATCTTATATGTATAAAATCGAGATCTTCATCATAGAGTATTGACGAATTCGGTCTTCCATGCAAAAAGAAACGAAAGGGACTCAATGAAAAGTGAGAAAGAAATTGTATAATTGGTAGACGCTTATAACGTCCCTTGACCTCTAATCAAATGAAGTGCAGTGAGGTGTTCCCCATGCACCAGCGAAAATAAAGAGTCACCCTGGTTATGATTTTCCGGATGGGGACCGGTGCAGGTCTGTTCATCAGGGTAGGGGTGAAGTTCTTGTCAACAAGAACGTGGTAGCGCAGTCAGTAACAGGAGTCCATTGAAACTTAACAGTGTGTTTTCACCCCAATTTGACATGGTGACAAAGTTGAAAAGTGTTTTTGAAACAGTAATATGTATGACTTTTACCATAAGCATGAGAATTTTTGACGTGTATTTTATATTGCGTCCCACTCTTCATCTCTACAAATTCTCCATCAGGGGTCTTATAGTGTTTTCCTCCAAGGATTTCCACTACGTAGCCCTCGTGAACCAGAAAGTTCACGTATCGAGCAGGTGCAGGTCCTGCAGCTGGATCAGGCTGGAGTCGAGCAGACGATCCAAGGACGAAATCCCGAGAAAGTGCAGGACAGGGTCCCCGCGCGGATTCTAAAGAGGAGCCTGAAATTTAAAGAAGGAAAGAGATTTCACACACAAACCACATTGATGACAACAGCCAATCAGAACAAAGGAAAACATCAGATATAGCCAATCAGAACAAAGGAAATCATCAGAAATAGCCAGTGAAAACTCCTAGTGAAAAAGAGAAACTGCCTCAAACGCGAGAATCGGTTTTAGTTTCGAATCTGCATGTTTCAGAAAGTGGTTCGAGATTTCTTGACCAATCACTAAGCGAAGATAAGCAAAAGCAAAGAAATCTCGGATTAGTCTTGACACTCAATTGGAAACTGCTTCAATTAATTTGCTATCCAAAGATCAGTTAAACTGCCCAAAGCATATATTTAAACGTTCACAAAGCAACAGTGACGCATAAAGTTTTATAAGTAGTTCACTTGTTGTCCACATTCCTAAAGTATTTCTGTCAATTTCCTTCCCTTTTCAGGTTCTCACCATTATTTGTAACAGTTAGCGAAGGATCACTTCTGACAGCAACAAGATGTTCAGCTGTACGGCCATCCGCATTACCGCCACTTAACCCTGTTGAAGTAATTCTAGGATTCGCAAGATGTTGCTGATCAACTACAGATCGAAATGTCATGACGTGTTCGTCGGCTACAGCTGTTGAGTTGGAAGAAAAGACCCTATTCATTAAACAAAGCCTGCTCAACTTTAGGCCGATCCGCTTTTCTTGATACGTTGCTAGCATGATGTTATACCCCACGTGATTCCTTTTTTCCTGATCTAGGGCCGAGTTAGGTGGGAGGGAGAGGGGGGAGAACTTGGGTTAATTAAGAGCTCAAATCGCCAGGTTTTAAGGTTTCCACTGGAAAAAATTGTTGGGTTAAAACTTAAAAATAAGATTAGGAAAAAAGTTCTTTATTATTGAGCAATACTCAGAATGAACCAGTTCACTAAGTTTATTCGTATCTGTACCTTTTCGGGCACCATTGTCAGCAAGATCACTTCCTTTTGGTTCCGGATCACTACCGTCCCCTACCCCGTCAGGAACCATGTCACCTTGCCCATCTAGTTAAGACAAAATCGTAACAAATATAAAAAAATTTCCTGTGTCTAAATAATTTTACCTGAACTCACTTTCTTAATATTTTAGTAGTAGTAATTTATGGCTTAAAAAAATTTAGGTTTGGGAATTAAAAAGCGAGGTGTGCAGAGCTCTGTAAGGCGAAGTATTCTAAGATGTTTATGTTGCAACTTGATTACTGCGTTGTCGAATTCAGATCGAACTTTTAAGTATTAAAATACTTTTACGGGTAAACGATTTTTTTTATTCAGATATTCCTGTTGTTTGTAAATATTAAATAAAGCAATTCGAGTAAGTTTCCAGATTTGCATCAAAACACTTATTTGTTTTTTTTTTCTAAGAAACTGGGATCTAAAGACTGACGTTTGCGACCGATGCGACAACGAGTGAGTAATGTTTTTCTCTACAAGATACACCCTATACAGAATTACCGTCAGTCTCATCCGGATTATCATCAGCTTTGTGGAGTTTTCTTGAAAAAACCTGAATGCTTTGCGCAAGATCCACTCTGCCGATCGCTTTAAACCCATCATATAGCAAAGTCAGATTCTGTGGACCAATGTGTACATCTTGTTCGAGTGCTTCAAATAACTTCAGTCCGCTTTCTATGTTTTCTGTCAATCTCCTGGGAAGACGATCCCCTACAGCATACATCAACCGCTCCAGATCTTTGTTAGACAGTTCCATCGACATTTCTAGGAGAAGTCTCCTATATGGACTTATGCAATTTTCATCCTTTGCGGAGGCCATCTTCAACTTTACTCGGGCGGCGACAAAAGCAAAATTGTTATTGAAGAAGTAATGAAGAAATATAGCATGGCGGTTGTGTCTTCCTTTGTAGCGATGTCCTCACATCTTATAACCAATAGAATGCGGTTTTACTTCTTCCAATCAAAGTGCGTTAACTGTAGTCGCGTCTTCCGTGTTTCACTTCCCAACTAGGGGAGGGATGCAATGCAAAAGTGTAGAAAGATCGTTAAGAGCTTGAGAACTTCATGGGCTATCCTTGTTTCATGGGCTGTCCTTGATGCCTTTTGGGACGCTTCTGATTGGTGAAAGAGTAAGATTCTGGTAGCTTTTTTAAGTGCGAGGTATTAGGGAAATTTTCTTCCATATATTAGAAGGCTTAGGAAGACGAGAATTTGACATTGCCTCGTGGTTTTCCTTACTTTTCTGTCGGAGCTAGTTCAGTAAGGTAAGGTTTTCGTTGCATTTCATGCTAGTATCTTTTTAAAATTTAAATATTACAACCATTCTTCAAAGATCGCGTTCAAGTTTTGTATTAAATTCCTGTAGATTTCATGTTGCTGCGTGATACCTGGATTCATTGAATCCTTCTGTGTCGAGGACTGACTTTTTTATTTTGTTTGGGCCATGCAAAATCAGATATTACACGATTAGAAAACAGGACAGATGTCGGTGTTTCAATGATCAAAAACTTGTGACTTTCTTCCAGCCTCATAATAATTTGTACTATGTTACATGTAGCAATCTCATAGTGTCTACACTGATGGCTATTATGGATACAGTGGAAGACATGTAATCATTGTAAATGTATAGGGCTACATAAAAATTCAGCTAGGATGTATGGTCGATGTCAAAGTTCACATATCCTGGAAAGTTAACTCACAAACTTCTTACACATATGATGAAGATCTGGTCTCTTATAAAGGATAGGGTGGTGGCTCCCTAATGCTCTCCAGCAAGTAACAGTTGGGTTACAATGCGTTAAATCATTCTCTTTGCTCACCCAGAGGGGCACAAATTTGAAGCAAAATTACTCTTCACTCAATAATATGTGCTTTTTTTATTAATATCAGTGGCAGACATATGCCACTTTCTTTCTTTTGATCTATTTAGAATAAAGCCCCTTGAACTAAATTATAAGGAATATACCACAATAATATGTATTTTATATGTTACACATTTTACATACTTTTTCAATTGTGTGTTACAAACATTAAAATTAAATAAATACTAATTCATACACAAATGAATACTTAATTCAATATAGACTATTGCCCATTATTAGTGATTATTGCTCCTACAGTTGTTAGCAAGAACTTGGTCTTGTTGGCGTTCATTGTGAGTGTTTGATAATCCATATATCAATGGAGACACTCTCTGCAACTATCTCCAGTCTATGAAGAAAATACCAATCCTTTCACCCTTACTTAATATCATTCATACAGGCATGGATAAGGACCAGCAGCAAAGCAAAGTAATCAAAAGTGCTGATGAGGTGGTAAGCTCCATTGTAAACATTTTCTTGGAAAATTATGCGCTAGTTATAAAAGTTTTGTTAATGGTATGAATGAAAAATGCATTTTGTGTAAAGAAAGATAAAATTTAGCTCCTAAGTTATGGTGAGATGATATGTCACTATCAATTTGGCTTCTATTAAAAGTAAAAGAATTAAACTAAGGATAAAACTAAACCACAGCATACCTATACTAAACCCTCATTTTATTTGTATCAATATTATTATTTTTTCAGGTGTTTACCCAATAGATTCAATCCACTTACAGACAAAAATGGTGCCTGTACATTTTACCATTATTTTTAGGGTAAGGCACATGTAGAAAGCAATATTTCACAAAACAACATTATATATGCAAAGTTTAAATTTTCCAGACCTTTTCTGCTTGATTTTTTGAGTGGTTCCAGGATTTTCTTGTGCAAAGAGTTCTAGGTGAATGTACCAGTCACCATGTTTTTTGTTATGATGGTTTACATTGATTGCTGTGCTCTACATTCATCATTGAAGTACCAATTAATTCCTTTGCCATCAGTAATTGCTTTAAATATACTGTGTCAGAAATCACAGCACTGTGCTCCAAAATGTAATGTTGTCCTGGGCACAATTTCATATTTTTGAGCAAGGGAAAGGTAAAAATCAAACAAGACCACACAGACATCATCTACGAGACAACATTGCTATGTATAATGTTTATATAGTTAGTTATGTAAAAGCTGCTCTATTCATGAAATCAGTGTCAATACTCTTCCTTGTAGCAGATATAATTTTTAGCCCATTTGAGAAATAAGTGGCCTAAAATGGACTCTCTCCAAACTTTTAAATTTCTAGGGAATAAATGGCTGCCACACTGTCATTTTAATCCCTCCCAGCTGCTCAAACATTGTCCCTCCTTTCCACAATATTACCAAAGCCCCCATATGTGTAGTAATAAAAACATTGAAGTGAAGTGAGCAATCTCAGCAAGAGATGATAATCATGTATACTTTTAAGTGATTCATCCTAGCAGATGTTTGGTGAGGTATTGCATTCTGTGCTCAAATTTTAGTTCACATAGACCTGGGGAAAAAGAATGGGGTGTAATAGTCAGGTTGGTGAATTGCTACAATCTCTAATTCAATACCACTACTCATTTGGTTATCAATCTTGCCAATACTCTTTCTGGTTATTTGGGTTTTTATGGAAACTCTTCCCATTGAGAAGAAGCATTGTATGTGTTTGCAAATTAATAGAAAAGAAAAGTAAAAAAAAAAATGAAAATAGGGTAGGAACAGGATAGTACCAAAGACAGTGGTACATTTTTTTTTTTGCAGGGGGATAGTTTTTTATTTTAATTTGAATTAGGGTTTTAGCCTAAGTATGTCTAAGTTTCTGCACTTGTTGTTTAGTCTTGTGATTTCTTACTTTAAGAAGTGAGGTAAAATTGTTTGAATTTGTTTTTTCATAACAGCCACTTGAGTCTGTAAATGGAAATAAAACACAGAAAAATGATGGTAAGGAACACATTGCTAGCACTATAAAGTACTGAAAGTAATTTGTAACTCTCCATATTTGTTATTTACAATTGACATACTTTGCACAGGTGTTGTGTGATAAGTGAAGAAGTTAACTTTATTTTAAAAATTAAATCACTTTAAACTGCAGTGAAAGCTATTAATTTTATAGTTATAAAAGTATCAAAGGTAACCCCTCTGAGAACCTTCCCCATTGTCTGTGTTATAGAGGTGTCCACTAAATATAGGCTAATTTATTAGGAAATCTGGGAAGAATAGTATGCAACTAAATGATGCAAGTTTCAGCCAGTTGAGGGTTCTTGCTTTTTTTTATTGTGGTGCTAATAGTGTCTCAGTGTCTTGCGAGGCCATGCTTTAAAAAAATGACAGGAAGGCCTTAAAAGCTTACTTAGATCTTTATGAAGATGGAGGGTTATTTTATTGGCAGTTACATGTAAAGATAGGTTGTGAGGGCCACTTGCCAGGAGTAGATTTATAAGTTCAAAATACCACATTTGAGCTCAAATTTTTACACAGACATTATTCAGGTATGATGGAAATTTACAAGCACGCTCTTGTCTCATTCATAAGCGATGCTACATACTCCACAGGTGTCAAATTTATTAAATTTTGTATTCAGAATCACTGTTGGCCTTGATGTTTTTAACATTATGTAACATTCAACATTATATAACATTATATATCATATTAAATAAATTTTTCAGTTTTGATCTGAGAAATTAAAAACATTATTGTCTTGTTTCCAAGGTTTCCAAGGAAGGTTTCTTCACTTCATGCCTGGGTCCTTATGTACATTATTCTGTTTTATAGAAAATAACAGTTAACTTGAGCAGGAAAACTCTGATCAGCCTAGAGATGCTAGAAAATAATTGTGCTAAGAAATAACAGTTACCTCCAGCTGGAAAACAAAAAAGACAGAACATCTTCCACGGCCTCAACTCCAGTTACTTGTAGAAAGGTCATCTCTGAACCATTAAATAGGATCTGTTTTACCAGTTATGTACAGTTTGCAATACATTAATGGGAGAAAAAATCTTAACCCTCTAACCCCTATGAGCAGCTTCAAATTTCCCTTTTCAATATCACCCCTGAATCAAACATTAGGGTCACAAGAATCAAGGAAATGACCAACAACTTATAAAACTCTTGATTTTTAAACAAATTCTCCATGTCAACAGCTCAGGAAATGTATAGAGAACAGTATGGAGAATATGCTTACTGATGTTTGGGTGTAATTGGATTAATCAATAAATGTATGTTAAAGGTAGCAATCTTCTATAGCTATTACTTATTCACAAATACTTTATTTTATTTAGCAGATTGTAGCTTCAATGGATGCCAGAAATATGTTTATGAAAAACTGCTAGATACTGTTTTGTGAATTGTGCTGGTGAAGACAGCAGTGCAAGAATAGGTGAAGATGGAATCAAGAAATGCAGAACAGGAGTGAGTCCATTTAGTCCTGGAAAAATCATGGAAGAGGTTTCTTCTGGTTTTGGTGTTGCTTTTCCTGGTAAGTATGAATCAGGGGATTTTGAGGAGGATTATGAAGATATGGAAGATGATCCATTTGTTTCCCTCCTCCTCTTCCCCCATTAGACATTCAACTACTGGACAAAGACACAGAGTTGTCAAATGAAAACAATATTCAAGGTAATTAATGATTATGTTGACCATTTTCACTCTTTGTCTCTTTGTTTTTGTAAGATGAGTTTTTTGCTACATTGTTTAGAAATAAAATCAGTAAGACAAGCTATTTGGCACAGTGTAATACTAATAATTAAACACCCAACAGGTCATGTGTTCACTCCAACAGTTATATCCAAAATTTTCCAGCTCCAAATTGTGAATAATAGCTAGACATGAACAGGCCAGAGAACATCAACAGAGAATGTGACCTCTTAACCCTTTAACTCCCAAATTCAATTTGTAATTCTTCTCACTGTCAGCCATACAATTCTTATAATGTTACTTTAGAGAATTTAGTATTGGATCAACTAATTATTTCCAATGTGATACTTTTCTCTATTCTCATCACTTATCTGGTTGATATTGTGAGGAGAAATTCTTTCTTGGTCACTCATGGGAGTTAAGGGGTTAAGTATATTCACATCAGACCCATGAATTTGTCCACAAAACCTCCTTTGGAATTGTTAAGTTCCAGAGTTTCACATCCAGTGCATTTCCAGAGCAGTAAAATTTCAAAAAATGACACAAACATTTAAATTGCATAGAATCTATTTAAAACCTTTACATTTACAGCAACCCATATACAAGAGAAGTCTTTCCAACAATTATGAATGAATGGGTGAATAAAATAGCCTTGACTCCTCAATCTGGTGTCAACTGCTTTATTTTATTCAAAAGTATATAAGGGCAAATTGGAAGGACAGAAAGAGTTACTTTCTGTTATCTGTGAAATAGTATTGAACAATTAGAGCCAAATAGTTGCAAGTGAGTAAAAGGATAGGATGGAGTTATTGTATATTAGTGCACTGTAGTCTACTTTATATTTCACAAATTCCGAAAAATCCCTATTTCACCTGTTTATTTGCTTGAATTATTTGTACTGAAGATGTTTATTTCCATAGAAGTGTTGCATGTTCAAGTACAACTAAAGGAGTTTTTTTTTTTTTAACTACCCATTTGTTTGCTAGATGAGCAATTTAAGCTTGAATTTTTAGTTAGGTTAATTACAGTTTGCACATGTGGTTAGAAAAAATATTCAGCACCAATCACTCCTGCCTAAATGACACAAAAAGTGTTTATTTGTTCCAAACACTTACTGTGTATCCTATTTATCCTATTTATCAACTCTTGTCAACAAAGGATATCATAGTAGGAAAAAGGTAACCAAAATTTATATGAAAAAATAAAAAAGGAACAACTAGAGTGATTTTACTTAACCCATGAAACAGTATGTAAACAAACCTGTATGACACCAGCACGCATGTTTGATTGTTGGATCACCCCATGTTGTGTGTGGAAAACATGACATAAACCAAAAATGTTTGTAATGTACAGTAGTTTATGACCAATTTTACCGGTTGGATAAAATCACTCTTTATATTCATCTACAGTATCTTGTTGAGAAATAAACTGTGACAAAGCTTTGACTTAGCATTAGCATGAATAATAGTTACTGCTCAATTGTCTTCTTTCGTGATGCATGTTAATAGTGGCAAGAAAGTATTGCTTGTTAATATTGTCATCTGTTAAAAATTTAATTAAATCTGAATCACTTAAGTTTGGTTTTCTTTTCTTTTCTCATATAAGCATCCCACTTTTTGGGCAGATCTCTCTCTGGAATGAGATCCTTTTGGAATGGCTTCTTTTGCACTCAACCCTTCAAATATTCTATTACAATGTTTTATCTGACGGCGCATAGTACCCGTAAGCCTCTACGTAGACGTTCACTTTGGTTGTCAAGCAAAGATAAATCAATAGTTTGCCGTCAATATATGCACATGCATCTATGTATACAGCGACTTCTGGGAAAATTTCCAATTGCCTGAAAACATTTTAAACGCTAAATTGACTTAAATTCTAAGGGTGTGAGTAATATGCAGACCGGTCTCAACAATCAGAACATCACAGTGGTGAAACATAGCACCAAAACTTGCAGACTGATAAATATTTTATAGGGAAGGCTACATTCTCTTTTCCAGCGCAAAAATCTCCTCAGGCTCAGTGATATTTGTCGAGTCCCAGGCTTTGTGCAGGGATTCTTCAATGTACCGGCTCAAATTATTGACTTCACCCGAGGGTAACCTTCCGACACCTACCCCCAACCCAACATTCTTTTACGCGAATAAAGGGTGCAATTCCGGCGATCTAACTTACGAATGCGGTATATCTGTTCATCCCTATTTCCATGTTTTGAGCGCATTCGAAAATCAAAACAATTAAACAGCTCGTACCCTGCATATGCAAAGTATGCCAACTTGACATATCCAATATTGACCGCTATTTTCCATTTTTCATTGAATTCTGACAATTTATCCAGCATGTAGAATATATCCTAACATGCCAAATCCAATCTTCACCCCTTCTGAACCAACCTACAAGTGGATAATATCATAACTTTTCCATATCCAATCTTTACCCCAATTTGTTGAATTAACTCTAAAAAAACGGGGTAAATCGTGACAATTCTTTCCACGAGTGGTTAATATCATGACTTGCAATGTCCAATCTTTACCCTGATTTTCCATTTGTTCAACGACTTCTAGAAAAACGGGATAAGTTCTGACAATTCATCA